TAGTAATTACTAAGTTGCTGTTGTTCGTTTGTGGTTAGTTGCTGTGTGGTATCAGGCTGCTGTAGTAAATTACTAAGTTGCTGTTGTTCGTTTGTAGCTAGTTGCTGTGTAGTATCAGGCTGTTGTAGTAAATTACTAAGTTGTTGTTGTTCGTTTGTGGTTAGTTGCTGTGTGGTATCAGGCTGTTGTAGTAAATTACTAAGTTGCTGTTGTTCGGTTGTAGCTAGTTGCTGTGTGGTATCAGGCTGTTGTAGTAAATTACTAAGTTGCTGTTGTTCGGTTGTAGCTAGTTGCTGTGTTGAATCAGGCTGCTGTAGTAAATTACTAAGTTGTTGTTGTTCGGTTGTAGTTAGTTGCTGTGTGGCGTCAGGCTGTTGTAGTAAATTACTAAGTTGTTGTTGTTCGTTTGTAGCTAGTTGTTGTGTGGTATCAGGCTGTTGTAGTAAATTACTAAGTTGTTGTGGTTCGTTTGTGGTTAGTAGTTGTGTGGCGTCAGGCTGCTGTAATAAGTTGCTCGATTGTTGCTGATTTTCTATAGTGTTGGTTTGTTTTAGGCTCTCAATCGCTTGTGCAATTATAGCCTGCCTTTGCGCTGTGTCCGTCAGTATGGTGTTAGGTTCTTGTGGTTGTATGATGCTAGGTTCTTGTGGTTGGATGATGTTAGGTTCTTGTGGTTGGATGATGTTAGGTTCTTGTTGTGGTTGGATGATGTTAGGTTCTTGTGGTTGGATGGTGTCGAGTTCCTGTTGTGTGGCCGTAGGTTGTTGGTATGGTTGCTGTTGTGTGCTGGTATATTGTTGATATTGTTGCTGCTGAGGTCTGAAAGCTTCATTATATGAATATGTCGATGGGTAACTGGTTTGCTGGGTTGGTGTTTGATAACAATTTCTCAGTAAACATAAAAGTAGCCATATATCTTCCTGTCCTGTAACCAAAATAATCAATAACTTCATAACTTGTTCAGTGTTAATCAATATAACTTAGGGGAAGGTCAGCATAAGGGAAATAGAACATAAAATGTTTTATAAAAATGTAATTCTCCACTCCGATTCGTGTTAATGAAGACGGATAAGACAAGACTGTGAGCACTGGGGGGCATTTTGCTAAGACCGTGACATAAGCCTACTCTTTTCGATGTTTTATTATTTTGGCATATTTAATGTGTACAGCCTGCCCTGTAGCACACAGCACCAACCGATCTACAATTTCTTTCAATCCTTCATTTCGGCCCCTCCGATCAGTAGGAAATAAAATTAAATAAGGTAGGGCGTGACTCCATTTGTCCAAAATCAAAAATCATAGACATACTAGACTACAAAATATCTAAAAAATCTTACTGGAATCTGACATGCATCTCTTTCACCCGTCTACCGCTCATATACCAGTCCTGTTATTAGTATACTGTCTTACCTGAAGTGGAATGAATTGCCATCAACGGTAACACGATTAAAGATAAAATTTTCATTTTGATTCTTCCGTTTTTTGATATTAATTAGAATCGTAATTATGTCCTAAAGCTTCCACACTAATCAAGAAGTTCAAAATTTAATTAGCGGGAAGAATGAAATGAACCTCCAGATTCTAGACGTAGTATATCGTCAGTTGCAGAGCCATGTTCCAGTGCACTGATCTGTCACGGGCGGGAATGGTGCTAGGTTTTTATACCTCGTCTATTGAGTGATGTACACTGTCAAGATGAATTCATAAATGACAATTCTTAGACAAATTGGACACGCCGAAAATAACGTGTCTCTGAATTGTTTTTCTTTTGATTGCAAAATATCAAAAGAAAGTGGCAGAATTTTGAAATGTAGAAATATGACAGAAATCGTTATTCAACATTTTGAAATGAATGTCGCAATGTTAACATTTTGAAATGCTAATTTGTGTCAGGTTTATTTCAAAACAAATAAATTGAGTAAACGACGAATATTTCAGTGAAACGGTATTTTGTGACATTTTATTACATTGCTAGTAAAATTATCCCCATAAATCATTGAATTTCTCATTGAAGTCAAAATAAAAACCTTTCTTTTTGACTCGATATTTGGCTGGAATCAATTATTTGATTGTCTTAAAAATTGGTTTATGTTCTGTTCCGCATCTCAGGTAGTGCAAAAGGGGCATTTTTATGTTAAATAAGGATGTTTTTATGTTTTGGGATAAAAGAGGCTCTAGCCTTTCCAATCAAAATTGTGATCATCTGCTTGAAAACACCTGTACAAGAGTGCCACGTCAAAGTTACCCCAGCTCTGAAAATGCGACCGTATGTCATAATTTCATAAAGTATTTTTATGACACGGCTTGTAAGACTTGCCACAAGGTTGAATCCAAAAATAGAACAATTTATTTGATTCATGATTTAATCTTGATTTTAACTTAAATTTTTGTCGGTAGCTTATATTTAGAATTAATTTAAGGATGATTTTGATAGGTTTTATAATATTCATTACATCTTTATTTTAGGATAGAAATATAATTAACACAAATCAGCCCAAACTGATTATAAATCAGGTAGGTTGTTGAAAGGCGGAAGCTCGGATAGCTTGTACATTGTGAAGATTTAAACTTTGTCAAAGGTGGGACAAAGAAAACAGTCCTGTGCAGGGGGACCTTTATCGTATTAACCGTATAAGGAAATATGATCTTAATATAACTGAAATTTGATGTATTAAAAATGAGTTATTTGATAGAGTTACAATAGTATAAAATAAAATAAAAAATTCACATGTGGCACATTGAATTATGAAAACAATGCATTGGCTTGGAAAAATCTGTCTTGTTCAAAATTTTCCAGCAAATTGTCTCCTGCTTATCTCACCACGAGATATGTTGGAATTATTGTCAACTGTCGAATAAGCGCCTCGCTTAGATCATGGCATTAGTTACACATAAGGTAAAGTTCAAAATCACGCTTATTGACCATCAATGATAAAATTTCGACGTTTGCTTCCAGAAAATGATTCCTTTCAAAGGTCGATAGTCTCTGACACCCATTCTCTTGACTTTCGTCGCTGCTATGCGTAGTCAAAGAGGCTACAAGGAACATGATTGTGTGGCAACTATTGCTATCATATTAATACATCTGTAATATCTCAGGGTATTGCATCTTCACAATGTCAAGGTACTACGATATTTGTCTTATACTTTGACACCATCAAGCATTTTTCTTGTATTACAGAAGTTTGTTAATGCCGCGATTCGATCCGATTGTACACTATACAGCAAATCAGAACCTTCAACTGTAAAATATAAAAAGCTTCGAGCGTAACCACTAGTTGAGAGCTCTGACTGACGCTTACGTTCAACTTAATCGGTAGATTTATGAACTTCCGTTACATACGAATGATTTTAAATGATGTCAAAGTATTAGAAGGATTTCGTATTACCTTGACATAGTGAATATGGGGGTATTGCGGTATGTGAAATACAATCTGAAGTTGGTTTTACGTTACATGTATTAAAAATTCTGAAATATACACTACAATGATAAACAATATATTACACAATGATATGTAAACTATAGTGTCCAAAAGAAACGATACCACCTGTTTGCAACGACATAAAAGAAAAACTAAACAATGCAGAAGTTTAGGATTGGTGTTATGCTTTTGAGAAATCCTTTCACAACATCTGTACACAAATTTCATTTCAATAAAATCTGTACAACCAATATGACAAGCCTTTAAAGATGGGTGGGGTCGAAAAAAGAACATTTCGTTAGAGCACTGATCACAGAAACAACGGGAAATGTCACACCACACGTCACAAAGTCAAGTCAGTAGCGGGTATGTCCACCGTGAGCATCAATACATGCCAGAACACGCCTACGGACTGATGCCGTCAAACGTCTGATGTCGTTGGGAGTGATGCGTTGCCATTCCTCGAGGAGACATCGTTCCAAGTCCTGGACGTTGACTGGAGGCACATGGCGACGTCGGATTTGCCGATCGAGGTGGTCCCATAAGTCTCGATGGGATTCATGTCCGCGAACATTCGGGCCATGGCAAAACCTGTACGTTGGCGTTGGCAAGGAAGTTCTGTGTCAATCTTGCTGTGTGTGGCCTTGCATTGTCATGTTGGAAAAGGAGTCCACGAGGCTGTTGCTGAATAAAGGGCACCACAACAGGCCGTAGGATGTCATCAATATAACGCTGTGCATTCAGGTTTCCACGAATTACGACAAGCCTCGTTTTGACGTCAACACATATGCCACCCCAAACCATTAACCCTCCACCTCCAAACGGCCAGACCTATTGGATACAGTTAGGCGCCAAACGTTCACCAAATCGTCGGTATACAAGCTGCCGTCCATCGTTTTTGAAGATGAGGAATCTGCTCTCATCAGAGAACATAACACGTGCCCAGACCCGCCGTTGCCAACTCGCCTGGCCCAGATCAGTCTGTTGTTCCGGTGTCGAGGCGTCAGGAGCGGTCCGCGGTAGGGATGACGTGGCTGGATACCATACTGCCGTAGTCTCCTGTAGACGGTCTGTCGACAGATCCTGTGTCCCAGTGCTGTAGCCGCCGTGGACGTCGCTGTTACGGTGCGGTTCCTCAGGTGTAATACCCGGATATAACGATCTTCAAGGGGCGTGGTTACTCATGGTCTTCCACTCCTGGGCCTGTCTGACGTAACCGCTGCATCAACCTGGTGATAGTGATGCGTGCGCAGCCCAACCTTCTGGCGACGTCGACGTGTGTCGCTCCTTGTTGGACCATTCCAACGGCTCTCTCTCTCTCGATGGCTGTCAAACGTGGCATATCTTGTGTTCTTTTTGTTGCTGTGATATCAACTTGTCTGATCAGCCGTTTTTATGCACGTGCAGAACATGCTAGAGAGGGAAATGTCACTTTCACGAAATTTACGTTTTTTCCCGGAAGTGATCACGTGTTCCCGGTATTTTTATCGACTATGCTGTGTTTGGGATGTGCAATACGAATTGGCATGTTTTCATATTAGACAATTCACTTAGTAAAAAACAATTTTGAAAATAAGTTGGTATGGTTTCTTTTGGACACTAGTTTATATACATGTACCTGTATACTTAGGAATAGGGAAATCTAACTATCTTAATATTAATATACTAATAATCATTACAGACGTCAGACTAAAGGAAATGACGACTGTTAATGATTGCTAAAATGAACAGTGCTCAATTAAAAGTATATTTGTGACAAGCAATATGTTGATATAATCTGATCTGATGTAAACTACATAGTAGAAATTAACTCTGATACAGCTACCGTGTGATCAGATTGTCACAGAGATGTTTCATACGAAACTATGTATGGTTCTTATATGAAGACTTTGAATCTCTTCCTCGACATAATAAGTCGAATTTTTAATAATAATGATAATTCGATTCAATGGATAACCGTATGTAAGCATTCTTCGTAACCCTATTAGACACCTGAAAGTATGACTGAAACCGTGTTATCGTAGAATAATAATGTGAAAGTATGACTGAAACCATGTTATCGTGAAATAACTACTAACTACAACATCGTTATAAACATCATCGAACAATAGATCTGGTATTACAATTCCTATATCTCGGAAACAAAAAGTCAATCAAATTATCTATGGATAGGTTCGATACATGCCTTCAATCTACAAAACAAGCATATGCTTACTCAGCCTAAAAATCAATGAACCTACACACTGAATGAAAATTTACAATTACATAGGTAACAGTACCAATCTAGAGTGGAAATCTACAGAATGGTAATTCTGCTGATTCAAATGGTGGTGTAAAAAATGGATCATGCTCCAAGTAAAGTATTCCATCAACTTCACAGCCCCCACAGTTACCACCACAATACCCCTCAATCACGTGACCATCTGGTGATCGGGTAAAGTTAGCAAACACCCCAGCTATACCCCAAGTTTTCCATTTAACTGATTCTTTAATCTTGAAGCCAGTGCCACGAGTATTGATAATAAATCTTCCAATGACGCCACATACACTGCTGTCAAATCCAGCATAACAGTCTCCTGCTTTCCCAAAGTCCTGACGGGTGTACGTGGTATTGCCAAACATTTGCGAATCTATCTTTATCTGGAGAGGAAACAGAATAAGTCTTGCCATCTGAAAATCTGTATAGCCCATATTATACGACATTGGGTCTTGATGAGGAATTAAAATACATTTTCCATGTCTTCTTGTGTATGCAGGAGTTGAAGCCATGTTGTAGTTTTCTAGTAATACTGAAGGACCAACGCCGACTGTACAATGGACTTTCTGTAGAGTCATTGTAGCTGGCAGGAAAAACCAATAAAAATTTTCTGATTTCTTTCTACAGATGCCATCATCGTCGCACTGACTAAAAGCAGTACACTGAAAGTTATCCCATAGGCCTGTACTCAAACAAGTTGCATTAGTGCGGGTGAAAAAGCCTTGTATACAAGCATACTCTACAACTTCTCCAAAATTCCACAATAACTTACTGTAGAAGGAAGTGGCATTGATATTATATACTTGTGGTAATCCACCGCAGCCTCTTGGTATACAGGTATAGCTACCACCTTCTGTCACACACAATGTATTATAAGGACAGAGATGATTTTTACATCCACCCATCATGTTATCATTCCATTTATAAGAATCTATACCAATATAATCATGATCAGTGATTAAAGGACCTTCTACTGCTAGGAGTGAGCAATTTAGAGACCTTTTGTGAAAATTCACAAACTGACATAATCTACTTGATTTGCATGTTCTAACACAATCAACAGGTCCTATCGAAGTCTGGACAGAGAACTCTTCAGCTTCAAACTTAGAGTCCATATTGACATCAGAAACAGTGTCCGGTTTAAAACATTGGTTCCCTTCACAAATATTGAATTCATCTAGAATCAATATAATTGCTGGTAGCATTTTGAAGCCATATCTGAATTTCAGTTCACCCATCCTTATACTTGAAACAGGACTTGAATGTTTATCAGTTCTGATTCTGTGCTTGTATTAGTCTCGATTCTGTGCTTGTATTAGTCTCGATTCTGTACATTTATTTTTCCCGATTATGTGCCTTTATTAGTCTCGATTCTGTGCTTGTATTAGTCTCGATTCTGTGCCTTTATTTCTCCCGATTATGTGCCTTTATTAGTCTCCTTTCTGTGCCATTATTAGTCTCCTTTCTGCGCCTTTATTAGTCTCCTTTCTGTGCCATTATTAGTCTCCTTTCTGTGCCTTTATTAGTCTCCTTTCTGTGCCATTATTAGTCTCCTTTCTGTGCCTTTATTAGTCTCCTTTCTGTGCCTTTATTATTCCCGATTCTGTGCCTTTAAAATTCCTCTTCCTTTTACCGACCAAGCCTTTTCGCCATGAGTCTTTGCCTTTAATAGATTTTATGTTGTACTCAATCTTAACTTAAGTTTTCAGTAAGTAACCAAAACAACAGTGTCGCAGGTCCATCCTTTATATAGACAGACAGAATGAACAAACAAACAAACTTTTCGTTCACTGATTGATTAAAAATAAAAACATGTAGATCTTAAAATTTAGATTGATTTTATGTGAGTACAATGGATTTCCAATAACTTGGTGTCTATAACATACTCCTTGAACACAAAATATGTAAATTCTTGAAAAATTACAATGATTGAAATTCTGAACCACATCCTTTATGGACAATACATAGGCTTATAAAAAGTCGAAAACATTGATTGTAATGTTTCATGTTCTATAGACTTGATATTTAGAATATAATCGTGATTGATAAAATACTTATCCTGCTAAGAGGCATTCTATAGTGCTGAATGAGACAAAACTTAAAGTTTTCTGAATATATTGTCCTGATACTATATTTGCGTTTTTAGATTTTGCACGCTTTTTACTGGGAACGGAATATTTACTATGTAAAAGTAACCGTTAATATTATTGTATTGTAATGTCTTTAGTCTTCTCATCTTCACATTGTCAAATTATTATGAACTTCGCACTTATACCTTGACTACAATAGCCACTTTTCTTGTATCAAGGAATGCAGCGATATGGATACTAGAATTCATCCCGGTTTTCCCCCTGTCAGTGATGCAGGTAAGAGGGGCTGACATGGAAAGCGTCTTGTCGTTCGGATTGGACAATAAACCGTGGCCCCGTCTGCTACAGATTGTGCACGTTAAAGATCTCTCGACCGTTGGAAATCGAAGCCAACCTGGCAAATCTTCCTCATAGCACCCTGCATGGCGTTGCCCGTCTTCATTGAAATCCAAATGAGATTCAGACTATGGGTTAAGAGGAGACAGGACCAGTAGAGGGTGGAAAGATGAGAGCAGGTACAAGGAAGAAAGTAAAAACAGTGAAAGATGAAGAAACCTAGATTGTAAGTAAGCAAAGCGCAAAGAAATGTCGAAGGAAGGGAAGAACAATCACAAGAGTGAAACGGGGAAGATAGGAAGAAACACAGAGGAATGTAGTAAGGGACAAAGAGTAGAGGATAAGAAGAATAGTCAAGGAGGAAGAAGAAATTGGAAGGTAAGACAAGAGTCACTGGAGATGTGAGGGGTTTGGAAGATAAGCAGGAGGCGATAAGAGAAGCAGAGGAGATATTGAAACGAATCGAATGGTCTACGGGGATATTCTCTTAAATTGAGAGATACTCCTTGTATCTCCGTGCAGTGCTTCGAATTTCAGTACTCTGAAGTCTCTTATAGATCTTAGCTTTTTCTAATCTTTTCATTACAACGGTTTACAAAGTAAAATTTTTATTTAAATGAATTTCATAAGTAGCCTCAGTGGTCAAATGAAATTGCAGAGAATTCCCTATATATAACGTAGCTATTCCATTGGGTGATTTCAAAGTTGGTGTTTTTATTAGTGTTAGGTGTCAGTGTCGGTGTTGGTGTCTATCTAAAGCCCCAAGCACCATGTCAAGTGTTAACGCCGGTTTCAACACCAAGTGTTTATGAGTGGTGTTGAACCAAAGGCAAAAACACCAAGTCCAGGTCAGTACCGGTGTTAACACCCGGTGTTGGGTTAACACCCGGTGTTAGTTTTCGGGGGAGGGAGGGTTTGATTCTCCCAAATGTACAGGCCTAGGGTGGAGCAGACACTTTATTTAGAAATTAGGATTAAGGGTCTTGATATTGGGTTTTCTTCTGTTCTTATTCTGATCTGAAATTAGAAAAAATAACTTGCCCGATGGGCGAGAAGTATAGTATCTGATGTTTTCTAAACGTTTTATGTATTTCTTGGACATTGATAGCATCAATTTGCACCATTCCATTTTTTATTTCAACGTCTGTGGTCCTTGCAATTCCACTAAAACTAACGCGTTTTATGACGTCAACTGTGGGGAACTACCGGAAGCTACTACAGATATCAACGTCATAAAACGCGTTAGTTTTAGTGGAATTGCAAGAATCACAGAGGTCGGAATGAAAATTGGTATGGTGCAAATTTATGCTATCAATGTCCCCGATACACATAAAACGTTTAGAAAACATCTTCACAATCCCTTAATGATAAAACTAGCTTAGTTACCAGGGAAGACTTGCCTCTATCATTTAGACCTACTTTGTTTACGCCTGGTGCGACGAAAGTCTGGGTGTTAGAGACTAGTTGTCAAAATTGCACGATTTTTAGGTTCAGAACTTTCAGCTATCTTGCGAAATCGATTTTGGGCTCTCCGTGGTCTATTATGATTCACAATTCCAGCCACCACCTCTTGGAATGCAATAAACATCATGGCTGCCAACACCAACTTTGAAACCAATCTGGTGTTAAGCCCTAAGGGTTGGGTGTTTGGACCTATAGAAAGTCCAGTAAATTTCACGCGAAAAAACACCAGCTTCGGTTTAGCTCAATACCCCGTGTTAAGCTGGTGGCATGTTGACAACCGAGCATTGCTCATGAAATTATACGATTTTATTTGATTTGCAGATCGTTTCGATAAATTTTCATTTTGGCAGGGCATAAGAAATATTGGGTAGCAAAAAGAGTTATTTTGACTCGCATACTGTGATGTAATACGCTCGAACCCTTAGATGAGTCTAGTGCGGCTTTTATGGATCAAGGTGAACATTTTAGCAGGTAATCGCCGTTTTTAGTAAGTCTTTATAGGGCTAATCTCTTACGCCCGTACATCTTACGTGGGAGCTATGCATAGACAGATACGGACTGGATGATAGAGGATTTAATATATGCATGTACGTAACAATATCACAGGAAAAAATCAAAAACATTCGTCAATCACGTTGAAACAATGTTTACTGGTTTTTATTGACAACCCAATAACGTTTAATTACCAATGAAGGAAGTCAGATGTTTGACAAAACTGCGGTTCCAAAGAGGAAAATGTTTCCTAACATAACTTGTTCGGCTAATTCATGCACTAGTTATTGTCAAACATTTGGGTTTAAACCGGAAATGGAGCAAGGTCGATGACACGAATTCGCGAACATATAGCTTATCTTTGAAAATGATATTATGATATATAGACACGATTGATAATATATTGTGATTGATCACGACCGGAAAGTAGTAATCAAAATTAATACCCATTATAAGTGTACAAACTAATTTTGGATTATTTTATCATATGAGGAAGGGTTGTAAAGCGTGGAGTGATTTTTATCCACCCCCATCATCCCACTTCACTATATATTCTCAAGAATTGTTAATCTTTGGCTTAGTTTGTTAATTCTTGGAGAGTTTGTGAGGCTAAGGTCTACCGCAGCTTTAAAATGGCGTCAATATTTGACAGTCTTCCAAGTGAGGGTTCAGAAAGCTTCAATCCATCTTGGCGGGATCTGGAACCGCTTGATGATACAAACTCAACGAGCCGAGAATATTTTCAACCACCACAGATCAACCACTTTGATACCTCAGACATCAGATTGGAAAGAGATGTTTTAATAAGAAGAATCAATCGTGCCGTCAACAGAATAACTTTCGCCATTTTGAAAAATCAGAAAAACTTCCGAAGGTTAGAGAAAGAACTGATACTAATCAGAAAAGACGTGGAATTAGCCAGGAGCATCAACTACAAGTTATACAAGATGGTCTTAGAACAAGAGATGACACAGCTCGACCAGATTGATGATGACCTTCTAAGCACGGTGCTCGATGTTGAAGACGCTGTTGAAGATTATTTGGTGAAATTAAAACTGGATCTAGAAGTTGTGAAACTTGTGCCTTGTTGTGATATTGCATTGAATTTGGATAAACATAAATTCAACGGGAATTCAAGGAGTGCTACAATGTGTTGTCTTGAAACACCTTTCAAGAACGTTGAACAGTCCAAGGCTTCACCTTTGGATTCTGGTACCTTTCTAGATACCAATTCAATCGGAATGGTGGACAGTGAACTCGACAAAGCTGAGTCAACACTTGATTCGGACAACATCCACAGAATAAATTGTCTTCACAGAAATAATACACATATCAAAATCTCTTCCTTTGATAAATCTAACTATACGGGTTTTAATTCACCTCAAAAAGAGCTACTACCGAAATACAGAACGACAACGTCACATCCGTTTCATAAAGCTGATATGTGCCAGCATCATTTTCTAGTACATGGTCACAAATGCCATGCACAGAATAAGGATCCAAATGGGTCTCAATTCTGTTCATGTCCGTCGATGTTCAGACAGACACCGATGTCATCACAATCTAATGCTGAACATTACAGGATGTCTTTTGATTCAGAATTTTCGGATCGTGTATGCACTTTGTGAATTAAACGGATATCTTTATATCATAAATATTTCATCTGTAAGCTTTTACAAAATCTTTTTAGGACCTACATATGTCACCCCATGTGTATGCAAAATAATTTATGTGGTGTTAACACTTACTAAATTGTGTGATGTTTTGAATGCTATTAGTAATTTATATCTTTGGATGGCCTCTCATATTAAAATTTATGATTATCAATTGTTGTCTTTGCTATATAAAATGGATTAAAATTATTTAATGTCGAATGACATGGCGGTGAAACTCGGAGCTGGATGGTGTGGCGTGAGTTACTCGAATGAAGGAGATCAAGTAAATCACGCCACACAATCCAGGGCCATGTAATTCGACCCGACCAGATCTAACGAGTTATCAACAACCAAACCAACAACTCAGAATCATCCAATTTGAACCAATCCAACTACCAACTACTACGACTACCAACTACTACCTAGTTTGCGATATCAGCATCCGCCGGTAGCGAACGTTAACTTGTCATCTACCAACCAACCTATTATAGACACAGCTTTATGGATTATTATAATCGAAACTAATGGATATATTTGGATCTAATTGCTCTTCGAACGATTCACTGAATCAATATGCGTTCTGGAATTTTTGAAACTATTTAATATTATAACTTATCGGAAGGTAATGTCATGTTATATGACAACAAGTGGTATCTGATATAAAGACGTTAAATTCAAACAAGAATGACAAAGTTTTAAAATTCAACCCAAGATTGATGGTGTGACGTAAAAAGTTAAAAACTCGTGTTTTGTACGTGTAAATACTGTATATTTATACAGAAATTAAGAATTTTGTTACGTTATTAATTTTTAAGTTATTGTTGTTACTTGTAATATGTCGTTTAAATGAAGTACATTAAACATATCGTATTTTGTTTTTATTTACTCGTGCTGGGAGTTGCTTACTTTCCTTATTTTGTTCATATTTACGCAACCTAAAAGTGTTTACTTTACAACGCAAGCTTTTACGAACTGAGTCTTATACCTTGACTGTAAAAGCCACCTTATTAATGAAGCTATTTGGTTGTAGGGTACGCTTGCGAATATAGTCAATCCAAGCCCTCAAGAGAGACAGAAAGATTATCAACAAATTTAATGCGTGTTAAATCGGAAGATATGATTGGCTGTAATATTATTATTATTATTGGGTGGACTTTCAAAACATCAAACAAAACAAAGCTAAAAATCAAAAGCATTTTATTTGGTACAAAATAATGTCTTTCTACAGCAGTAACAAAAAATAAAGCACATAAAATGATTTGATCCTTTAGTTACAATTACATATATTGCCTTCAATTGACGGTGATTGTGATAAATATTATTATGTGTTACAAGGTTCAAACGTGGGGTACATGAGCATCATTATTTGGCAACAAAACTAATCTAAAAGAGCAGAAATAAAAGGCAATCTTTAAAGCTTTGAGAAACATTTACTTTGCGTGTACTATTGACTCTATCAAATACAGTAACATTCTGCTTCAAGATAAAACTTCAAGAAAAGGAAACTATCATGGTAAATGTTATTGATAACAGATATTCGGTATTATGAAACAAAAAGAGTATCTTCTTTTCTATGGAAAGTTCAAAGCATAAACGAATTTTGGCATAATAAAAGCAGTAGTCATGATAATATGGTTTCTTCCGCATGCAATGAGCTTCATGAAAAGTTCAAATTTCTTATATACAACGAATTAAAACAAAAAATACATAACAGTATAGAGACCCTTTACACCAGGATAATATTGAAGCCGAGAAAAAAAAAACATTATGACTGACATAAAAGAAAAAGAAATACTGCTGCCATGATTGTAAATATTTCAATCTGATTCGAATGAATCAGCTTTAAGTCTCATTTTGTTTCATTTATTCATTATTTCATTCGATCTGACGTCTGTAAACCAAGATAGCACGTTAGATTCTTACCCTATCCTCCAAAATGGTGCTTATTACGCTCTTACTGAACAGAACATTTGAATGGCTAAAATTGAAAGTATATTTTTGATAAATGTAAATGAATTAGAATGGGTAAGCCACAGAAGTTACATGAATTAAGACGTATTGTAATACATGTATATCAGATATATCTGTATAAGAGTTGACAATGTAGAGTATATTATAAGAGTAATATAATAATGAACACCAAACAGTACCCTAACCTCCACCATACAAGGGTTGGTATGATCGTAAAGCACAAAATCATATAACATATCTATATACTGTATATTTGCGACTATACTGCGCACCACATCTAATTCTTCATCAAATAACAATTCCAGATTTGTCCTTATTTGAAGAAATACAATTTCCAAATGGTTTTGCAGTGCTACTCTTTTGTTTTATTCAATTACAGGTGAAAAAGACTAGTGTTGCTTCAGTATTGTAGTACTTTTTATGGCTTGATGCAAATAATTTCCCATAACTGGTAATAGAAAGTTATAGATGGCTATTTCCTAGTATTTAAGTGAATGTGGCACTCTAACAAGTGTATGATACAAACAAGTGAACAATCAATTTTACTCAGGAGCAATAGTAATTATAACAATAACAGTTTTTATTTTGGGAATAACCCTGGCTATTTGACGATACTTCTACGTGGTTTTTTCAAGTTTTGTTTTTTTTGAAACAGCAATAGCCCTTACTGTTTTTCATTCAGTAGTTTATGAATTAGATTATCATGCAAAACATAGAAAATAATCGTTAACAATAACAAATAATATAACCGATCTTTTTACAATTTTTTCTGAAATACATACAGGTTATCAAACGTTGAACAGTCAAATTTACAATTAGATACAGTAGAAAATGACATCCTAATAAGTCAATTTCTGTAACAGTGATTGGCTGAGGAAGAAATGATTAACCAATCAGAATTCTTCAATTGTTGAGTTATGTACACTAAAAGACTAAATTTAATGAAGACTATAATAGTTTAATGATTCCAACAGGTGCTTGATCTAACATGCCCACATTCAATCTGAGATATTTTGATCTAAATTTGTGATCTACAAACACTATATTAACCTATTGCCTCTTGAATACAATGATATATATATACTGACTGAGTGTTTAGATTGAGTAATGCATAGCAACAGCAGGTCAAAGATGTTTTTTTGACATTTTTCCAGAGGGTGTTTTTCGTGTAAAGCATATCATGTTATTAGATTCATACCCATCCAGAGAACAGTAAGTCTCTTTAACTTTTTTATGTTATTTGAACTTCTTGACTGTATCAGTGCTGATAACTTTATGAACCCAATTTGAAAGAGTCTATGAGATACCTTAAGAGTACACTTAAAAGACTGTGCTTACTCTTAGTGGAAGCAGCTGGATTTGTCTTTAATTTCCATTTTGGCTAATCCAGGATGGCAGTTTAACTCTTTATAGATGAGTCTCATTGATTTTGGCAGACTCATTGATTGCAATATTGATTGGACGTTTTCTCCTTGTGATAAGTAATTTTTGGAAATTGGCATGTTAGTATAATATTGTGACATTGCTATCATACCTAAAGATATAATGAACTAGTCCAAGCATGTGCAGAAATATCTTTGACCCACTTAAGAGCTCTTTTTGCTATTTTTTTTTATAGCATATCCATCTATCTGTCAAACATTTTTTTAAAATCCCATAAAGAATACACTACTGATGTTGTAAAAATGTGAATTATGAAGTAATTTAAGAATATACAAAATATTATAATGCATAGTTAATTTAGTAATAAAAACAATATATAAATAAATTTACAACTAAATTCCAAAAATATACTAATCTACAATTATTTCATTTTTTCTCAACTGCCAAATATTTTTATTAGATATATAAGTAATTTGAAATAATTGTTATCCGATATAAAAAGAAATAGATTACTGAGAAAGTGTTATTCATATTTACATATTATGTCATGTCTGGTCAAGGCATATTAAAATCCTCGAAAGCATCTATCAAGGCATACTGTACTACATACTCTATCTTTTGTCTCAGAATAATCAAATAATCATTAGCAATAATAAAGTGCAAACTTTTTAGCATCTTTTGAGGCAAAATAAAATTATCCATTCAAATTCAAATTGCTTTTTCATGTATCCCTGAGTTCACAGGAGCTCAGTGAGTGACTTAAATACACAACTGCTAACAATCTGTTGGATTTTAAATCCAACTCAAATTTGGGACCAATTAAAAATGTGAAACGAAAACAAAGGAAACCAAAAACATTCATATATTGAGCTCAATTTTCCTTATTCCTAAAAATCAAACCAGCATATGATATCCATACCCTTAAACACAAGTGATACTAATTTCATGTAAAAATCGCCATAAGATTCAGTTTTAACAGTTTAAATTCTGATTCAAATACTGATCTAGATGTTTAATTTGATGTTTTTTTGTGGGTGATACTGGTTGGCAAGTGAAATATTTAACGAACCATCCAGATCTATTTGAATCAGATTAAGCAGTTACGGTCTCAAATATAACCAAATAACAAACTCAAATGGAATAATAATGCTGTTTTAGAACTGATATTGTGACTGTATATAGCTGATTAGGACCATAATGAAACAAATAATAATATAAATAACAAAAATATAACAAAAGAACTCTCTGATACTGAAAAACAAGAAAATAATGTCAACAAGAAATTCATGTGCCAAATGCAACTGGCATATACATTCAATAAACAGTTATGTTCAGTTGTCAGATTGCAACTATCATGTACAACTAACATCTGATTTTCAAATCCATGCGACAGTGTGCTATTGCCAGATTGCAATAACATTCAATTTAACCCAATTGTGTTCTATTGCCAGATTGCAGGAAAAGTTAATTTAATTTCAACTAAGTGATTTGTTTCCTCATTCAGCTTACGATTATTTCCGGACATAAAAATCTCTTGTTTTTAAGTAATAAATGAAATAAAGTTGAAATCTTAACATTGGTCTCCCTTCTCTTCTTGTACATCTTCCTCATCGGTATGTTGTGTTTCTAAATTATCTAACCGTTGTTCCAGTTCTTTTATACGTCTTTCTTGTCGAGTAACTTTATCTTGAAGTAATTTGACATCATTAACTAATTTTTCTGAGTCAAAGCCACTTTTCATAAAATCTGATTTCTTTGGCATTGCCTGAAAAAGATTATATACAGAATTTTATTGAAAATCTTATACTAATAATATACATTTATTAGTGGAAATTAAGGAAATTATAAAGTAACAAAGTAGTTATTAACTACTAAAATCTGTATATTTATTGAAATATATTAGGAAATTCGTTTTAACTATATTTTATTTGAGACTTGTTTCTTTGGTTGTAAAGCATGCTTTAGTAAGCCTAGTCTTTATTCTATTTGCATTAACTTGGTTCAGTATTATTTCAAATGAAATATAATTAAGTCAACAAACTAACAATCAAATCAACACAATCTAAACTAAATTAATAATTAATCTTAAAACTCAAACTCAAACAAAAAATTTAAAATTGTTATTTTTGCAAATCAATTCTTTTCGTATCTTTCATACTTCAAATGCCTTATTGTAAACTCAATGCAGTGTACATGTGACATTTTACTCGAAATAGTTGAATTTTCTTACTACTTTGTGATTCTAAAATGTCAAGAATCATGCACAGCATGTAACACACAGAGTCTTGGTTTAAAGACCCATTCAATTTCACACAAGATGTTTTTTTCCATGTCAGTTCCTCCCACGTGCACAACAGGCAGTGTGATTTAGACGAACAAAAATAATAAAGGTACTATCTCGACTTATTCCAGGATTGATCTGAAGATCTTGATGTTAATTACCAACCCACCAAGGCTCCCAATAGACTTTTTTATATTTGAGGTGAAAATGTTATTCATCAACACTATCTAATGCATGATATAAGCTTATAGTGTATAATTATAAAACTGAAAGGTTATTTTGAGATAATTTGATCATGCATGTTCTGTAATCAGTAGGAAAACTAAACTATAAAACTTCAGCCATAACAATATTAAATCACCCCAAACCATAAATTCAACATTTAAAGCAAAATATAACGTTAGTGGTATAACTTGAATGATCTTGTTGCATCCCTACTCATAGGCCTAATGTCCATAACTGCAAAGTAACCTCCCATTTCTAAAACTAGCAGTCCTGATGAGAATTATATATTGTAAAGTTTGTCAATCTGCTCTAATTTCTTCAAATTATCGTGGCATTAAGAAAAAATTATTGGGAGAATTTCTAGTTATCCTCGAACTGTTGGTAAAAAAATTGGGGTATTTAAATGATAAAAAGGTATAATAAAACCAGAAACCCATTTTGAAAATTCAACCAGTAATATATTGTAAAAACCCTGAGAATACCACAATTCTATTATATACGTTCCACCATAATTAATTTAAGCACATTTTAATTACTTGACAATGGTAAAAATCATTTAACCACAAGTTTCATAATGCTCAAATTAATTTTTTTTTTTTGCCTTCACAAGCATATAAGCATATAATCAAAATATGCAAATTTCAATGCAATTTAGCTTAAAATCGTTAAAAATTTTAACTAAAATGCGAACATTAACAGTAAATTTGCCAATGCAACAGCTACATTACAATTTAAGGAACTTGTACCTAGTAATTGAGTATTCCCTTACCCTAAAACTGAATCTAAAGTGAAGAAGAGTTAGTAAACAAAACTGAAAATCAACAGATCAAACAGCACAAAGTAACATGTAGAATTGTGGTTACGTTTATATATTATGCTTTGTCCAAGTCGATATCATCATCTGATAAGTTTACATCATATTGTGTTAACTTCTCTTCTAATGTTTTTATTCTTCGTTCATGAGCTTTCACGATTAATTTCAGTTTCCGCATGTCATCTAACATTCCTTGTGGATCGAAACCCTGCCATAGAAAACATTAGTCCAATCCAAGCAAATTAAAAATCTCAATAAAGTGAGAGAATAAATGATTTAATAGGCAATATTTGGATGAATTAATCACTAGATCAATGACTGATGGATAGATGAATAAATGATAAAAAGACCGTTTTGAAATTAATGTAATTAAGTGAAAAATTTAAAAGGGAAAAAAGGAATTCCATATCCCCATGCCTCAAAAATTCAGTGAGATTTTTGGCCCTTTGTCCAAGTTCATAAATGGATGTTATGTTTAGGAACCATTCCCCAAAGATTAAAGATGTTTATATGTTAACAAGGTGTGTTATAATTTATCATAAACCACAAACAGTTTAATTTCCTTGCAATTACTCCCAAATTATAATTCTTGTCTATTTATCCATAATCTGATACAACTTTGTATTGGCCAGGTCTAAGATTTTAAATTCCATGTACATTCTGAGCGACAGTATTCCTTTAAACGAGTTATAGTAACAAAGACAACAAAATGAAGGAGTAACTTACAGGTGGTAAAGAAGGAGTAGCTGCAGCAGCTTCATTATTTTCAGCATTAGTAGGTCCAGTAGAGGCTCTATTAGTAGCAGCTGGGGTACCACCTACTGGTTTCTTCTTCTCAAATACATTCTTCTTTCCTACTTTACCTACTTCTTTTCTTGTTGATACAAAACCTTCTTTTAGTGATATCTGTAATCAAACATGTAAGAATGATATGGTCTTGACCATTTTTAGCACCGAAAATCTATTGTGCAGAATCTTGGAATTTCAGGGATAATTACCCAGACAAATATTATAGCCTAATAATTTATGTGTGTATGTAGAGTTTTACAACTTTGACAAAGACCAGCCCTTCAGATCTTTCATTTTGCTCCACAACTTATAATTTATCCTGTTAGTTATACTTATAACTGGTGGTTCCTTTATCAGCCTTTTGTTATAATCTTTCAACTATACTTACTAATAGAGGCTCAGCATTCTTGCCACTAAAGAATTCTTCAGCAGTTATAGCTGGTGTATCTCCCACTGTATCAGGGTATAAATCCTCTTGGAATAGGTCAGACTATAATAATATAATTTATGACATAATTGGAAAGTTAATAAGAGCATTTTATGACCTAAAGTGTACAATGGAGGAAATTTTGCCAGGACAGGAGAACTAGCCTACTACATCCACTATGAACTGTTAGAAAATAAATATTTTAAATAACTGACATGGATTGTCCCACTTCTTACTTTGCATATATTAGCTACACCAGGTTAAAGGGAGATAATTACAAATATTCATAGCTTATTAAAATCAACAGAAGCTCTTGACATTTCCTGCTTTCTCTTTCAAAAGAAAATTTCAACATCCCAAAAATGATAAATTGTAGTTTTTACCTTTCTTGGAACTGTAAATGGAATGGCTTCACACAGTCCACTATTATGTAACTTATAAATCCTGAAAATAAAAGATATTCATAATTCTAGGTCATGTGAAATGTTTAGTTGATCATTGAGTCAAATCAATGGATGCAGATGACTACACTCTAATTTGACTAATAAAGACCTTAACAATGCAGTATGTTATTGCATTATGCTATGATGGAAATCACATCAAACATATCATAGTTTAATTATATTATTTATATACTCTTTATTTCACATAGACATGAATTAGGTCCACGATGCAAATATGACATGGTTTTGTCTAACATTCAGCTCAAGGATGTAGGTAGATCATTAATGCAACACTCATCCCTTTCAAATTTTTGTCCAAACCAAACTTGCTTTAATGTGAGAATCTAAAATTATGTAAATATTACTCAATACACGAAACAACAAGAACTTTAAAACATACCTAGCAATTTCACAAGAATTGACATTTAGAGCTCTTTTAGGCATGAAGCCAAATCCTTTTTGTGGGTCTTTAGATTGATACATTTCCAGGTAGAATACATTGGGTTTTCCATTCAATTCTCCTATTTCATAATATCTGATGGAACTGTCTCCCTGAAATATCATAATAATGATTATAACATTGAAATATCAGAGAGGTTGCTTAGAATTAGGGCCGATACAGTCCAAGAATTGTACAAAAAATTGCATAAATTCTTCAAAATTACCTCACATTAGGAATACACTTGGCGAAGAAGACGAAAATTTTGATGGTAAGCTGCCAACACTATTACAGATTAAGCTGAAGAATTCCCATTTCTGAGACTGAGGTACAAACTAAAAATCTCAAAAACACCTTACCTTTCCACACAAATAAACCATATTAACATCTGGATCATAGAAAGGGAATATTACACCATTGGTTTTGTCTATATCTTGTTCTACTAAGGGTTTACTTAAATCATTCTATAAATAATAAATAAGCTTATATCACATGATCAGAACATGAAGACATACTAAAATGAAATCTACATTTGCATTCTTCTTTTCTGCATTAGATTAGGTGAATAAAGGGAGGCAATGCCCTGAAGTATACCATGAAAGAACAAAACCTGGATGAAAAATCAAAGGTACAATCTTTAACTACACAAGGATGCAACCCTAGACCTAGCTAATCAGTAACTACAGTAGCTACTGCAACTCCCTAAAAATTGCAAAAAATAGATATAAACATCATTGTACAATGATTGAAGGATATTGTCTTTGTAAAAAGAGCAAATGAAGAAAAAAAACTAAAAAAAATGGTCATTAAAAGTTATATTTTAATCTTATTGAATGCTATGAGCAATTTGGTTTCTGGTAGATCATGTGGAGAACACTGGTATATCATATATCAAACTTCCTTATATGTATGAGGCAAAGAGGTAGATAAGAAATGAACTTACTTCATCATGGAGAGTGTATCTTCTGTCACTCCTTTTAGAGAATCCAGTTGTAAATACTAATCCATTTTTCAAATATATACATCTTGACTGCTTGGCTCCATTATGGGAATCACCTTCCTATGTAATGAAACACAATCAAATTTTATGCTATGGATTACTATTCTAATCAAGTCATATTTGTGTAATTTTAGAAATGAAATTTGTGTATTTTAAAAATTTGCTTTGACAATGACACCAGTGCTGTAATGTTTCACCAATGTTAAGCAATTGGTTCTTTCTTATCTATATATTGCGTTGAAATCATGATGTATTGGGGCAGTGCTTAAATAGAACACGTTACTTGAAATGGCCATGTGAGCTATCAATGTCATATCTCAGTGTTTAAACTTGTTTTATAATGATGAAAATTGACAAACCTGAAGAACTTTACCAGTGTGTGAATCATATACATATAATTTTTTATCTTTACACGTCAGAGCGAATTTACTACCATCTAAGTTAAAAGAGGCACAGTATGGCTGATCATTGGTCTGTATTTCTATCATGGCTGTACCTGTACCTACGTCCCAGATATATATAAAATTATCACAGCCTGAAATATACAACAATAATGCTACTTAAAGGAGCAATATGGAACATTTTCATAATTACAAACAGTGTAAACCATACATTTCTAAAATATGTTATGTTACTGCTATCAACTTGATCAACCTGATTTTTTTTATTAAGGAGTTAATCAAAAACAGAGTCTGCTAAGTTAGCAATTTTAACTAGTTTTGGTTTCGGGTCTTAAAAAAGCTCAATATTTTAGTTGAAAACTTCATTATAAGTAGGGGACACTTTTCTGTACAATTAAGCATTTATATTTTTACTTAAATCCAATCATTATTTTCGGTTGACAGTTTTCATTAATTTTTAACACTTAATGTCTTTCGTTTGTGTCAGATAATCTGGATAACTCTGGAAAGGGCAGGAATGGCTGGCCAGCCATATTATGAATAAGAAGAAAAGTTATTTATAGAAGTTGTTAAACCTGAAATTGGGTGGTCGACTAACAATAAAAGTTAATAAAACTATTAAACGAAAGTTTGGTTTAATTTTAACTAGATCGAATCTAACCTAGTTGGATAATCTTAATAAGATTGGATTTAAGTTTATGTGTTATCTAGATTGAGATATAATCATATATATCAACTATACTGTGACCAAATTAACTATAACTGTGAACTTCCTCTTTGGGTGTTAATAGCCTGATTACTATACTAATTGATTATAATATGATGTCATAGTATTAAGTATATCTGTACTCATTATCTGATAGATTATATAATATAGTGTTAAACCCCTTCACTTCAATTATTTACATCACACTTTATCAGATTACAAGATTGATGGATGATAGATCAACTCTTATTAAAACATTTGAGAAGCCAATGTGAAATCTAACTGATATTCACTGTATGTTGATACACACTTGATAACACTGTGCAGTTGGCAATATGAGCTTTTTTTCATAACAGCGGCAGATAAGGCATCTGATTTGGAATCATAAAATCAAATAGAGAATGTCATAGTGAATTATCAAATATGATGACACTAACTTTAATTGTTAAAGAAATTGGGTTTAGCAAGGAGCAGTGCAATGTACGCTTTTAAGCTTTTATGAAATACCATGACTTAATTAGACACTTTTCATGTGTCAAATTCTCATAAAAACAATAATAATAATACAGACATTTATAAAGCGCTAGTATCCACATCACTGAGGGACATGCTCAAAGCGTTGTCATGCTCAAAACTGTTGTCATGACATTTGGCTAAGGTCAAGACGGAAAGGATCCTCCAAAACCTAAGTTATGGTTCAAAAATGTAATAATGCCTCTTTCTTCTTACCTGCACTTAACAATACATGCTGTGCAGTAGGATGCCAAACTATATGACCAACTCTTTTAGTGTGACCCTCTAAATCTACCATAGATTCAGTTAAATTTTCCTTCAATATTCCTTCGTCAGGTATCTCCCATACTTTAATGGTGCAATCTTCACTGGAGCTGGCAATAAGGTTATCATCATGTGGACACCATGCTATATCTAATACAGAATCTCTATGACCTGCTACTAAAGGACAATCTCTTTCTATTCTTCCTACCTATAACAAAACAAAGTAATTTTATGTCTCCAATTACTATTAGTGATCTGAGTTCTATTTTGAAAAAAAAAAGTGTTGTTTGCAACCAGTTGCCTATTATGTCCCAAAAGTGACTGACCATCAGCATCTGCCACAAGCATTGTATTAGGATTGGCTTTAAGGCACAGATATATATCTTTCAATCCAATACAAGTAGTAGAAAATAATTATGATATTTGCTTTGCATAGTGACAAAGACTTCATAAAAATAACCACAACACTACTATTTCAAAAGACTATACTTGAAAATAGCCTACTTGTACAACCAGGAAGCAGATTTTTCAGTTTATTTCCATTGACAAATACTGTATCATGCTGGCAGATTTCCAGTCAAATTTTATTTTCAACCTGACTTTGTGCCAAAAATAGTTAATCATGAATCAGTGGCCAATTATTAGAAACAGAGTTCCTCAGTTCAAGCTTTGACTTGAAACTGAACGTTTCAGACATAATCAAAATCAGGATAGTGATGATATGGACCCTATTTGACTGTTAGCCTTAGAAAAACTTCAAATGAGTTTAAATCCAAATTTAACTGCATATTGATTTTGAATTCATTATTTGGAATTTTAAACTGAAAATTCCAAGGCATAATGACAATTAAGATTGTGATAATTTGACATTGTTTGACTGTTAGCTTGAAAAGCCAAATTCTACCCCACATTAATAAAATAATATGAGAGCGCAGCTCTCTCGATGGCGAAGCCGTTGAGAGCGAAGCTCTCTTTAATGGTAACATACATCAATTCGTTTCAGAAAATTTATGCCCCACGGGTAGTAAAAAAAAAGTGAGAAAAAAGATGGCGGATCATGTTGACAACTAGATCGCAGTCAAACGGGGTAGTTTCGTAGTGAATATTCTGGAATTCTTTCAATAAATTACGACAATTGTTTCAAACACAGAAAGGGATTTTTTGTATCAACTTAACAACCCTTACGTTTTATTTTTATTTTTTCCTGCATAGTCTATGCGTCATAAGGAATAAAATGGCTGCTTTGACCTAATTTCCTAAGACTTTCTCCCAAGCAGTGATGGCAGCTTTGTTGACATCATAAGTCACGTTATAATGACGTCATCGTTTTATATGATTACGCCTTTAAGAAATTTCTCTAGATACCTTATAAAAGATTGTCTACAGATCTAATATTCATAGAAAATTACCTTCACACATATGATTAGAAGACAAAGTAGTCTGCATTACATACAGATAAGGTTGAATTTCTTTTACTTAATTATTATTAATTATTGTTATTTTATCAATAAAATGCGATCACATTCAAGGCCATGCCTTCATTCATATTAAGCTTATAGGCCCTGTTTGACTGTTAAGCCTAAGAAAAAAAACCCCTAAAAACCACAACAATTCAACGATCTATCAATCATTATGCAAGTGATTGTGCTGATTGAAGACTAATGGTGACTATTTAGAACTAGGAAGAATATTATTATGATACATGATGAGTCACTGACCTTAGACAATGGTAGAACTAGGAAGGCACCACCTCCAGCAGCTTCTGTCACTACAGCTACAAATTTAGGGTTAACAGCACAGTAAGCAGCATCCCAAGATGATCTGGTAATCCTTATATTGTCATAACATTGTTCTCTTCTTAATGCTTTACCAAACACATGTCGGAATTTACTATTTCTCATGCTCCACGCCATCTTCAAATCAAAAAAATATCAGAAGTAAACAAAACAGTGCAAGTAGCCTTAGAGTTATGACCAGACTAAACAAAGGAGGCCAACAAATAAAATTGCTAACAAGAGATGCAACAGGTCTAGTCAGCTGAAATATTATCTATTAATTATCATCAGCAAGGGTCAATTACACGGCTATTGTCACGAGTTTCCGATTGACTGAAGTGGAAAATGGAAGATTGGGATGGGAAGTTATAAACTTTAAAAATAAAAATGGGTCGGCCGGTGTTGTATTCACTCTAAATTATAAATCGAAACATGACTGTATGCTTTTCAAAATGTAACAATATCAGAAAAAATTGTGGAATCACTTACATTTAAATAATTTTGTAACTTTTGCCCTTATATCATAGAAAAATCCACCGAAAAGTAGCTTTTTGGTTAAAGTTTGACGCCCTAATGCATCCCACGCGGACCCGGAAACGTTACAGAACGCATGCGCATTAAAGTAAAGAATTTAGTCGGTTGTTGAATCACCATAAATGGTCAAGGCCGTTCAGGATCATGACTCTTTTCAAGAATGTTACAAAGTATGAGTTCAGTCGTGACAGATCATCCATGACCACCCATTTCTTTTCTGTCAATATTATGGTTAATTCCAATGAAGTTTCTTCTTAATCAACAAGACTTGTTGGTGGCTATGCGGTGGCTCAGTCAGTCAAGCACTAGACTAGAGTAGCTTGTCACCGCGCGACAAAGATACTGACAGCCATTAGCTTGGTGACTATAGGCCGGGGCCCTGGCCTTACTACTGCTTGCCTGGGGACGGTCTATAATACCCTCCCACAGACAATACTTGACCCTAGGCTACCCCCTTGAAAAATGGATCAAAATTTAAAAAGCGAAAAACATGCAAACTGAGCAGTTTTACAAATTCTTAGAATAATAACCGAAATAACAATTATATACCGGTATTATTTATTCAGAATGAATTTTTTTTTTACCTCCCTCTAAACCCCTCGTCAATGCGTATCGTAGGCTGTTCACTGTGCCAAAGTAGCGTACGTTGCCCGTATTCATTAGCCCAATCCATTCTAATTAGAAAAGGATTAGTCTACTCATCATTGTTTTTTCCGACTTTTGGAAAAATGGAAGCCAAAGCTATCTAAATTAAAGGTTAGGCTAATCGAAAGTTGTTATCAGAGTTTTGAACAACCATCATATTGGACCTAATGAATGTCGTAAAATTATTTAACAGAATCTCACTACATGTATATAATAAATTCATAAAAATAATTATATGTAATTATCTTTAAAACTATGTAACTTATTATTGAGTATAATATTCATCATATTAGACCTACACAGTGTCTAATTATACAACAGAATCTCTCTATATTCCTACAAATTCACAAAACTAATACAAGTAGGCCTATTTATCTTTAAAACTACGTAGCCTATTATTGAAAAAACGCTCAGAATTTTGAAGGTTAGTATTATGCGAATCTCGCTTCTTGTGGGGTCTGGAAGAGACTACATGCATTATGCTTGCCTTTTGAGGAGGGTTTGGAGCAGGAAGCACAAACGTCTGATTGAAAATTGGCAATGTGCAAATTGATTTTATCATTATTCCAGATACATGTATATGCAAAATTAAGAAAACATCTTTAAAATCTCTGTAAAGCAGTCTCAGTATGACAATGTATGGATTCCCAAGGTGGGCGTATATCACTTTGTTAGCAAAGAGAGATAACTCTTTTCAAATCAACTTTATTCGGGAGATAACAAAGATTAAATACGAAGTTAATCTCAACTTATCTTTTAATGTAAGATAAATAGCTCTCTTTTGAATTTCTATATGTTTAATATTCATTAAATGTGAGAATCTCTCTTAGATGACAACGGTAGGTTAATCAGGTTTGGTGGAGAAAATCAGAATGGGAAATGGTCAAAGAGAGGGAATACATAATAACATTAGGCTACAAACTACAAATAACTCATAGCTGTTGTGTTTCTCCAGTGCCGTATATAAAGTTGTGTTTCTCTTGGTATGTTGTAATTATACTTTCCGCTTTCAGGTACGATGTCAGGCAATAAAGAAATAAAGATTGAGAGATGGAATGAAGAAGTAGATGGAGAAATGAATGACAGAAATATGCAAAAGAAATTAAAATTACAAGGATACAATTTTATAAAATATACATTTTCGCCTGGAACTGATTTTCCTGATCATACCCACAGTATGTCGAAAAAAGACTCAATAATCAGTGGAGAGTTTGAGTTTACAATGTATGGACAAACAAAAGTACTGAAACCTGGTGATATGGTAGATGTACCAGCTAATACTGTTCATAATGCACGAGTTATTGGCTCGAAATCTGTTACATTCTTTGATGCAACAAAATAAAATGTGCAAATTTTGAGTTTTTCACTTTTTTTTTCACTCTCTCAATATGTTCTTTGATGCTAGAAAATAAAATTTTGTTAATTTAGTTTTTCTCTCTTAAGGTAATTATTTGAATAGAAGTCATCTTATGCCACCGACGCATGTTTCGGATACACATTCCTCATCATGACAGCTGTAGCTATAAACATGGGGGCTAACTTTCAAATTACAGGCATAATATGAGCATCTTAATTTCATCATATTTCCAAAATTGTAAATTTCAGACATCTTAATCCAAATCTACACCAAAAAAAGACTTACAAAAATGAAAAAAGGGACAAAGAAAGGGGATGTCTAAAAATTTCATGAACTTGTATAACGCTAGTGCAGAATGTTTTAGTAGTCTGAGTCCATTTGAGGAATGAAAGAGTTATCTCTCCTTGGCGGAAATTGGAAGTTTTCTAGATTCTGATTGCTTACATTAATTTTTGTCAGCCAATCAAATTATACTAAAAAGAAACATGGTGGAAGAAATATCAGAAAATTATCTGGTTAAAAGTTAAATTGTAAATGCGAGTTATTTGTTTGATGATTTTGTATTTTATACTGTTTATTAGAAAATATGACATTTCCAATGCACCGATGTTGTAAATAATGGAAGGTAAGGAACAACGTTATCATTTTTTTTCTTAGGTTTAATGTTGACTCTTCATCTCGATGTAAACAAATCGAAAGTAGAATGTCCTATGAGATGGTTATTATACCACGTGTGGTAGTAGACTTAGCTAATGTGTTATATTTTGGAAAGATGTAAGGAATGGTAGGCCTCTGTTGTTGCTGAAAGTTGCAGTAGCTCATATATTTTCTAATTAGGACTAGAGAAGCTGCTTTAATAAACCTACTTTTACCATGTCTTTGAAATAGACCTTTGTGATTTTAATTTCTTTAGAATTAAGAAATAGTAGTTTATTGGTAATTATACTTGATACCAATCCAATATGGTGGGGTCAAAATATTACAGAAACAGGCTCATCAGTAAGTATCTTAGCTTAGATACATTATAGATTTTGTTGTATTCTCACTGTACAAATTTGAAATGTAACTATCCAAATCACTAATGTCTACAATCTAACACAACTAATGAGATAGACATAAAATAAATCCAATTGCTATTCTGAACCTAGATCATTACAAATGAAAATAAATCACTAAGCTAGGCATCTGCAGAAAAAGAAAGAGGTTCTTGATTTTCGTTCTGCTCTCAGCAAAATAGCATCTTCATACTTAATTGCTTACGTTAAATTTCAAAGTCTAATATTGCAAGCATGAAAAATGGTTATGTGTTTTATGTGATGGGAAACATGTAATAATTGATACAATTTATTCATTTCAGGTTTGTTTATCCCAATGTCTGAATTCTCTGATGGTTTTTGCCAATTCACATCTAATGTTGAGTCATTATAATAAACTAGCAGTTATAGCTGCTCACACTAATAAAAGGTAAGAATCAGTTTATGCCTATTTTGAGATCACTATGATATACATGGTGATTTATCAATATGATTACCTTTGTCATCTTACAAGTGTACCGTACAGCAAATATGTGCTCTTCAAATAGTTTTCTAAAGAAGCATGACCAAAACAAAAAGTCAAACGAGATGAAATGAAAGGCCATATTTATTCTATAAGTCAAATGACAGATACTTTTTTAATTAATTTTTAACTGAAAGTTATTTTGCCACATTACTTATATTTATATTTCAGTTGTTTTCTGTATCCCTTACCCAAACCACCGACTGCGGGTAATACAACTACTGTTAATGATAATGACACAACAGAGGGTGGTGAAGAAAATGCTGTTAAAATTCCACAAATGGGAGAAAATGATGGAAAATATGAACTATTTACAGAATTTAATGAAAATTTAAAGACGGAAATTAAAGATCTGATTTTAAATGGTATGTTGCCATCTAATGTATATTTATACACATGTGGTTTTAATGATAGATCAAAGAATGGATAGTTCACTATACACTATTTCAATTATATGGAATCTTGGTAACATTGGTTCAATTGTGATCTGGAAAAAATGCTCAAAAAACAATCTACTAGTGTACTAGATATTATAGGCACCTATATCATTAGTTGATAAAATAAAGTTCTGTAAATAATTTTCATTTTTATTTCAGATAGATTAGTAGGAGAACTTTATTCTGACTCTTTAGTAGCTGGGGCTATGTCTATGGCTATGTGTTGTATCCTTAAAACTTCTTTTTTTGATTTTTCAGCCTGAATAATGAAACATGCTGAATATAACAATGTTGTCTAGATCATCATATTTATGAAAGGACAATTGAAGCTTTGGTTGCATGCACTTACTGTACAATTGTGTGTATAATACGCACCTCTCCTAAAAACTATCACTTTATATGTTATGCAACCTGTCCAAACAAAAAAAGCAACACACCATAATATTGTTCTTAACTAGGCAATTAGATATCCATAGAATAGAAAAAGAGGCTCCCATTGGTGAAAATGTTTCATCAAGAATTTTGGTAGGGCTTTATTTACAGTAAATAAAACTGGTACATATCAAGTTTTTGCTTGCAGCCTTGTAGACCGAAACGTCTGTCTCTAATCCAGCCTAATGTCTTGCAGGCCATTTAAAACTCTGTGTGTGTGTGCACTACCTAAATTTTTAGTCAAAATGGATATGCAAAGCTTACAAAAAATGTATTTGTATTTTATAGTGATTATTTCTATTGTTAAATACAGGTTATTAAAGGATCTGAAGACAATGCTGCTCAATATATGAACTTTATGAATGCTGTATTTACTGCACAGAAACAGGTAAATATGATTTGTTTATGGAATTTGCTTTTAAGCTAAATTGTAAAATGAAACGTTTTTGCATTGAAATTGTACTGTTATGTAAGAACTAAAATTCAGTGGCAGCTGCACATATTTGGAAGCATATTTCCAACAAAAAAAATATTTCATGATTGTATTACCCTAAATGGCACCCCCATTGAAGCTGCCCCTAGAACCCTATTTTGGTGCTAGTCTACAGCTGATTCTACTTATCAAAATTATTTTCTATTTTTTACAGAATACAGTTATTGATGCATGTATTTTGGATAATGACTCTGGTCTTCTACAGCAGGTAATTCATATTGGTATTCTTCTATATTCTCTATTCCTGATAACTTATTATATAAGTGATGGAGTTAAGAGTTTAGATGCTCTCTGCTGACCTATAAAATTGCATTATTAAATTCTTATTCTTTTTTTGTATACCACTTTAATTGTATGATTACTTAATTAATTTAAATTCTGGATGTTGTTGTTCTGTTTTCAAGAATAATGTTGTAATTTCTTTAGATGTGTAAATGTTACTTTTTTAAAGTAAATTGTAAGCACCAAACAAGGATTACATTGTATACATTTCTTGTAGGCTTGTGATATAACAGGTGGAATGTATCTTAAAATACCTCAGATATCTGGTTTACTACAATATTTACTGGTAAGTTAGTCACTCTATTCACTACAAATTGACTTATGACTATATCTTATCCTTGAAATATAAATTAAACTGGTTATTTAGATGTCTAGATTCCAATTTGAAAGTGCCTGGATAGTCGAGATTACAAAATTTTGCATTATTGTGAATAGAAGAGATAATTGATAAAAAGGTGCTTTTCTATAATTTATGAATAATTTTTTTTTTTACACAAGATTCAATTTGACAGGTTTTGTAGGTGCCTGATTAATTGAGACAACACAATTTTGCATTATTGTGAATACGAGAAATAGACTCGGATAATTAGACTCTTTTAGTTTTGTTCACTGTGAAGATAATAGTCCAGATTTGATAAAATTCTCTTTTCTCTGGTTTTAAAGTATACAGATTTATATAAAAAAAAATAATATATTATTATTCCGAATAACTATCTCTGTCAATTTCAAGGCTACTTCATGTCTTTGAATTACTCCCACTGTAAAGTTTTGTTAAAGGGATTGTTAAGAGATTTTCTAAAAACAATATATTTTTGTATCAGAAACAAAAGCGATTAGTGATGTCATCAAACACTTATTTTTGGGGAATTGCGTGTATTTTGTGACTGAAAAATAGAAGTCAAAATGGTGAAAATTGAATCTATCAGTGCACTAGACAGACAATACAAGTTTAGAAAACCTCTTTACAATCCCTTAAATGGACTAAATGGAAGGCAGGAGACAGTGACATATGACATGTTAAAGGTTGAAGCCATTAAAGAAAGGAAATGAACAGGAAACATGAGTTCTGTATAAAGACAAGCTTTTATCCTGACATGTCATTGTACACCTTCTTCTCTTTTCTTCTCTTCTCTCTTTTATTATTATTGATTTTTAGTGTCTTGATACTGATATCAAGTGTGGAATTTGTATGCTATCTGTACTGATGTTATCAAATGAATTTTAACTTCATCTCACTTTATATTTTGTCTCAGTATTTTTTTTAAGCTACATATTAGGAAATTTGGTTAAAACTGGGATTTTGTTACATTTTTGTTAATTCTTGAATTTATATGTAGTATTTGCGAAGAAACATATAATTTACAAAACTTTGAAACTTTCACCTTGATTCAAGATTACAATAGATTGTTTTTTTGGCATCAATCAATGAAATCACTATCCTCATTATCCTAATTAAATTTAAAAAATTAAATTCAGATGTCAGGCAATAACAACCAATGACAACATGTCAATAAAATCTGCATGAAAATTGTCACGATGTCATGAAAGTCACTTGTAGGTAAACTGATTGTGGGATTTTAATTTTGATAAGTAATACAGATATAACTCTTGTTTACTGATTATTATACTATAATTTCAGTGGGTATTTTTACCAGATCCTATAATGAGACCTAAGTTAACCTTACCACCTAAAGTTCAGGTAGATTATAGAGCAGCGTGTTTCTGTCATCGTAATTTAATTGATGTAGGTTATGTTTGTTCTGTATGTTTGTCAAGTAAGTAACTAGTTTTATTTTAGATTAATAATTGGGATGGAGAAATAGAGCAGAAATCCCTGGCAGTGACAAACACAAAGTGCAATAACATGCATTTAACTTCAACTTACATTGCTCATTGGCTTTAAAGAGATGGAACTTATGGCATAGAAGGGTGCAAATTTGAATTCATAAGATCTCTTATATCAGCTGGTGCCTGACCAAACCTTTGCATGATGATTTCTCCAGGATTATCCATATTCTTTTAAGACTTTCACTTACCAAATAAACAGAAGGGAAAATGGGTGTATGATCAATTAAAATATTTCTCTTTCCTTTCAGTTTTCTGTGCCTTTAATCCCATCTGTTCTACATGCCAGTAAGTATATAACAATCTGAAGAATTTTTAAACTAGGGAAGAATTTGCTTGGATTGGAATTGCATTGATATCAAGCTTTTAACAGATTAAACATAGATTTTTTGTAAGATTTGAACAACATTTGGAAGTATAGGGCACATATGACAAATATAGAAGTGTGTTATACCGTAATATACATGTATTCCTTTGTGTTTTGTGTTACATAGAGTTTTAGCTATATGCCTGTTTATAAAACTAATATAAAGCATCAAGTATCAGTGTTTCATGTTATCATGGATCACTGATAGTGATAATGTCTCAAATAATACTATTTATTGCAGAACTACTTTCAAATTTATGGGTCCACCAAAAATATTGAAGAAGAAATCAAAGAAGTCAGCAGGCTGAATGGTGGAACTGTGGAACTGACATTGAATCTTTCTTTTGTTTTAGCACAGAAATGAAATCAAGACAATTATAGATCTTGTGTCTTCTGATTAAGAAGCAAATATTGTTGCTTTAAGTGTCTCACTGTATACAGACATGATGTACAAATTATGATGAATTGCAATAAGAAAGATACAAACTTACTATTGTGAGAATCAAATTTATAGAAAATGCACTTTTGGTGTAACCTGAAGCAATTGCAACAATTTATTAATGTTGTTCATTACTGGATTCAGAGATGCAAAAGATTCCTGATAAAGACTCACCTATACATTATAAGATATTTTGACAATTAGAAATCAGAAAAGAGTTAACACTAATTGAAAGCTGAGGAAGATCTAGCCATGTATTCTCTAAGCGATCTTAGTGCTAGGATGTTTAAGATTCTTATCTTTAAACATTGATCCTTGGAAATCCTAGTGCTAAGATCGTTTCAAGAAAATGTGGCCAGAGAATGATGTAAATCATAAACTTAATAAAGGTTGCAAAAAAGGTCTGGCAGGTAATGAACTGAAGTGAGTTTTACATCCTACTGTTCTACACCTGTTTTGACTAATTAAGACAGGCAACGTCATACAGTGTTCTATGAGGGAAATTTTTCCAGGACAGCAGCATTATCCTACTGTTTTTGATTTGAACTGTCAGGGGGATCTTTAATAGACAAGAGAAGTCTGGGTGTTAAATACTATGCATTGAGTCTACTAACAGTGACATTCTGTATATGACATTATAGAAATGTCATTTTAAAACCACTGATCCTTGAAATGTTGCTGGTAGTTGGAATAGAATATTCTATGAAGTAGGTCAACAAAATTTATTAGAAAAAACATAATACATTATATTCATATATAACCAAAAATTTGTAGAAAAACATACTCCTTCATTGAAGATCACAATTCACTGAACATACAAATACTTCAAAACACATTTATTTTGGACATTTTAGTTTTTGCATTATTTTACCCCTGAGGACTTCAAGGCATGCCAAGGATAATACAACCATGTGACATTTGGACAAATTATCTGGGAGACATCGTTTCTAGACATATGATTGGTGAAATTAATGGCTGCAACAAAATTGGCCAATCAGATAATTGGAGAACAGAATTCTCAGAAAACTAAGCTTAACCTATCTATAGGTCACTAAAAATTACATGCTACTTAGTTTCTAGAAGCATCTCAAATTGAGATTTGGTATGTATAAGCTATTGAAGTGAATACATAAAGAAGACTATTTAATGCTTAATCAAAAATCATGGCCCCCTTTCTAAAATTATTGTGCAATAACTTATTGTGCTTATTTTCAGATAAATTTGTGATAGATTTTTATTCAAACTTTTTTTTAAAAGCAGGGCCAAAATCTAAAAGTAAACAGCTATCTCTTTTTCTTGCTTTCGACAAGTAAAGCACGTCTATATTTGACAATAGAGACAAATAACAACAATAAATTGACAACATAGGTAGAAATACATACAATACAGAAATCTTGTAATACAAAATATAGTATATAAGCTAAATAAACAGAACCTATATTAGATATTATAGAGGCTACTAGCTGGACCACACTACCAACATATCCAGAATTAAACGCTGAAATAGATAAAGAAATATAAATATTCTCAAGGGGTAGTAGTATTAATATTTACTTACCAGCTGACAGCTAAATTTCAGCTATTGGTAGCATATTTCAAAATTAAATTTGAGGTCTTGTTCTCCAGTAATTCCATAAAAATGCACCCTGTAAGTCACTTCTAATCTCTTGGTCAGTTTGACACTTGCTCGCTAACGTAACAGTCCACGGTTCAATCCCAGTAAAGATAAACTGAGGCCCTAAGTCTTACAGACTGTGCACGTTAGGATCCCTCGCTGGTTAAATGAAAATCAAAAAAGAGTAGACCAATATTGCTGTCTTGGCAAAATTTCCGTCATTGCACATTGCATGGCACTGCCCATCCTTTGTAACCCAAAAGAGTACGATGTTCATTTCATTTCATTTTCAAATTCATTTCTGACCATGTCACAGGTCATTATTACTAATGACACCATGAATTCAGTAATAATCTTGTTTCAAAGCTTGTAGTGAAATAATGATAAAATAAAGGAATGAATTGGTTTTTACCTAGAATAGTCTGGAATGTATAGAAAGCCATACCAAATACACTGTTAGGTTGATTCAATATACTATCTTTCCCTAACACTCGATCTATTAACCCAAATCCTCTACCATACCTACAATTCAATTACTATTAACATTAATATACCTTAAACCTTGTCTCAGGGGGACTTTTGGATATATTTTCAATAATATTTCCTTTGATACTTAACCGCCAATAGTTTACACTAAGTTCATTTTCATTCAATGAAACATTTTGTCAGATAGTTGTTCATATCGATTTATCATATTTGATTTACCTAATACTGGATGTGATTGGATATCTGCTAACTAAATAACTGCTCACTAATATTCAGCTATCCCAAATTTGCCAATGAAATAACGATAAAGCTTTCGTTAGTTTGTAAGTGAAACATGCATAAGAATAAGATGATCATATAAACCTATGAAGGCCTACTTTAATAAAACAGCCCCAGTGGTAGTAGGCCTAGTGTCTAAGGCTAGAGTACTGAATTGCAAGAGAACAAATGTCAGGGAGATCTAATAATGGAGAGTGAAAAGCAAATTTAAAGCAAATGTTTAATATAAATGATCCAGTAACAATTATCCATTTCACTACGAATGCCTTTGGTCAAACCGGTTATATTTACCTGGATGTGAAGACTCTAGAACAACTGATGAGATCACTAATATCACAGTACGCTGTGTAGGATTTGTCATTCTCTTTCGATATTTCCACGTGTAAGGTATAAACACACAATCCCATTCCTAAGGCACATAATAATAATATGAATGATCGTATATAAATGGAATTGGAATTCGCTGCCTTTTGCTTGTTTTTCTTCTTCGACATCTTGGATATTCTTAAAGGCCGCTTAAATCAATTTGCCTCATACGTGTCGACAATTGCAGAATTTCAATTTGAAATTGTTGGCTATATTTATCCAAAAATGCTACGTTTTAATAATTAAGAGCAATGAAGGGAATAAACTAAGTTGAAAAACATTGTATTTTTAATTGATATAAGCGATACAAGAAAATCTCACCACCCCCATTATCATTTATAAACCATAGGCGATCGATAATCAATGTTATCTACTTCAATCTGTTTCTTTTTAATGCAGCTGGGAGTTTCCTCTAACGGAAAAAATGTATTTCTCAAGAAAAAATGTAGCTTACAATAGGTAGATTCATCTTTCTACCTTGCGTCTGAGTTCAATGAAAGAAGCTTGGTGCCAGAAGGGTAGCCTAGCTTACTCATTTAAAATCTGAAAAGAACCAAAAAAAAAATAAGTTGGATGGCTCCTCTTGAAAATGAAACGAAGTACGGTGGCTCACATACGACATACTTCGTTTAATTTCGAATTAAAAACATTATTTTTCACCTAGGCGATCAAATGTTTTATTTGCTGAATAAAGACCAGACTATCCATACAGCTCAGCAGGCATAATTGACATATCAAAATAATGTATTTCACAATAGAACGCAACCCTTGGTATACCCCCCCCCCCCCCTTTTTTCTTCGTCTAAGATCTTTAAAATCATACTTCGGTTAACAGACCAGATTCACGCGAAATTGTTTTGCATTCTCTATAGAATCCCATAATCTACACCGTACTGAATTTATTTTACAATTGTCAGGAACCACTGACAGGAAATAAAAGCCAGTTAATATACCAATCGCATGTGACAGCTAGATTCTATTTCTACGCTGTATGACATTTAACATTAGCAGGATTATAAATAATATTCCTGTTATTTGAACTGTTTACGTGGCATTAAAGAGAGGAGCCGGATTTAAACACGTAAATTTGGATCACATTAACATTTCCCTTGGAGATTTTCAATAAGGTAAGTTGACATTTAGAAGGATGACTGTCAATGGCATTTTATTTCTCAACCTCGGTTTACAAGTATGGTATTTTATTTTCCTGATACAGTTATAATCTATGGTTATCACTTACTATGAAAAAGATGATATGTGGCATATCAAAGAAGGCTATAATGCGACATGTCTACGGTGGCTCACATACGACATATTTCACGTGTAATTTTGAATTAAAAACTTTAATTTTAGGTGATAATTCGTGTAATTTTGAATTAAAATCTTTAATTTTCACACTTTGCACGTGTATTGGGAACTATATAATTTGAGTAATTAAAAAAATTTACCTGAAAAATGACGTTATTATCGAAAACACCAATTGGCATGTAATTACTCGGACGACAGTTCATACAGTAAGGAAGTTTTGAAATTTCCCGATACACACAAAAAGGGTGAAAATATGTCTCGAATCCCTTTAACCGCAGTACTGAACGATATAACCTCAATATTATCTTTTATCAAATTAATCATTTAATATTCAACTGTGTAATGATTTTATTCAAATTCACATTTTAGAGGATCAAAGCAACATGAGTTTGGAATATTTCTGGATATCAAACTCGATGGATCGAGTTATATTAAACATTATAGGGATGGTGATATCCTTGTACTCTTTAAGAGTTGAAATTAAAAAGGAAAAGGATCCGACCTATGTTGCTGCTTGTGATTTTAATGATCACATGAGTTGCTCTAAAGTCCTGACATCCAAGTAAGTATTAAGGTGTTTTTAATACATTATCCGAGATACGTTAAGGTTATCACATCTGTCGAGTATCGAACACTGCTCATATTATCCCTGTTTCTTTAGCAACGTTAGACGTTTATCTCACGTTTATCACATATCAATGCTATATCTTGTTGTTATAGTAACTTCTCGAAACAAAACGTGCTAACTCTATCACTTAACATACACCAACTCTATCACATAACAAACATCAACTCTAACACAGAACACATCAACTCCAGCACAGAACACACCAACTCTAGCACAGAACACACCAACTCTATTACATTACATACACCAACTCTATTACAGAGTACACCAACTCTATCACAGAACACACCAACTCTATTACATTACATACACAAACTCTATCACATAACATATAGCAAATCTAGCACATAACATATACCAACTCTATCACATAACATATACACCAACATTATCAACTTTATCATGTAACACACACCAACTATATCACATAACACATACTAGCTCAATAACAGCTACCAACTCGATCCATTAACCATGACATAACCTAACCCAGCAATGTCTTTCATCCATCAGAGAATTTGGAATAGTCACTATCATTGAGACTATATTGTTATTAAAGATATGCAAAAGGATTTGGTATAATGGGAGTATTGTTTGGTAAAGAACATTTTATGAACCAGAGGAACTGTAACCTAGGATTGGTATTCTATTTATTACAACTAGCTCTGGGTAAGTACATCTCTATCTATGATACCATTCAAGCCATCGGATGTGCACAGATAACCGATAAAGTCATTTCATGTACCTCTGTATGTTTGCTGTATGCATTAAGGGGAACTTTAACTGCGTTCCGTGCATCAATAGAGTATCTCAGTCAATCAGCGAAGATACAATTTTTTACTATATTTCTAATTTTGAAGTTATTATGCAATTTTAGTAGTGCTTGTAATTCTGAAGATCCAAATCAAATGAAAATACAATTATTTTCTTCTTTCAGTTTTTCAACCATATCCTGTGTTAGCATCTAAAGTATTATTTTACAGTTCAATCGTATGTATTATTGGTTGTGTGTATCTGGCGATTGTGTTATTTTGCATTTTAAAAGACGTTTGTGTGGTTTGTATAGCGACGTATTTTGTGAATGGGGCATTATTATATTTGAATTATTCACTGTATAAGAATGTTAATAGTGTATTCTAACAGACATTTACTGTGGAACCTTCTGAATAATAAACGATTCTTATTGACAGTTTTAACTAACCATCCATTGATACCTAACTAATCGAGTCACATCCAATACGCAGCTTCGCAACAGGTGTGAAGACAGTCTACATGATCAGAATGGAATATTTTGCAATATTTCACTTCATTGCTTTATCCACTCTTACTAGAAGGATCTCTTACTATGTATCGGACTACATGCATTTCATGTTATTCCCCAAAGCAATATTTGTGTATTTATTTGTGGACAGTATAAATATCAATATCAATTATAAGCTTATTATTATATTATATTCAATTATCTATATTCCCTGAGGAACTGTTTCTGGTGATTATCAATGAAAAAATTGCATGATTAAAAGCAATATCAAATTAATTATTGTATAAATTTGACCAATATGTAGAGTGTAACTGTGCTCCACAAATCTAACCAATTTTTTTTATAATTTACATTTATTTACATTACAATGCAACATTAACAATAAATATAAACAATAATTTCCTTTACAATCATTTCCCCCCATATATAATGTACAATATTAACAATAAAGACTACCCTTTGTCGACTGGCAATGATCTTTGTGCATGGCAAAAATTATTTGTTTCATAAATTCGGCCATGATATCAAGGTAAAATATACATTTTCAACTCAATATTTTACCCATATTACTGTATTTGCGGTTTTAATGACAGGTGTTAATAGACATGATAAAGAAGATGAAGAGGTATCTAAAGATCAGGGAATGGTAATGGTGATTGAGTTGACATCTCTTGTTCTAAATCTTGTATATCAGCTATCAGGTTTCCACCTGTAACTTCTAACCAGTCAGCTAACAGAGATGATGATAGTGGACTCTGAGTGCCACTGAAAAAATAAATGGTGTGAATTACAAAAAAATAACTCAAATGAGGCACACTTAGCTTTGTTGGTTTTGTCCCATTCCAGTAACACCTACGTTTTTCAATTTACCTTTTCCATGCTTTTCTTATATTTTATTTCCGTATTTAATGGGAAGAAGAGAAGTGTGCATTATATTCTTACATTGTATATCTAAATACACTTATAATTCTGAACATACCTGTCAGATGTTACTTGTGCCTGAACCAATAAAGCATCCATATCCATACCAACACCATATCCAGCACCTGTTCCCCTTGGTGTCAGCGATAAGGATGGAGGCATGATGTTGTCCAGTAATGATTTTGACATCTGTTTAGACAATAGAGCTATCAAATCGGGTTGAAGTTGACTGTTGGTTTGATTGGAAGGCTTCCTTTCAGGAGATGAACAATCTACTTTCAATCCTGGTGAATTAGCTGTATAACTAGGTGATGTTGACGATACTGAAGATGTGTTCCAAACTGGTTCTCCACTTGCTGAGGCTTCTTGTGGTTGAGAGTTGCTGTTGGTTGATCCTTGTTGGTTCATCTGCATTTGATCATAAAATGCTGGGCTATCATGTTGGAAAGCCTTGGGAGAAGAAATGCCATAGTCTGATGTGGGTGTGAAATTGAGTAGATCAGGAATGGTCTCATGTTGTGTTTGATTTGTAATATCAGGTTGGAACTGTGTTGGTTGAGATGGTATTGGATGGTTATATGGCTGTTGAGGGTGAAAGGCAGTGCTTTGAGTGAAACCACTGGGTTGTTGTGACATTGCCTGTGATGATATCACCATATTCTGATCAAATCCTTGGGCTGTGAAGTTTAGATCTGTTGGCTGTATGTTAGGAACTCTTGGCTCAGGGTTCATAACATCCATCTGCTGTCTGTAGCTAGCTCCATGTTGATCTTGCTGATACTGAAATCCACCTTGAGTGGAAGTGAAGGATGCTTGCGAAGAAGGTAATGTGCATTTGATGGAAGATTGTAAGTCTTTTGATAGAGATACTAAATCTATGCTTTCAGCATTAAGACTACCAAAGCTTGTATTGGACTCAAAACTCAATGTTGACTGATTACCAGAAGTGTTGAAACTTGAGTCAGTAAAGCTGAGATCAGATTGGCCACTAGTATTAAATGTAGAATCTGTAAAGTTGTTCTGGCTGGCTGTTTGGGATGTATTTGATGGCTGTTGAGGATGTGGAAATTGGTTAGGTTGTTGTGGGAAAGATGCTGTAGACTGATTTAGTGGGTTGGCTTGAAAGACATCTGGTAGTACTACAGCCTGTGCAGCTGCCGACCCAGCACTGTTAAAATTAGAAATAAAAATTCCACCATGACTTGCACCCTGGCTGACTGAGATATTTTGACCAGAATTTGAAGACTTTCCCTGAAGGAGATCAGGTGGTGAACCATTAGGATTGACATGAACAACTTGTGGAGGAGGGGTTCTGTTAGTTGCTGGTGGATTGGTCTGTGGTACAGTAGTTGTCTGAATTATGCTGCCAACTTCAGGCTTTGGTAAAATTGGTTTTTCATTTTTATGTTTCATTTCAGCCCATCTCTTCAACATGGCTTTATCGGCCTCTGATAGAAACACTTCTTCTGAAACACAAGAAGTCGTGCAATATGGACATAAATAGAAAAACAATGAAGATTTGGTTATAGACTAATGAGTCAAGTTTTGTTATTTGATTCTGGATTATCTGTTATTGAATGATTAAGAACTGCCATATGACAATTATATCACTAAGTTTGTCATGAAGTTCTTAAGATTTCAGAAAAGTGACTAATATTACTGGAATTACCCTAAATTAGCTCATTTTTAAAGAATTTGTTTTGAAACACCGGTGAACCAAAGAAACAAATCTTTGTTTACCTTTCTGAGCTTTAGCTTCTTTCTTTCTATTTCTTAATTTTTTATTTTTCTCTTTCTCTCTTCGTTTATCTTGTCTTTCTTTCTGCCTCATGGCAGCTGTTATAACTTTCGGTTTCTCATCTTTATCACCTGTAGAATCTATATAATGGAAACACACTCAGTTTTAGTTAGTTAAAATGAACCGATTAAGATTTACTGAGGTAATTGTGCTTTGGGAATGAATTTATTCTGATGGATAATGCAGATTTCAGTATCTCAGAATTAAAATTTGCTATATAAAGTTAGCTTGTAATCTGCATGGCTTTCAAGTGATCAAAAACAATTTTATTTGAAAGATAATGGATAAAAACGTAGATTCGATCGAATATATACCAGTTACTTAACATTGTTAAATGATTCCATATTAATATGGTTAACATTTTAATATCAAATAAAAATAGAGTAATTCAGAAGAAAACATTAACTGTGCATACCATGTCTCTGTCTCCACTGACTGTTTAATAAGGCCTTTTTAATCAAGGCTTTAGTATCATCAGATATAGTTTTACTGTCAGTCTGAGCTTTATTTTCTTTATCTACCACAGTTCCAACTGAAGCACATGACTGAGTATCCATTTTCCCATCGTTTGATTTTGCACTTAACATTTCTACATCATTAGCTGAGAGAGCTAGTAAGTTATTGGTGTTGACTGACACTGGTGATGTTTTAATATCAGGCAGTTTACAGTTTGATTCTGTCAATGGCGATGATTTCTCAACCTTGATATTGCCAGAATTTTCAGGAATTCGAACCATGTTTCCTTCGGATTTGATGTCTTTGTTAGGTGCTGGTCGAATAAAGGCACTGAAACTTAATGTAGGCGTTCGTGGTTTATGAAATTCCATAATTTCTTTGTAAATTACATCTCTTAACTTCTCTTTATCCATAAACTGAAAGTAACAAAATAATGTGTATTTAAATATTTGTATACAAACAATCGAGATAATCATAGCCTTAATTCCCAAAAATATAGAATAAATAAATAAAATCAATAAAACATGACAATATCAAAAGTCAAAATGGCCAAAAATATTCATCATAAGCTTAGCTTAGTTACAATTGGTTAGAACGAATAGCCAACCTGTCCCTCTAAAAAGAATATTACCTCTTTTTCAAAATCAAAATTAAAAGCAGGAACACATATAGGTTCATCATCTGGATCATGGTATTTCTGGAGGTAAGGATGTTTTAAAGCATCTACAACTGTTATTCTTTCTTTAGGGTTTATCACCAACATTTTACTCAGCAAATCTATGGCCTTCTTACTAGCTTTAGGAAATAAGGTCTTCCATGGTATGGCTTCTTTAGGTCCAATAGCTAAAGAGGAAAAAAATGATTTCAATACAGTTAATGAGTTATCAAATCACATGGAATGTTTATAATGAAATATTGGAGTTTTCCTTAAAAAAAACTGTACACATGTATTACCAAAGAAAGAACTTATCAAAATGGGGTATGTGTATAGCTTACATTGATAAAGGTTTTTTTCTGAGGTTTAGTTACTTAAAGTAGGAAGGGGCGAACACTTGGTGCTGACCCTGTCACACGTTGCAAGAATATTCAACCCTTCAGTTTTTTGGTGGTAAAATGACCAGCAAGATTCCAATGGTTCAAATTGTACTTACTAACTAGTATCTTCTTTATGACTTCATTTTGACATTTAGTAAAAACTTGAGCAGACGGTGAACCCAAAACTCCTATAATTAACTTAATCTGTGATATATAATCTTTTCCTGTAATATTCAAATACATTATCAAAATACTAACTTAACCTAATATGTAACTAATTCAAGAGGGTTAATAGCTCCTTAATTTGCCATTTAATACGTGCATCACAAAAATAATGTTTCAAGCCATTCAATTAGACACCTTTTAATACTTTAAATGAGCCACCAATAAATGTCCACTGTGTTATTTGAAAACCATTGAAAAAAGGATTTGGCAAAAAAACATTCCCACAACCAGAATCATGGACCAACATCCTAACCAAGCTGAAAAAATACAATTTAAATAGCTTTCGAAATTTACAATAAGCCTACCTGGAAATAAATGTTTTCTGCCCAACATTTCAGCAAAGATACAACCTACAGACCACATATCAACAGCTGTACCATATTCTACTAGTGATAGTAATATTTCAGGTGCTCGGTACCATCTTGTAGCTACATACTGGGTCATAAAATGAGATGGTTCATTCGGGGAGGCAAATATACCTCGTGACATACCTGAAAAGTTAAACATGGAAAATTTAATTGCATTGATAACATACAGTAAAGGATCATTTATTCTTTTCAATACAATAGCAACACAAATCTGAATATTTTATATCTTAGACATAAGGCAATATGGGATGGGGCAATCAGAAGCTATTAGCCCTCCTACCTGATGGTTAGCGAGCAAATGTCTAACCCACCCCGGCTCCCAAGAAAGGGGGTTTGAAAAGAGTGCGTACTCACCAAAATCTCCAACTCTCACGTGACAATCTTCATTGACTAAAATATTACCAGGTTTCAAGTCTCTATGAACAACATTAGCTGAATGTATATATTTCAATCCTCGTAATATCTGATACAAAAAATATCTTGAATGTTCCTCACTTAACTCTTGATCAGAATAAATTATTTTATGTAAATCACTTTCCATTAAATCAAAAACAACATAAATGTCACGAAAATCTTTATAATCCTCTTTTGGTTTTAATATCTCTCGTATACTGATAATATTATCATGTTTAAAATGTTTTAATATCTTTATTTCACGATGAGTTCGTTTAGCTATGACCAACACGTCAAAAACATTAGGAATTTTCTTAATGGCCACTTTATCTTTTGATTTTTTATGAATAGCAGAACATACTACACCATATGCACCGATGCCGATATTTTCTATTGGGTTATATTTTGTTCCTTCCAGATCAAATTTAACATCTAGACTCCTCTTTTGAATGTGTTTAGTCATTGCTTCCACTGATTTAGAGGTATGACTAGAGGCTGCTGCCATTTTTACAGTTGACACCAATCAATTACTTGTCTTTAAATATCAACACTCAGTTACTGTTTCAAGTTTATTTTTAACTTATTTATTAATTTTATGACTTTATGACCTGAAACACACAAAAAACAAATAATCGGATGCAGATATAAAAAAACAGTGAACAGTTACTTGGTTACAGGAAATTTGGTCATCGGAAATATGGTCACAGTAATATAGGTATTTTGGTCACAGTAATATAGGTATTTTGGTCACAGTAATAAAGGCACAAGGTAATATGGTCACAGTAATATGGGCAGTAATATGGGCACAAGGTATTTTGGTCAAAGTATTACGGGCACAAGGTATTTTGGTGACAGTGATACAGGCACATTGTAATTTGGTCACAGTAATACAGGAACAAGGTAATATGGTCACAGTTACATATGATAATCACTCTCATAGCAAGTATATGATAATCAATTACAACATATCTCGATCATTTACTCGGAATATTGAATTAACCATTCCGAGAACACTGGTTATACCAATGAAGTTCCAGGACGGCTCAGTGTTTGGACCTTGTGCTCTTATCACTATGAGTATGACCAAATTGCCTTGTTCCCCCGTCTTACTGTGACCAAAATACCATTTGCCCCCGTATTACTGTGACCAAAATACCTTGTGCCTGTATTACTGTAACCATATTTCCGGTGAATAACTTTCCTACAACCATAAAAACTTGATATGTGATGCCAGACTGCTAATGGTATTTCACCTGCCCTCCAAGTTGGCCCTTTGGCTTTATAGATAACAATTAAAGAAATGTTTCCCTATCAGTATCATCACTGCATACAGTGAGTCATCTACACAACTTGATGAAGGAATTCCCCATTGCCATAGGAAATGAGTAGTGAAGTATCATTACATAGACTGTATGCTAACTCTGAATTCTAGTACAAATTACCAAAAAGACAAAATAATATGCAGCTAATTTGTAAATCCTCTTAATAGAAAGTCTTAGTCTTGGGGTCGTATGCAGCGCTCTTACCTTGACTAAAGTTGAACTTAGGCTAAAGTCGAACTTTACAAAGTTAGGATTAAGGTTTTCTTTTTCAACATTTGCTAGTCAAATTTTTGCACAACTTTCGTAAAGATCGACCGGTGCATACTTTAAGTTCGACTTAAATCTAACTTAAGTCAAAGTTTTGGTAAAGTACGAGCGCTGCATATGGCCCCAAGACTAGAGTTAGAGTTAGAGTCAGACTTAATACAAATCATTTATAAAAAATAAATAAATAAAAATTGCATTGCATTTTTCTTTATAAATATAAAAAGAAATCAATTGGCATGAAAAAGATATCAACTAGTAGGAAATCCGAATTTCCCTTACTCAGATAAGATCCTCGTTCAGTCCCTTAATCATTCCCTTGAACACTGATTGAATCGTTTGAAGACATTCCCTTTTTATTTACTAAAATCTGTTACCAAAAATAGAACTACACCTTTTTAATCTTCATTGACTAAGATTTTCACATTCAAGGTGCGCTACTCTTTAATGTTAAATTTCTAGTATCAGACAACAAATAAATTACTAAATAAATGAAAAAAGGTTCAGTGTTGTTGTGTCAAGGCTCCGCGTTGTTGTGCCATGGTTTACTGTTATCGTGTCAAGTCTTCGTGTTGTAGTGTCAAGGCTCCGTGTTGTCGTGTCAAGGCTCCGTGTTGTCGTTTCAAGGCTCCGTGTTGTCGTTTCAAGACTCCGTGTTGTCGTGCCAAGGTTCTTTGTTGTCGTTTCAAGGCCCCGTGTTGTCGTGCAAAGCTTCCTTGTTGTCGTTTCAAGGCCCCGTGTTGTCGTGCAAAGCTTCTTTGTTGTCGTTTCAAGGCTCCTTGTTGTCGTGCCAAGCTTCTTTGTTGTCGTTTCAAGGCTCCGTGTTGTCGTGCCAAGCTTCTTTGTTGTCGTTTCAAGACTTCGTGTTGTCGTGCCAAGCTTCTTTGTTGTCGTTTCAAGGCTCCGTGTTGTCGGGCCAAGGCTCTGTGTTGTCGTGGAGAGTGGGGGGGGGGGGGGGTGGTTGGGGATTAATAATAATAATAAGAAGAACTTTATCAGGCAACCCTAATATTAGGCATTTAGCAACATTAACAATGTAGGCTACCAAAAGTAAATAGATTAAAATAAAAAGGTTAATTCATAATAAGTTATGTCCCTCTCATTTTGAATCACGATCAAAGGATTTGCCAGTTCAACCAGGAGGTTCACTACTCTATTGTCTAGCTAGTCATACCCAATGAAAAATATGGTCTGGATTTAAACAAAACCGGCGAACTAGCTGCCACAATCATGTATGTATTCAGGGGTGCATTTAGAAGATGCCCGGGGGAGGCCAACAATGAGTTGTCTCTCCGAGAAGGGCCCTAAAGCCGGGAATCTTGGGCTCCCAGAAGCATATGGATTTCAGATGATCCGGGATGAATTTTGAGCATTTGGAGGGCTTAATTTTTTACTTCAATATAAGACCTTTTACATTTTTGATATTGAATGTACAATTTGAACCCGAGCAAATAGACTTGTAGCTCCGATTTCTTAAGGACAAAATTTGTGAATTGAAATAAAAAAAAATGAACAGCTATAATCATAGCCATGAAACAAAGTAACAAACTCAGCCTTTCAAATGTGGGAAAGAGGTACCTCGCAATCAACATCGTAATAAAGTTCATTATCTATTAACAGGTGCCTACGACAATACAATAAAAGTAATATCAGTGGAATCAGGGAAACTGATCAAATCATTCGATATTGAGGGCAATGATCCTGAAAACGTACGATTCTGTAATAATGACGAAACGCTGATTGTTACCTGTGATGATTTTGCACTGGCAGTACGATGCCAGACGGGGCTGAAACAATATACTCTGAAGTGGAAAGATAAAGGAACTGTTGGTATTTGTGGTGAAAATAAAGAAATGATAGGAGTATTTGGAGGAACTATGGTTGTATTACATGATGCTGCTACTGGAAAAATGCCCAAAGCTGTAGAATGTGATTTTATGAAAGAGAAGGAATTGTCGTTTGCTACAGACTTTCCGTGCGTAGGTAGTAAGTAAAACCTTCCCCATGCTTCAATCAACAAAACAACCATAAACCCACAATTACTCCTTGTGTATACACAGAAATATAGATGTCGGACCCGTAGCTACAGGGGGGAAGGAAGGAGGGTCAATGTCCCCCCCCCCCCCCCCCCCGAAAAAACTGGATTTTACTTTATTACATTTTAATGTAATATATTTGTGTTGTATATTTAGGAAGTAAACGGTATATATGGGCCACGCTTGATGATGATAACTATAAGAGATTGTCAGCCAGTTTCTACATAATCATTACCAATATCTTCGAAACTTACAAGAACTCTGATGGAGATGATACACAAGATACGGTCAATGCAATGGTTATATCCCTAGATTGTCAACATATCATTGTGTCGACGATGAAAAATGACCTTTTGATATATGACATCACCAACATGGAACTGGTCCGACAAATACAAGGTATGACTTAATCAACATCATCTCCTTCTCATCGGTGAAATCTAAGAGCAAATTGTTTCTAAGAAGCATTCTCGAGGTAAAGCATCTATTGGGTAAGAAATGATCTGTTATCTTTATCTCCTACCATGATTTACATAACTGTCTTGATTTTATTCTCAGAATGGTCCTCTAAATCAACGGTTCCAAACCATTTTCCGCTCTCACACCCCCATTTCATCCTAAACAGGTGAATCTTTTGGTAACATTACGTTCTGAAGTAACATTTTCTAGATCTTGGTTCCTCGGCGCCAGTAACTTGAAAACAATTTAACTCCCAGTGAACGATCCTCAACAAGTTTTTGATTTTCTTCCTCAATAATGATACAAAAAGCAGGATATGATCTGCAGCAGTTGGTAAAGCGGCTTAATCTAGTAAATGAAGTTACATAATTTATATTTTCATAGGAAATGTGATAGGTAAAAGGATAATAAACGGTATGCAATAAAGAAAATAAGAGTGATAAAGGTCATTTTCTGGAGTTCGCTGATTTATTTAAAGATGAAGTGATGAAGAAAGACAAAGTAGAGCGAAACTGCTGGTCCAAAAACGTTCTTGATATACAAATTGTGCAAAGGTGTAAAACCCACCTATTCTTTGGTGGCAGCAGCTGTTTTTAAAGGTATACTTCCTCTTGAGATGACAGAGGGGCAGAGGGAGCAGCCTCACTTCTGAATTTTATATGTCATATTTCTGAATCCAATTTATACGGCACAATATTATATAAAGAAATGTGGCACAATAAGACTGAAACAGCTAAGCAGGATAAAGATCTATATGTAGTAAAAATCCTTTAAAAACGACGAATCAGGATAAATTATTGTTTGATATTCTATTTGAAAGTTGTCATGGTTTATATTGATTTTTTACGGTTAATATTAGTTATCTATAATGTAGTTAAACATTCGCGAAAGGGATTACGTCCTCCAACACTAACACTTGTCAACGTACGCCTATATTCAGATTTATGTAAACGGTCGAGAGTTACCGAATGACTATTAAAGGGACCGATGCACCATTTTAAAAATATGTTAATAGTTTTCAGAAGTACTAGAAATGTACGCAAAATTCCTTCAAAGCTAACTCAAACTAGAATTTCTTTCCTTATTTCTATAGATGTCTTTTATATATAAAGCAATGTCTCAAGAAATGACGACTCGTCTTTTTAACCTTCAAACGCCGATAATTCTGGACATACATGGATTTGGATTCTCAAATTTCGACGGTGAGCTTCGAACACTATTAATGAATGGCTCAGCTAAAAAAAAATCCCGTTTCTGACACTGATCTTTAAATTAAAATGGCGCATCTTTCTCTTTAACGTCCTTGATGCTACCTTTAAAGGCTTGACTAGAATTTTTCGTGGAATTCACTTGAACTAGAATTCGATTTTCTACTCACTTTTTATGTCGGGAAACGATAAAAAAAAGTCTGAAAAAGTCAGATTTCATTCAATGTGACATGTTTATTATTTTTACGTAAGTATAGGTAAGTTTGAATAAACTTGTTTCGCCAAGTTCACGTTAATGAAAATGAACATCTAAAGGGTTATATCTCTTTAAAATGATCATTTATCCGTTCATTCAATATCTTTTGAATACATCTTTTATTGAAGATGGGTGTGGAGGCTCTTCCTTCATAAAGTTATAGTTAAAAACTCACTTAATGTGAAATATATACAGGTTTGTGAAATGATCAGGATATAACTACATTTTTCACGCATTTTAAACGTCATGTTCTGCGTTCAACTATTAACACAAGGAAACTACACAAATAGAGCGTTATTTCAATAAATTGATTAATAGATAATTGTGATGGATGTGAAATTTGGAATAAGTAACAGAATTGTATTTGAAAAAGTTCGGTCAATTGAAAGATTTGAATTACAATCAGTGATACCTTCTCGACATTCAGAATGAACTAGAAGACGTGCCTGTGCGCTTATCTTACATAAAAGTAATTTCCATGGATTTGACAGATTTTCTGTGATACCTCTTCATTAATATTCAGATTAGAACATACATATCTATCCTTTCAACGATCGGAGAAAATATTGTTTTCATCATATAATTTTGAAAATAAGAGACATTTTATGAAATAATCTATCACTAATTACATTCACTAAAAAATTAAGGAAAGTCTTCAGGCTAGAAAGTGAACCGTGAGGCGCCGATCAATCAATTGACCTACTTGCTTATCGACCATTTCAAGTGATCCACCGAGATATACTAAACAGTCGTATACAGTGCGAGTTGACCTTTATTGATATTTCACTATATAAGACTACATATCTCATTTTCAATGGAACCTCTACATAACAACCATTATAAACAAATAAACTATACTATGTCATGGCCGACATCTAGCATTAAGCAATGTATCGGAAATTTAAACAGGAGCACGGGGGTTTTAGCCCTTACACTTTACTACCCCCAATAGTACCACAGCAGAACACGATGGGGTGCTGTCCCTCTAATTCGTTTGAAGTAAGTGGGGGAGGTGGGAGCGGAGAAAAAGACGGATCTAATTATCTTACCAAAGATTCTAATAGGTAAGTAGTTAAATTTGAAAGTTAGTTATATACAGTATATCATTCAGCCTTTAAGGCAAATGTAAGCTCTTGTATAATTACATGATAGCTAGTGCAAGTAGGTTGAAGTCATCTCTGCGACGATCAGTATTAATGCACCTATTGACCCAATCCGATAGATATATTATATAGGTTTAGATCCATACAAACACAATGCCCTTGATTATCTACTGGCCTTGCATAACGCTTTACATACAATGAATAGAAGATAAGGATACCGGATTCGACACTAAATCCTTGATATGGTCATATAAAGTTCTTCTTCCCAAATGTATACCATATAAGCTTATACCGGTACCGAGAATTAAACAAATGAAAAATTTGTTGTTGGTCGGAACAAAATTTGCACACTGAATATCTGCATCACTGAGAAATAATCGTTAGTGAACCTTTAAATTCATAGTGTTTCTTTTCGACCTCCATTTCAGTAACATCAACCCACCTTCCAAAGATAGTGATGTAATGGAACTCAAGTCGCAAGTTGAAACAATGCTACATAAAACGCCGTCACCGCCTGTATCCCCGTCACACAAGGGCGATAACTCTAAGCAAGCGATGTTGAAAAAACGAATTTCGAATGTAATGAAACGAGAAAAGACAGGCATAAAAATTGACTTTAAAAAAATGGTGAAGAAAGCCAGTGATCTGTTCAATTCTAACCTGGATAATTATACTGAAGAGATACTGCGTGGTAAAATATCAGTCGAGTGTCCACCAACGGCTAAAATCGTCCGCATCTTCACCAGCAGTACATTTACAGGTAATGTTTTAGTGAATATTACAGCAAATATTTTGACTGCGTTGCGACCCCATGCTGCAGAATGATTCCACTCTATAATTTGAAGAGTCATTAGTCGTATGAACACATACAAGTATATATGAAAATAGCCATTTCTTCAAGTTATCAAGATAGACAGTTGTTACCATAGACGTAACAGATGAGGTCTCAAAAGAACGGAACGTTTTCTTGGGATATAAATGCATGTAAACGAAGGAGCTTTAATCGACAATGGGTATTTTAAACCCTGAACAAAAGAGCAAGAGCACTTATTTATTTCTTGTCAAATACGGCTAATTTAAGCAGACCTCCTCGAAACCCTTTTTTATTCCTTTGCAGATACTCGACACGAGAGGAACTATTTAATGGAGAAAATCTACCCCAAATTAAAAGAATTTTGCCAAAATTTGGGTTATGAATTTCAAGTTGTTGATATGAGATGGGGAGTACGAGATGAGGCTACAGATGATCATATGACTACAGAACTTTGTTTGAAAGAAGTAGATCTATGTAATAAAATTTCCACTGGACCGTCATTTGTAGTGAGTACAGTTTAACACAAACATACATAGCACAAATCTGGCAAAACAAACGTCAAAAGTGCATGCATATAAAATGGAATGAGTTTTAAACTATTGTATGATTTGACAGTGTGTGATTTTGTATGAAGTGCTGGTATATGATATGATACCACTCATTTCGATACGATTTTCTGATGTATTATTGTATATAGCATAAATCCTATCTTTTTCAGACATTTCTATCTCACAAATATGGATACAGAGATTTACAACGAGAAATTGAAGCTGGGGAGTTTGAGAAGTTATATGACGCTGCTAGAACAGACAAAGTAAAGAATTTGTTGTCGAGGTAGGTCGTTATGACCCTGTGATGTTCCAAATATATAACGTGGGCGATAACAATGCACAAAAAGACTAAGGCAAAGAGACTCAGTGGCGGAGTCAAAGGGGAAGGATCCCCCCCCCCCCCTCTCATCCCTGAAAGATAGTTTTTCGGGCAAAACCAAGTTAAAACTTCGGGCAATCTCAGATATTTCACCCCCTCCCCCCTCGGACGTAAACTTGGCTCCGCCACTAAAGAGATTAGGAGAAACCAAGCAGGACGACCGTGATGATATATGACTACAATAACCACGGCAAACAGATTGAGATTGTCAATAAAAGCGGCCAGAATAAACTAGCCAGTGACTGATGAAAAACGACTAACATACTACATAGCCATTACAAACATAACTCAATACGATAATTCAATTTTTCCCTTATGTAGATGGTTTACAAGAGATGATAATTCTGTACCACCGACCTATATCTTACAACCCATCAGTTCTAGAATACCAGAATTTATATCGGAAGTTGAGGACGAGAAATCAAAGGCTAAGAATTTGTGGAATTCTGAACGAGATGAAATGAGACAAGGCCTAGTTCAAGCTGCTCAACAGATCCTGGATTCTGAATCAAGTCACAAATATGTAAGATCGGGTAAGTGTCACGATGACTACACAATGAAATAGAAGAGTTTCAAGCAGTTGGGTCCTTCATCTAGCCATGATGACCCAGGTCTCTCCTTGGTAGAAGAAGCAAAGTCATGCATTGAAGTTATAAAGGGTATATAGTTATATTTCAGTAGTATATAGTATATGATATGATTTATAATTTTTATCCTTATCCTCCAGTAACTGAAACCGAGATAGATCGTGGTTTAATCAACGGTGGTGAGAGAGCCTACTGGTTTGATAGACGTATAAAAGACATCGAAACTGTAGAACCCAGCGATGTTCTTAAACGATATAGAGGTAAGATTCGTAATAATTACTGAAAGTTTATCACTATTTTCAATAATTTGTAAGGTTATCCCAAAACACATACATGTACGTGCAAATTCATTACTTTTACCAGAAAATAAAGCTACTTAGAGTCCTCCATGCAGTCTAAGACCTACGAGATAAATGTTTCGTGAATTCCACATACTTCTGAAAAGGGAATAGACGATGAACAGAAAATGCTGTAATTCAAAATATCCGAGATTACCAACTTAAGTTAGCTGGATATGCTTTCTCTCTTTCAGAATGCTTTGGTACAGAAGAATATATCCAAGAATCTCACAAACTTCTGACCAAATTAAGTGAACAAAAGCTCAGATCCAAAATACCTACAGACCACATTTTGACCTACCCAATACATTGGACCAATAAAGGTTTGGCTTTAAATATCTGTTGTATTCCATGTATGAGTGAAATTCCATCAGCCTGTTAGGGAGGGAATATAGACGGCCTTGCAACCGGAAATTAAATTCTCTGCATCTAATCTCTTATGCGCCGTCGACTTAATGGTACACAGATTGCAATTGAGGAGACGTTAACCAAAAATGTGTTTATTATAATTTTCAGGAATTGATCCCGTATCTGATAAAGCTCACAAATTATACATTGAAAAACTTGGAAATGATTTTGAGAAAACTATAAAGAATGTAATGGAAGCAATAGTTCAAAAGGAAGTAGATTTAATAAATACACCGTTGTATCAAGAAGTATTTCAACATATTATATTCTGTCAAGAAAAATGTAAAGCTTTCCATGGACGAGAAGAGACATTTCATGTAAGCTGAACTTTTTCAAATGCAATTTCTTGTCAGATGGAAAACTGACAAGGCACAAACTATAATTATTCCTATTAATAGAGAAGAGTTTGCATGGTTCAAAAATGACCTTTAGGTACATTAAGTTTGTTCGTATCGTTAGAGTTCGTTGTTAGTTTTGCAGATGTCGAAAACAAATAAATTGGTGCATCTTAAATAAGAGAATGTACGGTTAGATATTTGATTATTTACATTTATTCTGGGAATAGAATTACTTTTTCGGACACTATAGACATTTACTTTGGATTACGGACTTTGGACTAAGTAAATCATGTTAGATTTCTTCCTACGTAGATAATACAAGAGTATATGAATGATCCTAAGATTGATGAACCATTGATAGTTCATGGAGAGTCGGGTTCAGGTAAAACGTCTATCATGGCAATGGCAGTGAAAAATGCCTGGAGTACTGAAGTTCACCAAACCACAATTATCAGGTACATGTACATGTATTTATATGATACTGTAATTTTTTTTAGCATATTGTAATTGTCAATTAGAAACATTCCGGTGAGCTAGTAACGAATTGGGTAGTAACTTCAAATTTGTTTTATTCAGGTCTTTATTCATTATTGGCTCAGGATGAACCCTGTGACAATGATATTTTGAGCTTATGAATATCCAAACTTTAAGTAGCTATCTAAACTTTAATTCCTATCTTTAAATTTTTAAGTCATGTGATTTGAATTCCAGATTTTTAGGAACCACTCCCGATAGTTCCAATATTGGTAGTTTACTTCTCAGTGTTATTAACCAAATAAGGACTGTTTATAATCAGGACCTTATTAAGCCTGGAATGGTAAGTTGAATTTATATTTAAGTTTCATCAGCACGAAAGCTGAGCCACTAACGTGTCCCTAAAGAAGCTCAAACTTCGAAATATCTATATAATATTTATTAAAGGAGAGCCCAAGGTCGAATTCTGAAAAGTTGTAGTTTGTTGGAATTGAGCTCTCAGCTAGTAAAGCATATACATATATATCCCTTGTGAAAACACTCATCATGGTGTCTCTTTCCAAAAATACAAAATTTATTACAGTTATATGGGCGATACACAAAATAATCACATATTATATATTTATTCTTGGTGATACCAGTGACATCATTAACGGTTTTGGGAATTTACTCTATCTTAATCTCTATATTCAACTTGCTCTTCCAGACGTTAAAGGAACTAGCAAATGAGTTTGAAAACACATTAGATCTAGCTATGGAAGAAAGACCATTACTTGTAGTATTGGACTCACTGGATCAATTGGATATTACTGGTGGTGCTCGACAACTCTCCTGGCTTCCTTCTAAATTACCAAAACATGTAAAAATGATAGTATCCACTCTCCCAGAACCAGAGTATGAATGTTTTCCCAGGTTACAGGTAAGTGTAGCTTGATTTCAACAGAAGTGAATCCTAGCGGAGATCAGCTACAAGAGTCGAACATTATAAGGGTTAGAACACATATTGCTAAGTTCTTTTGAGATGTACGTATCTACTAAGCATATGTCGTATCTATCGAAATAGAGTGGACATTTTTTTGTAATTGTAGAATGTCCATCCCTCGTACATGTATTATTATTCTGTATTTTCATTTCAACATTTGTGTTTCAGGCAATGTTCACCAATCCAAAACGATTCCTACCCGTGTCCACGCTGTCAAACCATGATGTTGAAGGTATCTTAAACAAATGGCTAGAGAACAACCATAGAAAGCTACTAGATCCCCAACTTCAAGCTGTAATAGATGCCTTCCACAAGTGTCCAATACCATTGTTCTTGAAATTAGCCTTTGATGAAGCATGTCGATGGAAATCGTTTACACCAGGAGACCAATCAGTATTAAATACCACTGTTAGAACAGTTATAAATGATCTATTTAATAGAATAGAGAAATTACATGGTGAATTGTTGGTATCTCGAGCATTAGGTTATCTTACTCTCAGTAAGTACCAACTAATACATTTTAAGACCCGCTTACTGAATTAAGTCAGTGTCGTCTCTCTTTCCGTCCATCTGCTCCTCGACATTATTTATGCGGCCAGGTGGAGGACTCATGTTTTGGTAAGATTTTGATGACCTCGAAAAAATTTGCCGAAATTGTCTTTTGTAGATGGAAGGACTGAAATTTGCACCCCCAATTGATGAAACTTTGTATGGTGCTCATATTGACATCATCAGTATTAGCTTGTCCAATGCTTTCTATGAGATCAATGAAATATAGACGGGTTTGGTGGACAGTTCTTCAATTTTAAGAATTCTTTGGATCATAATAGGTTCTGGAGGACTAACGGAAGCTGAATTAGAAGACATTTTATCATGTGATGATGATGTACTGAATGATGTATATATGTATTGGACACCACCTGTAAGACGATTACCGCCATTATTACTGGTTCGAATTAAAGCTGAATTAGGACAATATTTTGGTAAGATGGTGTGCTTTACTTGATGTTTCTATTTATAGTTGTTTAAGAACTGATATGTACGTGTTTCTATGTATTGTTGATAGAGGAAGTAAGTGTGTATTTTGATTTACTTGTTGTTTCTATAGGCGATAGAGAAAGTGTTGGTGGTATGTGTATGCACATGTTGTTTATATTTATAGTTGATAGAGGAAGTGATGGTGTACGGGTGTTTTACTGGTATCACAGACAGTTTATAGAAGCAGCTTTTGATAAATATTGTTCAGATGAGAACACGAGAAATAAGATGCATGGTGTTCTAGCTGATTATTTTTCTGGTGTTTGGGCTAACGGTCAGCATTTTTCAACTTTCTTTGGGTTGAATATAGGTGTAAGCTTATGCTGGGGTCCATCACATATTATGGGAAATTATGAAGAAGAAGATTTTAGGGTACCCTTACAATTCCAACAGACACAAATTGAGCTACTGTGGCATCTGATAGGATCCTTTCGCCGCAGTTTCCCCATCGGCTTACAGCTGACTATCAGGGGTTTAGCTTCGCAAGATCATTATTTAAGTCGGAACTGCGGTCACCTTGTTCATCCACTGTAGATCCATCATTCATACATTACTTATTAATTAATATAATTTTTTCAAACTCGTTTTATCCAAATACACACATCTTTTAATGATTCAGGGAACAAGAAATCCTACACCAGTAAATCTGGAGAGAGTTCCTCTGCTGACAGATTTGTAGCTGCTCAACCAATCAAATTCTCGAACAAAGCCAACCAATCAGAATCCTTGAATCTGAGAAAATTGAATAATTTACCTCACCATCGATTACAAGCTGATCAGAAAGAACTGCTTAAATCAGAATGTTTGTGTAATTTTGATTTTATTCTCTATAAGTTAAAGGGGTCTGGATTAAGGTAAGCTATTGAAATTGTCAAAATGTAGACCTTATTACAAACAGTTATTTAATTACGAAACAAATCCACCAAATAAGCAAGACAAAAAGTTATTAGCTGTTGCAAAACTATCATCAAAGCTACGTGAAATTTCTTTGAAAACAGATTGAAAATCAATTATCAAAAATTCTAATACACTCGACCTTTACAGTACCCTGCGTTCGATCAACGTTTTGCATTAAAGTCAGCTGTATGACTTTTCAGACCGTTATTGGATGATTTTTCTGAAGCGAAACAGAAATATGAAGATGATACAGATATTTCTTCTATTTGTGATGCTCTTCAACTATCACAGCACTCTCTTCAATATAATCCACAAGAACTCTCATCTCAGTTGCTGGGAAGACTAAAATCTACAGAGGTAAAGCTTGGCATTTCACATGTCCATATTCGCATTTTGTCTGATACACATTGGAATTGTCAGAAATATATGTATATAATCTTCTCTTAGGGATATATTGGCATTTGACCGGAAAACACAGGTGCCCGTTGTGCTCTGTTAACAGCTGAAAGGGATAATGAAAGATAAGTATGCACACCACAAATCACAACGAGTATTAAACTCCGAGTAATATTGTGTTATATTTATGTTCCAGGGTCTTGAGAAGTTGTTAGAAGATTGCAAGAATACTCCTTTCCACTACCTCTTACCAAGTAAATCTATGTTAGTTCAACCAGGAGGTTCACTACTCTACTGTCTAGCTAATCACACCAATGATATATATGGTCTGGATTTAAATAAAACTGGTGAACTAGCTGCCACGTGTATGTATTTTACTAAATTTTATGTGTACTTATCTCATGAACTCAGAGCACCTGACAGAGTAAATAAAATTGTAGCTCGTTTTTCTTTATGAAGAATAGTGCTTGTGGCTAAGAAATAAATAAACAGATATAATCAGCGTCATCTTGACTGGAACAAACCCTTTCCTACGAGTTTGGCAATCGGGTACCTCACAGACGACTAATCGTGGGCATCAATTCATAATAAAGTTCATTATCTATTAACAGGTGCCTACGACAATACAATAAAAGTAATATCAGTGGAATCAGGGAAACTGATCAAATCATTCGATATTGAGGGCAATGATCCTGAAAACGTACGATTCTGTAATAATGACGAAACGCTGATTGTTACCTGTGATGATTTTGCACTGGCAGTACGATGCCAGACGGGGCTGAAACAATATACTCTGAAGTGGAAAGATAAAGGAACTGTTGGTATTTGTGGTGAAAATAAAGAAACGATAGGTGTATTTGGAGGAACTATGGTTGTATTACATGATGCTGCTACTGGAAAAATGCTCAGAGCTGTTGAATGTGACTTTATGAAAGAGAAGGAATTGACATTTGGTTCCTACTGTCCGTGTATAGGTAGGTTACTAAAACAGCAATCCAAAGTAATTAAAGAACAATAATCTAGGATCAAGTTTCAATATCGCACACGTACCCAATACCATGGCATTTACTGGTGTTGACATTGAATATTTTAATGTTATCTTAATCTAGAGCACACCCCCACTTTAATGTAATATATTTGTGTTGTATATTTAGGAAGTAAACGGTATATGGCTACACTTGATGATGATAACTATAAAGTGGTAGTCTTTGATGCTGAAAGCAGCCAATTTTTACATATGACCAATATCTTTGAACCTTACAAGGACTCTGATGGAGATGATACACAAGACACAGTCGATGCAATGGTTATATCTCCGGATTGTAAACATATCATTGTGTCGACAATGATGAAAAATGACTTATTGATATATGATATCACCAACATGGAACTGGTTCGAGAAATAAAAGGTATCAGTACCACGTTATAAGAATTATCTCTCCTTAATGGTGAAACAATTAAGGTACAATAAGACTTTTTCTGAAACATTCAATAAGTGATTTTTGAAGATCGCGATTGCCTCATACATTATACAATAGATGGAGTACTTGTGCTTGAGCTTTGTCATACTAGTAGTGTAGCATGCATTTTGTCATTTTTTTTTTTGTTGTGGGCTAAGGAAATTCAAAAGATGTTATAAAGACAAGATAAATGAAAATTGTTTCTGTTTGCAGGTGAATCGAAAGATTCTTGTGAGAAATACCAAATGACATCAGACGGGAAAACATTATATTTCCCGTTCCGTAGTGAGGTTATCGCTTATGATATGGAGAAAGGAGAGAGATTTGTCGCCATTCATCATCCAACAAATGTAGAAAATGTCAGTACTTTAGACATGAATACATTCGTTACAACTGGTGATGATCGAATAGTGCGTATTTGGGATCGTAGTCGCACCGACGGAGACAGTCATAAATCAACGTCTGGTAAAGCATCTATTGGGTAAGGAACTTGTTGTCTAACTACAGTATTTGCTAGTATTTGCTTCCATTCATCACATCACTGACTGATGAATGTAAACTAGTAATCTAGTAAACTACTTTCCGGTGTTGTCTGTCCAGAATTTGTTTTCAGAATGATACGATCGCGAACGATATGCATCCTTTCAGACTAGTCTCTATTCCAGCCTCTGAACGATATTTAGACTGCTGTCGGCTGCAGTAGTCGATATCTGTCCAAATAGCGACCAGAAGACAGATGTTTCGGTCTAGTTTCATACGACTTAATGCATTAAATGAAGTCTATAAAATTTATATTTCCACAGGAAATGTGATATGTTAAAGGATAATCCACGGTATGCAATAACAAAAACTAAAGAAAAAAAAGGTGATAAGGATTTTTTACTAGAGGTTGTTGATTTATCTAAAGATGAAGTGCTGAAGAGAGATAAGGTAGGGCGAAAACTTTATTAGAGTAATGTAATCTTTCTAAACCGAGAAAAGTAATAACAGTATTTTTAGAGACTTGAAAACCATCTTTCGACAACTAGAAGAATCAACAGGACATTGGTTTTGAATATCAATAACTTTAGTGAATCGGTTTACATTTCAGTTTATTGGGAACTTAATATTCATCCATAATTTAGAAGGAACTCGCTATCTCATTTCTAATACTCAAAGTGTTGTTGTATATAATGCCAAAACAGGGGAAATAGAAAGGTCCTTCAAAGGAGTTATACCCAGGAAGGCTTCGAGAGAAATTCAAGTATTCCCTTCAACTAAAGGTAAATACACATATATTTATTGTCAGAGACTCTTCTTTTGTTGGTATCAGTTTAATCAATTCAAATGTGGCAAAATTTAGAGATGCGAACATTAAACTGACCACAAATTTAAATAGATGGCAACAAAATAAGGAACCAGCATCTGATTTGAGGGTCCCCTCTGACACCAACCAGATATAGGTAAAGTAAGCAGTCTCGAAAGCATGCATATGTTACACTGTGAAACTACTAATACAATTAAATAACTGGTTGACATAATTAACATAATTCCTTTTGCAATACCACTACAAAATTATATTCTTGAATTATTTTTTTTGTTCTAAAGAATTTTGTGTACTGTCTCGGGGAAGAAAAAATTTAAAGATAATTGATATTGAGACTGGAAAAATAGAAATAATAAAAGGATGTGGTGAACGAATGGAAGACATTGTGGTAGGTACAATGAAATAAAGCTTTTTTTAATGATCAGACAATTTAATGAATGACTGTATCTGAGAATGACCAAAATGAGGATCTATATCAGTCGTTTAGGTGATTAATTATTAGTTAAGGTTAATGACCGAGCAAGGTAAAGTTTAGACAGCCCCAGAAATGTGCAGAATACTTTTTCGAAAGGAAATTGAGGACGATACCCGTGTGAAGTTACCGAGTGTGCTGCAACCAGTCTTTTTAGAAGGAAAGGTATATGGATATATGCAAGTTTGTTTCGCAAACTATCATAATTTCAGATGAATGAAACAGCTACAAGAATAGTCTGTAGTATTAGAGACAGTGATGAAGCCGTGTTATTTGATATAGAAAAGAAACAAGTATTGTATGAATTAAAAGCCTCTATGATACCTGGATGTAAGAAAGATGATACTTTATATATTGTTGGCAGTGTATTAACAGATGATGGCAAATACTTCATACTTTCACAAGATTTAATACCAAATTGTATCAAAAATATTGATACTGCTACCAGTATAACACTACCAGTAGTGTGGGATATTGAAACCAGTAAGTAAGCACTCTACTTTGACCCTGTTATTAAGGATGATTATTAGTAATTATTCTATTAAAAAGCATCTAAATGATTCCATCTTATCCTGGAGAAAACTAATAGTGGTCAAGGACTAACAGTCTACGTATTTTGCCTTCTTTTGCTCCATATTTGAACTATTTCCGCTTCACATTTGATTTTTTTCCTTTACAGGAAAGGCTCACCAGATTCTATGTGATGAAAAATACATAAAAATGTATGCTAATCCAGATGGTGAAACACAAAGTACATATGATATAACTGAAATGAAACTGTTAGATAAAACTATATTACTTTCATCACACGACGATTATATAGTTCGTGTTTTTAATTTTGAAACTGGTAAATATCCAATTAATATTTTTAAATCCAAATAAATGAAACAGGCGGTTTTTTTGTAGGGGATGTAAAGGGTTAGCGCATGTGTACATGTAATATTATCGTGTCTTGAAAACTCGAGAAGTAATTTCCTTATGATTAAGGCTCCCGAATTTGGCGCGCGCCATTTTCTCCTCGTGTGTGGGCGCCTCTATTTAAGGTATCTCGTTTTGGTGACAGCATTAAGTTTTGTTGCTTTTGGAAACTCTTGTTTTAAAACACTGAAAAGCCAACATAAATTGTATCAATACTGGTGTGAATAACAAATATCTCAATACAGTTTGATATTTAGTGACATCTTCTCAAAAGCTCACATAAGGAAACATTTATAAATATCATCGAGGAGCCTAAAGCAACTTGGTTTAACAGCTTCACATATATCCAATGACAATGGTTTATAACTATCATTTAGGTACTTTGTTGACACGTTTATTTGGACATACCAGCAATGTAGAAATGAGTGTCAACATTAAAAGTCCTTTCTTCCTCACATTTGCAACTTGGAGTGAAGAAAACGCCATAAGGGTGTGGGACAGAGAAACTTATGAATGCTTGGCATCATATTGCGTCGATTCTGGCGTAAGTTTATTTGGTATATTATAATATGATTCTGTAATTCTTCGGCAATAGCAAGTAATTGCTTAGCGTAATAAAACCATAATAATTTGATTTGAGCTGTTCTGCATCGTCGTTTGAAAAATAAACAGGATTGATCAATACAGATGAATTTCAAGTCATATACTGAGTTTACAGGAACATTTTTCAACAAATGGATTATTTTAATTGCCGATATAAAAGTTTAGACAGCTCTTATTATTGATTGTATTAAAGTAATCTCAGACTAACCATGAATTCATTGTTTCAGATCGACTACGTGCAGTTTTCTCCAGACGGCTACAGAATAATTGCACAACCTAAGAATGAGTATCCACTATATTTTGAGGTCAAGGGTGGTACAGATGATAAATACAAGCCAAAAAAACAACTCGAGCAATATCAGGAACTGTTTCACCTCACAGGTAAATCTCTAACGTGGTTTGGATGAGTTGCCTTCGTGGCATTATTTAATTTAATCAAAAATTTAAATAATATCGAATTCGTTTAGGTCTTAATTTCCACTTTCTGCACCTTATTGGTTAGTTCAGTCTCTGGCTCATTGGACTTCAGTTTTATATCCCATCTTTAATGTATACAAGTTGTAAAAATAATAATCACACACTAAGCAGATAATAGCATGCATGTATATAAAATAGATCTCTGTAAAAGCCTTGGTGACGATCGACTGATGTTACAGTCTATTAGTTATATTTCAGATGGTGATCCATTGTTACAGCTTGCTAGTTATGTTCCAGATGGTTATCATTTGTTACAGCCTATTAGTAATATTCCTCTGTAAAAGCCTGCTAGCTATGTTCTAGATGGGATCGACTATTACTGCATATCGACTATATCCCGGATAGATATCCGCAGTTACAATCTACTAGTTATATGGGGATCTAGTTTCTAGTTATTTTCTAGTTATATTCCAGATAGTGATTATAGTCTAATAGTTATATTCCAGAAGGGGATCCGCTGTTTTATTTTCTATGTATATTCCAGATACAGTTACAGTCTCTATTTATTTATATCCCTAATGAGGATCCGCTGCATAATTTTCTATTTATGTACCAGTTAGTGATCCAATTTTTTATTTTTTAGTTATGTACCAGATAGTGATCCGCTGTTACATTATTTTAGTTATGTTCCAGATGGTGATCCACTGTTTTTGATACAGATTGCTAGTTAAGTTTCAGATAATTTTTGGGCTGTTATAGATATTAATGATCCACCGTTTCAGCCTACTGAATATGTGTATTGAAGGCCGATTTTCTTCCTTTCAGATAAGATACTTGGAATATGCTTTCCCCTTGGCGAACTTGATTAAGGACAACGCATTGGTGATGATCTCCAAAATCCAGTAGACGTTGGAGCATCGTTAAGATAAAGATTGCAGCTGATGTTAATTTCTAACAAAAATCATTTTGTCTTTTCAGATCTGATCAATGAAATACAAATACCCAGTGGAAATGCCGATCTACCAAACGATGACGATGATGACCCCCCAGAACCAGAGTCCGATGATGATGATGACGAAAAAGTTAAAACAGATGATGATGGCCTTGATGACTTTGATTGTGACACTAATGATGATTTCAGTTTGGATGACTTGGATTTAGGTGATGATTTGAACTTGGACGACTTAGACCTCCATAGTAAACCATAAGTTCTATTTTTCATTGAAATATAGACAGATGCATTGAAAAGCAAATGTGATTTCTTGCAACGAAATTTGGACACTGTAAATCTATTATAGTATTAATAAGTTCAGTTTTAGTATGACTGATTTTCAAACAGTATACTTTCAGTATCAGTTTCAGCTATTTTCTCTTCCCCTCCTTTCTTATGCCGAATACAGCCGTGTATCTTTCACAAAGAATTACAAATTGTATACTGCACTACAGCTGACTTGCTCTTGCTTAAACGGGATTTATTTTTGACAAAAATACCAAGAGTGTAATAGTAATTCAAATTACAATGTTAATAGTTTTTCTGTTGTTATTCTTGTAATGTCACTTGTTTGGTTGAACTTCCATCAAAATCGTCGCATTTCCGAATTCTATTTTTGTACATAGACTCATAATATAACTGTCCAGAGCATTGTTTTAGTACATGTACCCATAATATGCACAGTCCACGTTATTTCATTCACGACAGGCCTCTCGGTTGGTACTCAGGATCTGATCTCGATATCATATGATATCATATTGTATGGACTAATTGTGGTTTCCTTTTATAAAGATATTATTATTATTATTATCATATTACTTCTGTGGTGATCGGTATTTTTCATTGTTATTGCTACCCTGTGATATTTACCTATATATCAGGGATTATTAGGCATTATTGGGGAAGTGTATTGTTTAAATTTTTGTGGAATTATTTTGTAATAAATGTTACCTATAGAACCATTTTAATATCAATTAATTTAGATTGTCTAATAAAACAGTTAAACTACGGTAATGATTTACTTGAATACACCTTCCATTGTGCTTGAACGATACTCTCGCCAGGCTTATATGTGAATTAGAAGATACAACAGAACATCAATGATATATTCAATATGCAAAGAATTTAACCTCATTGGCTCTAGATTTAGCTTTATCAACAAGACCTGATTGTTGGGGAGGGAACCTAAAGAATATGTTTAGAAATCCTTGTACAGTGTTGCTCTTCTTTTGCAATTCGTTTTTTTTAAAGCTACTTACACGACCAAATAAGGACCTGAATGCATAGACTTGCAACATAGAACTGTAAAACAATTGTATTAGGCTTGCCTGAGGGCTGAATGTGTAACTTGATGAATTCAAAGATGCTACACAACTTGTAAACCCGGGGCTTTGCGAGCGATTACAGAGAAAACGAAGAAATAATCACCCATCATAACATCATTTCAATCAACACGTCACTGATCTCCATAATGTCAAACGACACGTATATTACGAATTGCGTCTTAACCCTTGACTGCATTAGTCACCTTCCGTTTATCACAGAATGCAGCGATTTGATTGGACTGTACACTAGCGAAATAGATTTTCTGTAGAGGGCTCTGCTTATCTGTGTTTACAATCCAATCAAATCGCTGCATTTACAAAATTCCGTGATACAAGAAAAGTCGCTAATACAGTCACGGTAGGCTATAAGCTCCAGTTCAACTTGACATCGTGAAAATGTGTCTAAGACTTATTCAATTCTCGTCATCATTATGTCACTTTAGGCTACAGCCTACCGTTAGGCCTAGTTAATCAAGTTTGTTGTACATGTAGTTAACCGGAAATTTGCAAATCATATATATTTCGGGAGTACGTAGGCTACCTCCAAGAAATCCAAATAGGCTATAAAATCTCAGCGACACAGTGCTCGGCACTCTTTTTTCTTTTCTTCTCTTTTTTTTAACAAAAGTTACCTCCCCTGCTTTCTTCTCTGTTGCAGAATCCATTTTAAACTGGTATGTCATTCCATCTAAAGTTTAGCAAGTTAGTTTAGCGTTAGCAATAAGCCAAGACAAACACAACAGGGCAGGCCGATTAAGTTTTAAGTCCATATTTCAAGTCCATTTTTCGATGATCTGACATTTGCGCGGGAAAACTATGACTTCATTTGAGTACGGAATATGGTTTCCTTTTTAAAGAGCAGCTTTAGTCTTGGTTAACTTGTCTCAAGAAGCATTAGAAAGACATCCTTCGTAAAATCTACGAAGGTTTTCAAGTCGTCTTTTACTTTGGTAAGACAAAATAAAGCCGAATATCGCACTATGACTGTGTTAAAATCTAATGGTAGGAACAGGACCTAGGTATATATAAAAAACATAGACCTGCAATTTAGACTATACTAACAGTATTAAAGTTTTAAAAAAGCCATCACTAACTGCAGTTTTCCTTGCTAGACTATATTATAGCTCCATAGATTGGCGAGAAAATTCGTCGCTCTGCAAGTTACTGGTTAGACGTCCATTTCGTCGTTGGTTGAGAACCCAAAAAGAACAATGCTATGCCAATATGTAATATTTCGTTTCATCATATTTTGATTTCGGATAAATTTGTACAAAATCTCTAAATCATTTGTACGAAACCAAAACAAAAACAAGTGAAAAGAAGAAATAGTGCAGTTATATACATATACTACTGTTCGTCAACTGTGCAATACTTTGACTATTATATAGTACTCCATGTCTGGGATCTAGATTTAGATTTGATATGCTGAAACTGAAAGCTATCGATCAAGCACTTGAGAAACAAGACAAGCATTATCATGGAAGAAGAACTGAATGGTAAGTCATTATTGCAATCCATAATAAATCATTGCTACTGTGTAATAAGTAATAGTAAATGCATAGCAATGAACACAGAGTCATAGGATCCTAGATCCTACAATTTATTCTTTGAAATTCAGTTATGCGCATATCTTAAGATATCTATGGTTATGCTCGTTCGTCCATTTCATGGGCTATTAATTTGTTTCGCCAAATTACATGGAAAAAATGGATGGCTTGCTAATCAAAACGGTTTCCATGCTTTCTTTTTCAGATACTGGTGATGATAAAATTAAATGTATTGATGTACCTCACATAAAACAGATTTACACATGGGATTGTGGTTTAGCTTGTGCTTCTATGATTTTAAAGTAAGTGATTCTTTAGTTCCTCAAGCCAAAGTTTTGTTGTAGTGCTTTAATGCAGTAGGTAAATGAAAAATGTCAAAGTTCATGTACATGTATTAGTCAAATTCCTTGAAAAATTCTATTCTTGGTTTGTTAACTAATAGGCCTGCATAGTATTGCTTTAATTTAGTTTGTTATGTCTGTTATAGGTATCTAAATATTCCATTTACATCAAATGATATTTACAACATACAAGTCAAAGATTTGCTCAGATGTGGAGAGAAGTAAGTGATATCTGTTTATGTCTGGTGTAATAAAAGAAAATGAAACAAAACATTTTCACAAGGATCCTGTCTACCAGCCTGTCCATGACCAAACCTCTAGGCATTGATCTTTTTTCGGGATAATCATTACCCATTTACAACTGGGTCGATTGGAATTATGAGGAAAAATGACTTACACTAGACTTTGACACACCATATGAGGTTAGAACTAACAATTGAAAATGAGTTATATGGAGATATGAAAAATCTTTTTTTTTTCATTATTCCATTCAATCCAAAGGTAAAAGGGAATGGATCATGCTAGCAGTCGTTAAATATGGACTTCGTCCAAAGTTATTCTTGCAGGGTGTATGTTCTATTCTGTATATGAAATGCAATCTATGTTCATTATATGCAATAGAACAATGTTAATTTGACAAATTGTGTTTATTATTTGACAGTGTTTGGACGATTGATTTGGCCTATCTCATGAAGCATTATGGAGTTTCTCACCAACTGTACACAATAACATTAGGAGCAAATCAACAATTTGCTCAATCTGTAAGTTTTTAAATTTTTTATAAATAAATGATCTTATATTCTTCAAAGTTTACATTTAAAATTACATTTGGAATCATATTCTAAGCTCTGCTATCTTTTGATGACATTGACATTTCTATGAATCATTAGGTAATAGGCATCGTAAGAGGCTACAGGCTACTTATGTGAAATGGTACAAAATTGAAAGTGACAGGGTGCCAGGTATGGTCCTCCAGTAGAAACAGCACTGTATGTGACTCCATCTATTTATTCAATTCAAACTTTAAGGTTGTATCAACCTCAGCTGTTTAAAGGGGAAACCAAATAGGAAAAATGATCTAGATTTGTTTTAAAAACTAAATGCCGAATGAAACAATTTAGATTGAGGAAACGTTTTTTTATTATCCAAATACTTTTCTTTTCCAGTCTTACTATTTAAGTAATTTTACAAAAGATGAAGACAGAATTAATAATATGTTTGAAAAAGCGGGAGAAAATGGAGTTAAAGTGGAAAAAAGGTATAAATGTTCAAGCTGTCAATATCTTTTGTCTAAATCCTAGGGTTGATTTCTTTTCACTAGTAAAGATGCATTTCATATAAGAAACAGCAGAAAAAGGTTTGGAGAAGGACTTGTGCTTAGATTACGAAACTCACATAATTTTATAAAATAAATGCTTACTTACAAGCAAAAGTTTCAGTATGTTTCAGCAAATGAATGGTATGGTCTCTTTGGCTGAATAATGTTGAGATTTCAAGGTATCTTATATTATTTGAATTATTGATATTGTAGGAGTATTAGTATAGAAGATATTATAGATCATATTAAAAATAACAACCTGGCTATATGTCTAATAGATTGGTTGAAGTTAGATTGTTTATGGTGCAGCAAAAAGGTAAGTGAATCTTTCATGTGAAAGACTATTACATTGGAGTTTTCTTGGCTGTCTTTACCTTGTATTGAATTTGCTTTTTAGTCAATATGACAGTATATTGCGATGTGTATGTCTTCAAATGGCATACTACTTCTCATGGTTTAAAAGAGAATAAATGATAATAAATAAAAGGCCTCTTTGTTATTAAATTAACAGTTACAAGGGGAGTCCCATTAACCTAGTTGCAGATGGAAGCATTATGGAACAAGACATCATTTTGCACGAAATACCAGATAATCCACACTTAAGGAATATTTTAATTTTTTGAGATTGAAATACTAATATTGAACCTGAAACATGTCGTCACTCAGAGTTTCACACTGAATATATCAGGATATCTGCTTGAACCAAGACTATCAGATTAATGAAATTTATGTATTTTTCTTGTTTTCAGCTGTGTTTTTGTTGTTTTGATATTTGCTCATCTCCTTATGTTGGTAAGTATTTACAAATAGAATTAATTCAACACCTTATTAAAACTTAAAGATTTATGCTCTCTAAGGTATAGCGTTTACTCTCTAGGGTGCCAGTTTTGAACAGGGCTGTTCATTGTGTGCCAGACATACCAGACAGACTAGCCCAAAGATCAAGTATGGGTGGGACAAATAGTGAATTCACAGACCTTATCAGATTTGTGAAAAAATTAAAGCAACAGTCTTAACAGGTTCTGAATGAAAATTGAGTATGTTCTTAAAGTTTGTGATATTTCTGATGTTATAGGACATTTTGTTGTGATATGTGGTTATGATTTATTAAAGAAACATATTTATTATAAAAATCCTAATACCAGTACTGGTCAGTAATACCTTATTAATCTTTTTTATCTATTTAATTTGAATGCTTCTGGTCTGGCAGCTTTGCATTTAATTCCCTGACAACATTAGATCGTACAGCAGCAAAAAATTTCAGTAAAAATCATGTGCTGTCCTAAAACCAAGCTTCTTTTGCCAAAACGTTGGGTGTCTGTTGCTCAAATGCAAGGTATAATTTTCCAAAAATGACGTTTTTGCCCAAATGTCATGTTTAAGTTGCTCCAAGTCATATGTCTGTTTCCCAACAGTTCAGTATCAGCTGCACAAATGGCATGTATCATTGGCACAAAAGCCATGTGTCAGTTGCCCAGAAGTTATCATGTATCAGTTGCCCCTGTAACAAGTGTATCAATGAAGAAATGTTGTTTAACCCTGTCAAAAATGTCTGTTTAATTTTCACTAATGTGATATTTTGTTTCAGAACTGTGTTGTTGTAGTTTTAGTCACTTTGATAAAGCCAGACAAGCATTTGGAACAGATGAAGATATTCTACTTATATACAATAAGAAAGATGAAGTTACATGATATTTGGTCAAGCCTTTCTGGAAGACCACAAAGTTAGTTTTGTGACTGGTTTTGTTATGGGGATTGCAATGTTATTTTTGTTGAAAAGTTTTGGTGAAAGAAAAAATTATGATATCCAATTGAATTTAAAAAGCCTGTCATGTACTCGTCTGATATTGAATTATCTCTCAACAATTACATGTTTAAAATTTTGTAAGTGTTAGACACCCTCAACCATATTCAGCTTACCAAACATGTAAAGTCATGTGCTTGTAGAAAATTTCATTTTCAAATTTAGGGTGTTGTTTCAGAATTATTGACAGCCTTAAAAATTTGGTAAAAATATTTCTAGTGAAAAGATGGTGGTACATAAGACTTGGTATTGAAATTTGCTCCAAGCAATATTTGAAGCCAGACCATGTCAATAATTTTAAAGTGTGGTTAATATAAGTGAGAATTGAATGTCATAGTGTTTTGTTTATTATATTTTCTGTGATATATTTGTTTATGTTTTTATTAATAAATAAAATTATAGTTTAGTATTTTGTTTAATAATGCCAATATGGGTAAATGCATTGGGCCAAAACATAATTTATAAATGAATCTTTTCTTAGCTTTTGTCCATAATTAGAAACCTACTGTTAATGTTAAGCTCCAGTGCCATAGAGTTTATTGTATTATTATCCTCAAATCTACAAAACAATCATCAACTTTACAGAATCAAATTTTCACCCTACATCATATTATACAAAATGCATCTTTCTTACTTTAGAATAAAATCAAAATTCTCATTGGTGCAAGTTTATTTTTCAAACTAAGTACAATAGATGTGATCTGTGAATTCTGCAATATTTGAGTGAAATTTGATTTCGTACTCTGATGAGAATAGAATAGGTCTGTATAATGACACATCAAAAATACGACGTCTCCCCGGGTCACATCTTGTCATTTTCAAGAAACAAACTATCCAGCAAGCAAGTTACTTGAAAATACGTTTTGAATTCGATACAATATAAGCTTTCTCGACATTTATCACGATTGTAATCACACTTCTTTATCATTTTATTTGTTTACTTCCACGATGTTGATTTCCTACTTTTAATTTCGTGTAATTTGATTGGCTGATAAAAATAAATGTATCCAATCAAAATCTAGAAACCCGACATTTCCGCCAAGGAAAGATAACTTTTCCATTGCTCAACTGATGCAACTCCAGAGAAAGTTAAAGCCTCTTGGTCTTGAGATTTTATTTTACAATTTATAAACTAAAGACAGCACAATGGATAAAGAGAGTAAGATTACCTTGACACCTTTATGTGCATGATGACGTACACTATCGTTAAGAACTCTCTGATCATGATGTAGATTATTATGAAAATGATAGCTAGCAGAAATATGGCATATGCTAGGTTTCCATTAATTGAGAAAGGTTAAAAGAATGTAAATTAGATCTGGTTGGAGTGGGAAATGATTGCAATGATTGGGTTCTGTATTAGACACATTCCAGTTTCACATTATAGGGTAAGCTCTCTAACTCAGTCCTACTACTAGCCTAAGATCTAACCAGTCCGATTCTAATCGCAAGGCAGAAATACAGAAATATTTCTGACGGAATATTGTTAATAATAACATTGTACACAATGTATTGTAGAAATTTTGGGTTATTTTGAGCAAGTGACTAAAGAAGATCCAGAAATATCTGCTGCTGTTGCTGCCATGAAAACTCTTCTTCAGTTTATTGAACATAATAAATGTAAGTTCAGTTAATAAGTAGGTAAGAAGTATTAGCAATTGAATCCAAATGGTTTATTTCATCTTTTTATGGATTGATATTATTCTTACATTAAAATATCTTGATTAAAAAATAAATGATAACCATATTTTAGAAATGTAACGATACGGATATTGTGATGTATTAATGCTAAATATGGTGTTATCCGCTTGCAGCTCTAATATCAATCATTCAGTTATACATGGCATAGAGTTCCTTTTAGTTGACAATATTTTGTGACTGATTTCAAGAAATAATCCAAAAATTGATGTTTTTTGTAAAGAAATGAAATTGTGTATACATAATATAAAGAAATTAAGGGTGACCTTTTATTTTCTGTTTATTTTGCAGTAGAGACATTATCTGAGATGAGACATAGATTAAAAGACGCCATTACTACTTTAACAACAGATATAGAGAACAGTTATACATCTATTACATCTGGTTGTGATCTATTTTTACGATTCATTACATTAACAAATCTGCAACATTCGGTAAGAAGTTACATTTTATTTCACATAATATTCAATTTTAAATCATTTAAAAATGGAAAAACTAAATATGTATATAGGCTCAGTAGATTAAATAATATTTATATAAAGGAACTGTTTCTTTAACATAGCACAGGTCAAGTCATTATCACCTGAAAACTTTGAACTTTACTGAGCATATCAGCACTTTGAAATGAACTTAGTTCTGTCATAGACCTGTGCTTTGAGTTATATTCTCATTACACTTTAAAATTAAAGCACTTAAAAGAATAATTTTGTGTGGAACACTCTGTGATTTTAAGCATAAAGTTTAATTTCTGTGTAGGCTTGCATTTTCGATAGGAATATTGTTTGGCATGCAGCATTCTTCAACTGAATTGAAATTTTCATGAATTTTTCTTTTGATTCTAGGATTTTCAGGAATGTCAGAAAATCTTGGTAGAAAGAGGAAAAATATTTCTAGAGAGAATATCTAATTCAAGGCAGAAAATAGCTAGAATAGCTCATCCATTTATTACAGATGGAACTGTAAGTTAAGTTTGATCTATACATGGCAAATTCTTTTCACCTTATCCTGTTTCAGTATGCTGGTACAATATCTAATATTTTCACTGTTAAGATACTGCACAATACTATTGAGTCAGTACATTAATTGCCAAGTGATAAGCTTATATAGAAAAAACAAAACAAATCATAAAACATGTTGTTACTCAAAGTTTCAGGTTTTGTTTTGGTGTTTGAATATAGTATATTGCTAGATATACATAAATGCTAACAATTCTATAAAACTCATTCAAAATAAAGGTTTACTTAATTTCCACCCTCTTGCAAGTTCCCAAAATTTGAGAAAAATGTTATTTTCTTGTTATCCTTATAGTATTTAGACAGTGCTAAGTTTGCCAGTACTACCTTTACTTAAAAGATTGGTATCTTAAACCCAATTTGATCTCAAGCTGCTGCTAATTAAATATTTTTCTAAAAGATTATTTTATGATTTCAGACTATATTGACCCATTCAAGATCAAGAGTTGTTTTACAAGTGTTAAAAGAAGCCAGTTTAAATAGAAAGAGATTTAATGTTTTAGTTACAGAATCACTGCCAGATAGATCAGGGTAAAATGTCGTAAATTTTTTATTTTCGTTTTATGCAGCAAATAGATATAAGGGAGATAACCCAGTAAATCTTGATTATATTTTTATCGGTAAATATGGATGAAATTGCAATCATAAGGTTCTTTAAAAAAGCATTTGTGAAAAAAATAATGAAATAGACTCTGAAAACAAGTAGTAGAAGTTTGCTGGTGAAATTCAGATATCATCATTAATTGTTGTTTATGTTACAGTGAAGAGACCTATAAGGAACTAACAGAATTTGGTATTCCTACAACACTAATATTAGACGCTTCTGTTGGGTAAGTTACTTTTCTCTTCAGTTTCTAAGCGAGACCCTGAAGATCCAGGGTTCAATCCCTGTATTCGTCACGATAAAACCTTCAGATTTTTTATGTCATGCAGGTTTTAAGGGAATGGAAAAAGTGTCTAGTCGATCGAATGGGAAAATACACTGAGGCCCTGTGTGCTACAGACTGTTTACGTTAAAGATCCCTCGACAGTTGAAAATAGAAAAAGAGTGTCCAATGCTGCTGTCCTGGCAAAATTTCCCTTCTTGGACGGCAGTAAAAACAAGAAACAAGACAAGATCTGTATTTTAGACTATATATATTGCAGGTATGTTATGTATATTGCAGGTATGTTATATATATTGCAGGTATGTTATGGAGAGAGTAGATCTTGTATTAGTGGGAGCTGAAGGAGTGGTTGAGAGTGGTGGTATAATTAACAAAGTATGTTACATTTCTTTTGTCCAGATCAAGAATAAGGTGTTAATGTTTGTTCGCTGCTAGGAATTTTTGCTCAGGTGCCTTGTAAGCAATATACTGAATATGGCCAAGATTGTTATGAGACGATTCATGTAATGATAGAAAGGATATGATATATACCGCAATGTGGCAATAGATTTGTATGTCTTGTTAAGTATACATAATATTTGTCTGGTATACTTAGTATTGTAAAGTATGCCACATGCCATATTGCAGCAATATATTGCACTAGTGCTAAAAGAATGGAAGTTGACATCATAGAGCTATAAGCCAGGAATCATTTGAAGTAATAAGGCAGAAAAAAAAACATAACCCTTTGCTTTAGAATTGGCAAAAACATCATGTGATTGATTAATAAGAAAAGAAGAATGTCCTTCATATCATCTTTTTATATTTCAATATTTCAGATTGGTACCTTCTCGGCAGCTATTAGTGCTAAAGCAATGAATAAACCATTTTATGTGGTTTCTGAAAGTTTTAAATTTGTACGATTATATCCTTTAAATCAAACAGATCTACCTTCTGAATATAAAGTAAGTAGAACTGACAGTATTGTTGTGACAGATATAATACCAGACATTTTGTAGTAAAAGTCATACAGGACTGGTGAATCAGTATGTTGATGAATACGCAAGGTTTATTCATTTGTTTGTTTGGTAAGGTTAAGAAACATATCAAGAATAATAGTTTTTATTGTGGGTTTAGATCAACTTATGTTTTTAAGCCTAAAGTCAGGGGTTCAGGGTTAGGTCATCACCTTCGATGATTTATATCTTGCGATTAAACTACTAAATAACATGATGAGAAATGCCAATTGGTTTTGACACATGGCGCTTCTTAATTTCCTTGGGATCAGTCTAATCCTGGTCAGTCAATAGTCTATGGGAGTGTTATGAAAATATCAAGGAAGTCTTAATGACAAAGGATTTGTGGGCATGGAATGTATAGAAGTAAGAATAAATATGCAGACTATGGTGCAGGATTTTGAATACAACAGGAAATAACCAAATACAGACTGTATAGGTTGTGCCATGAGTTACTTCTTTTATTTTCTACTGTATCGATATTGATTCTACCACATCTTACACTGTACTGATCACCTTACATTGTCTATTTATGTCTTTATGCTTGGAGAATGACCCTACTACATATTTAGTTGGTTGAAGAAGGTATGCACATCTTTGTGCTTGGGAATGATCTCATCCTCACAGATATACGTTTCCTTTTGTATTTCAATCCTTTAACATGCGTTATATATTCAAGAAGGAAGGGACTCCCCTGCTTGGCATTAGGTTATTTTTAGTTCTATTCTATTTTATATTTTCAGTATTCTTCCTCTGTGTTAAAAAAAAAAGGAAAAGATTTAGAAAAAGAACATCCATCAGTTGACTACACGCCACCATCTTATATCTCGTTATTATTTACTGATCTAGGTGTATTAACACCATCAGCTGTCAGTGACGAACTTATACAGTTATATAAATAACGATGAACTTAATAACTGAATAAAGTTAGAAATTAACTTGAAATTATTGTGTCCTTTAATCAACATCAGCAACTAAATTTGTGATGGACTTATACAGATACGTAAATAAAATTGTGAACTTAGTTATTGAATAAAATTATAAATTAACTTGAGAATAAAGTGAGTGTCGATTTACCTTTGTAGAAGGTAAAACACCATTTAATTTGGATAGATCAATTTTTTAGGTTTATTGAAACCATTAACAGTCAGTGATCAACTATAAATAACTGAATTACTGAATAAAAATAATCAACTTCAGCAACAAAATTTACCTAAAATGTAATAACACCACCAGCAGTTAGTGACGATTTGCGGGCACACGAACAGTCGTGGTCGGCGATTTTTGTTGCCGACTCGAATCTTGAGTGAAATTTCGCGTGCGCCCGCGTTTCCGATAGGAACAAAATTAAGATTATCGCATGCTCGACAAAAATCCCACACGCCAACAGGATTTATAATATCAAACAAGTTTGGTAATTGTCTCCGATAGTTTTATCGTCTGCATAACATACCGTCATCTTCAAATCAGATTCCTTTTCCTTTCAATTGCATGCTCCTCACGTGATTATCGACAACCTACTGGAGATTTTCGTCTCCTCGCGTACAAGTGCCACTCGCCGAAACTCAAGACAAGACTCTAATCGGCGACAAAAGTCTCCGACCAAAAAACGCGCGTGTGCCCGCACTTTAACACAGAGCGTCATCATCCAATTAGATTCATTTTCGATAAGGTGGGAAAAACAACCGACTGGAAATATTTGTTTCCTCGTGTCTCCGTAGCCGGTCGGTGAAACTCTATGACAACCAAGATGGTTGCGAATAATGAAAGTGGACCTGAGTTTCGAACTTGCGTTCGAAACTTATGGCCGCTATCCTTATTTGCAAATATACGCAATTGGCGATCGGCAACTTTATACAGTTATATAAATAATACTGTGAAATTTTGTACTGGATAAACTTTGCTGATGGCTGAAATAAATGTAACCCTTTAAATCATACCAGATATTTACATTTACATATTGTTCACTTTATTTTCTACGTTAGTGAGAGTAATGGGCCTGGCTATGGGTCTGGGCTGCTCTAATTGAAATTGGTTTGAATTTTCATGACTAGGTTAAGGTCGGTCGCCTCCATTGACATTTGTCTCAGCTTAAATTAAATTAAATTAAATTCCTTTTCTTGAACTTGAATCGAATCTCATATTTCTTCGCCATTCAGTTTTTGGTTGGGATGCAAATATTAAAGATCTTGATTGTTATCTGCTGGGTTGTTCACATTTTTGCTTCATTGCAATTTCTATTAAATTGAAATAAAATACAAAAGACACGAAATTTAATCAAGGACATACTGGCGTGTGTTGTTCCAGTCCAGCTGTTAAATATAAAAGAAATGTCCTAGAATATTGTAACGGGTTTTGAATTTTAATATGTAACTTATTCAAGCTTAATTGTTAATCAAAAAAAGAAAAAGATACCACGACCGTTTTAGTTTTCAGTTAGTTTAATTCGTAAAACCGTAATATCACTGAGAATACGAAGTAAAAGTAACAGTCCATGACGTGGACATTGTTTCGTTATTCCACAATTCGTAATATTATTGAAACAATTGGGACGAAAATGTTTTATAATTTCATTTAAATTTGCTATAAAAACTCGGGTCAGAACACCCTGAAACCATGTATGCCAAATTACCTAAGATCATTATATTCTACCTATTTCTAGAAACATAAAATTATATTTGAACGCCACAGATTATCGATCAAAATCAAAGTTATTATAGTTAGGTTCCAGATCGTAAATACGTGAGGTTTACAAATTGTCACCCGTTATACATGAACTTAATCATGAAAATAGATAAGAAATACACATTGTGGGGGAAATGGGTCATCTCCGGACTTGTTTTTAGGAAGAAAATATCATGTAACTGGTTAAATAATAAATATATTTAGTAATTTTTTTAGAACTGGCGTGTCTCATTACTTTAATGATTTCAGTCAACAAGCTCGGAGAGGTGGTTGATTTTTTCGACATATGGTAAAAATACACGCTTATCAACGTCATGATTTGAGGTTTAGAGAAAAATTTGGATTTTTGGTTGAAGGTTTTATAGTTGAAGCTACGAAAGATCTAAAAAAAAAAAGATGACATTATCAGCTACCTGGACTCTCTAAATGAAAAATGTCTGAGAAGGTGAGCATAGCAATCTCTACAGCAATTAACACCCCAAATAAGGAGAAAGAAGACAATTTAATAGTCATACAACTCATGCGAAACTCTTTCACTAATTCCGTGATACCGGATGTGTTTGCCGCTAATCACAAACCAATTTTGGATGCCTTTCGACATACGATTTCCAATGCAATTTGATAAAGGAAGTTTTACCGCGACCTGAATAATATCGGACGCAATAAGACCAACATTGGTCGCAGTCCGGTGTGACGGGGGTGTAAGAGGATGTCGTATTGCTACCCCACAATCAGTTTCTACGGAGGGGCATATATCATATCACTTAGTGAAGGAATGTCCTACACCCCCCCTCCCCATTCCTACCCCTCCCTGGAATATTTTATAGACCGTTTTATTCGCCATTGTTATCAGGATCCAAAGTCAACTATGCCCATGGCGATGAAGATAATACACTACAGACACAAACTATTATTATGGTTATAATAGTCAGTGGGCTAGAGTCACATAGATGATACAAGAAAAGGAAGTTACAGCAGGCGGTTAACTAAATAACTAATTATAATTTCTTATAGAAATATTTCACGTTTATCTATGCTGGACTAGACATGTTTTTTGCATTAAACCACACTATGAAATGTCTAAATGATATAAATTTATTATTATCTGTTGTTTTTAGAATGTTCCGGTCATACTAAGGGATATAACCAAGAAAACCTTATAACCTTTTACGTGAATAACACTATGTTTGTTCAATCCCACATCTATATTTGATGAAAATTTATATGAATAAGAAGACAATATTTTGTTTGTCAATATGTTGGTAAGGTCAAGAAAGGTCATTGCTCTTTTTTTTCTGAGTTTGCTTGTCTTATCCCTAAAGCCATTAGACTAAGGCCTAACGTAATGGAAGCTAATAGGGTATATGCCCCGCTTTTAAAAAATAAGTAGTGCCTTTTTTCAGTAACGTAGTTTGAAGAAGAAAGGCCCTATGTGATAAAGCATGATATTTTGCGATTAGTGACGTTATAAATCACTTAGTTTTTGTGGGATTTCAGGAACCACAGACATCTGGTTGTAAATTGGAGAGGTGCAAATTAATGAGATCAGTGTCGCCGATACCCAGAAAAATGTAAAAAGCCGGTACACATAATTTTTTTTTAGAAAACCTCTTTACAATCCCTTTAAAAGAAACAAAATGGCTGAAAACGCCTGATCTTGATAGATCTGTTTTTTTCAGATTTTTTATTATTTTTTTTAAATTTCAATTTCGTGGTGCTACATGTGTTTTATTTCTCAATGTTTGTAATCAGTACAATTTGTATACATTGGTTATAAACTGATTATACCATGGTCTTTACCTACATGCCAGTTAGCGGCGGCACCAGCCTCCCGATACCGAGGTACACACAGGGGGTAGACTAACTTAATATAGGGGGACGACTGTCAAGGTTGAATTTTAAATGTGGAAGCTCTGTGGTAGTTCAACAGGCACAAGCCTCCAATAAAGCGTCTGAGAGAGTTCTATTTTTTCAATTTCTTCGAAATTACACTCACTGGCGCCGCCACTGATACCAGGCGGAGGCCCAACCAATCATATACTCGACTTTTAGTTACTTACCGAGTAACTCAATAACTGTCGGATTAATCGGGATTTTGTTATCTTTACCTGTATACCATCACCACCTTACACCACTTCGACTGTAGGACTAAACAATATGATATTATTTATTTTAATAACATAAGTGTATTGAAGCGCTAAATAAGTATAAAAAATGAGGGAATGTTTCTATTCAATTTTCTATTTGCGCAAGTTTTTGGTATGCGTTATGAAAGATGACATCTGTCAACTTTTACTTCAAGTCTTTCTTGAAAACGGTTGTAATCAAAAAGATTATAGGCTTCGATAGATAACACTGTCCGAAATGGGCCTTTTAAACAAAGTCCAGTGATCTTAATGGTTATACGCTTGATTGAAATTACATAGCCATCCTGATCACTTTTCAGAACTATATACTTCAACTACGAGTCAGTCTGTAAAACTACTGTGATGTAAATGGTTATAATACTTGTTAGCTTTTAGACTTTGTTCAATTTTGCCTCCCTGGTCATTTTTCAGACTGGAAAATCTACTACAAGTCAGTCTATAAAACTACTTTGATGTAAAGGGTTATTATGCATTTTAACTTTTAGACGTGGTATTTAAACTTCCCTGATCATTTTTCAGAATGGAACTTCTACTTTAAGTGTGTTTATGAAACGACCTGATTTAACCTACTAATATGACGTCATTTGAATTTGAAAAATATGACAGTTCTATAAGAGGTTAAATGAAGGGACTTCATCCCTTTAATTTGAAAAAAGCGTCTACTTACAAACGGTACAGGTATTGTAACAAAAAGGGCCGCGTTACGGTACGTAAAGACTTACAATCGTTACTTATTAAAATTTTTCAATATAAAACATTTTTATATAACTTTTTGTATATTATAATAAAACATTTTATAAATAGTATACGCACACGAGGACACGCGCTACATCTACACCGCAGTAGACAAATGATAAAAGACGAATTTATATCTTAACTTTCCTTATTTGAATGTGAAGGAGAAGGATTTAACCTATGTTAGTGTTTACTCTGAAATATTGTAGTATACCAACACTTTATATCATATAGTTTGGACATTGTATTACCTAACACACTATTTTTAATTTGCTAATTTTATAAGGTGCTTAAAATCTATGAAATAAAAAAGAAAAAATTCTAAGTTTCTTTATCGCAGCATTATTCATAATGGAAGGAATTCCTGCTTGTGTTACATTTGGTTTCATCTGTATGTTAGTTCTACATACGGTACTTGCTGGTAAGTAACTTAATATAAACTTTACTGAAGGAGTTCAGCAGCAACTGTTTCCAGCAACAACTACAGCTACAACTTCAGCAATATTTTGGGCAGGAAGCACTGAAACTTTCTCATCTTTCTGTATAATACTGAATTCTGTAATTCCAACTCGATTTGGTATTTCGTGTTAACGACTATTATTTGTACCTGACACTTCTGAGCCTAGATCAATTGAATCAGGCTAGTGACCTTGGCGATATTATTATTCCAGTAGAAGATCAATGGCAATTACTGCCTGACAGACCCATGTTGTAAACAAGCTTATCGATATCCAGGGCGTTATGCCGAATATCTTCGATATGATTATTATGCATAGCATGTAATGACAGATTTTATTATACCTCAACATTATTGGCTCGGGAACCGCATGTTATATTGCTTTCAAATTTATCATAATTTCAATGAAAGCAGTATATAACAGTGGTATGCAATGATATTGGGTACATATTGTACGACCTTCACACCTTTTCTTTTCTGACGTCATAAATTCAAATATTCAGCCTACTGTCTTATAGGCATCGTTTTTCATCGTTTCCATTACTACCCAATTTATAAGGTTCCTGTACGTGTACATTATAACACTGTATGTAATTCCAAGAAATCTAACATGATTATGACGCCATTTTTGCAAAAAAAAATTTGGTTTGAATGGCATTGTAACGTGACGATCTGAGCAAGACCAAAGTCCTATATATGTATAGGTCTTTGATGAAGACTTCTGTTTAATTGGAAATTGTTAATATGAGGTGAAAATACATTTTTATAATGGATATAGATATCATTGACGTCAATCTATTTGTTTAATTAATTACTGGTATGTACCGGAAATACGAGATTTGAATTTTTTGAATCACATTCTTGATGCATAACATACTTTTTTTTATCTAAATATATCTCTTTTTAGCGGATTCTTTCGCCAACCATCCTTGTAAAAGAAAATGTGAAAGAGGTCAAGAACCAATGACCTGTGAATATCATCTGAATATTGAATGGTATTGGGTGTTATCGAAGGTAAGAACTACTGGACACCCATTCATACTTGTATTAACCAAAGAGTCAAGGGAATGGCGTGGTGGTTAGTTGAGTTGAGTGAGGTTGAAGAGGGGTTATTTGGTCAGTGGCGTTTTTCCTACCGGTAGAGGTGGGGACCTACTTCGTGATTTGGTTTTAAAAGATTACATCATTTCGGCAGCAGTGTAACAATTGGTATTAAAAGCCCAAGATTTGCACATTCCAAAACATTTCTCAAGAATATGCACAAATCAATGGTGACTCACTGCTATCGTGCAACAATCTTCTGTTTGTTTGATTGACTATGATGGTAAATAAGTGAAACTCTTACTATAGTTTCTACATACATTGAAGATTGTATTATAAGAAGATATCTTATCGCCCTCTCGACAAAATACAAATGAACATAATGTTGTCTTTGGTTGATTTCGACAATACATTAAATAAACATTGGCAAGATGTTTGAACTTATTATGCTTGGGATGGTAGACTAGTAGACTAATGTTTGCCTTAGGTCGGTTGACGATTCAAAGCATCTTCCTTAGGAACTGTCTCGGAACACTTATAAATTTCATTTAAGCACCCAATAATACTGGGTCAAAAGAACATAACACAATAATGTTGGATCAAAAGAACATAGCCCAATAATGTTTGGCACCAAAGAACATAACCCAATGTTTGGCACCAAAGAACATAGCCCAATAATGTTTGGTCCAAAAGCAAATAATCCAATTATGATTGGTTCAAAAGCACTTAATCGAAAATATTATTTTATTAGTCCAGAGAAAGAATATTAATACATGACCAAAATATTTTTTGCATTGCCAATAACTTTCAGAAAAGTAAGACGTAACGCAAAATATTTATTCTATTTCCCAATAAGGTTCAATATTATATTAGAACTAATCATTTACTTTTTTACCCAAAAAGATGAAATTTCACTTAGAAGCACAGATGCGCCATTTGTTTTTTTGTTTTTTGGTTTTGTTTTTTACCAATCATTCCATTGTCTCAGAAACGTGATTTTTTTTTTAGCTAAGCCCTTTAGTAATAGTGTTTACTGTTTACCGTCGAAATTTGAGCCTTCAAAACCATGTGTATCTGCGTTTGAAAGTTAAAAAGACGAGTCGTCTGTTTTTGAGACACTACCATATATAGAAAAAGCATCTATGCACATTTATAGTACTACTGAAGACTTATTACATATATCCAAGACTCATATCAACACCACAAAAATGGCGCAGCTGTCCCTTTAAATGTGGAAATGGTCTTCAGAACAGTAGTACGTTATTCAGATTCAGATTCAGATTGATAATACGTCAATCACAATTACAATCAACAGCATTTACAAACATATTAGATCAAAACGATTAATAAGAGTAAAACTAGATTTAGGGCAACTATAGTCACTCTTTATAATTTATTATTCTTTACTAGGTCAAGTCTACTATTCCTCCTACAAGATAAATAGAAAAATACTATTTTATATTTTATAAATTATTTATATTGATATACACTCTATTTCTATTGAATCTGAAATTTAAACCCTTTTTATCTTTTAGATTTATTGAAAAGACAATGATTTCAAAACAAATCATATATTCACATGTATATAAGATATATATGTACCCCATCTTCGCAATGTCAAGTTATTGGGCTATACCTTGACTGCAATAGCCACAATTCTTGTATCACACAGGTTTGTAAATGCAGCGATTTGATTGGATCGTACGCTTAAAAATACAGTCAATCAAAGCCCTCGACAGAAAGACTCTAAACAATAAGCCACAATGTTTACTGCCTTTATGTCGAGGGCTCCGATTAACTGTATTCGTACAATCAAAAGTGTTGCATCTGTGATAAAAGAATAATGGCTATTGCAGTCAAAGTGTAAGATGAAGATCGTAATAGCTTGACATTGTGAAGATGTATTTACCAATTGGAACCTTCCCCATATTGCATAATGTTTATCAGAGATAAATAAATATAACAGACGATACACAAAAGTAGCATGGAAATATCTTTACTATCAATTTCATAACAGGTATAATCTTACCCTTTTTGGCCGATTTCTGTGAAGCACATAGTTGACGTATAAAATTGTTTCCACGTCCTTTCATATCGGTGGATATTATATATAATTCATGTTTACTGTACTTATCTACCCTTATCTGCGCTTGATTACACATGTTTGTCCTTTTTTGCGTTTGTTAACACATGTTTGCGCTTCTTTACAAGCGTTTGCGCTTCTTTACACCTGTTTGCGCTTCTTTAAGCTTTTAAGTCGGGTAAAGGCATGTAATTCTGTTCTGCTATCATTTAACAGCAGGCTCAGTATTCTATACCGCATAATTCTACATCTACATCAACTGTTTTCATACATTCATTATTATATATCTCCCCAATAGACCTGACAAACATCATATTAATTTTACAATTCAACCTTGTTAAAATGATACGAGATAGTTATCTCAAAATTTCAAAATATGTTTTTTCTATATAACCTTGATGCCTTAATTTATATCATTTGATCGTTCAGCTGATGGATTCGATTCCCTTTTAGAAAAAGTCAACGTCATTCAAATGATACAACAGCTACTGAAAAATCTCAAATGACTGTCCCTTTAAATCAAACAGATATTTTAGAAGAGTTTAGAAGCCGATTAATATTCTGGTGTTTGCAGTTGTAGAGACCTTAACACTGACTTTTGCTGCAGTATCAGACTTCCTCACTTACAACAGTGACGATTATTTTTATAATTTCAGGCTTGTTATAACTGTCCATTCAATCAAACTGATTGTTTCCGTGAAGAATGTGTTTCTGCTGATGGTCAAAGAAGAGCTTTACTAACTTATAATCGACAATTACCTGGCCCTTCTATAGAGGTAATATAATTATGCTACGCCCAAAATTAAGCGACCAGAAAAGTAAAAATCTGACCGTTATATTCCGTACTCTCAAATAATCCCGTATTTCCACTCACAACAGGAGCACCATGTAGACCTACATCATACCAATTTTACTTCAAATTCTGGATGATATGCCTTGTAATTGTAGGTGTGTGAGGGTGACAAGATATTAGCATGGGTTACAAACTCGATGGCAGATTCCGAAGCGACCAGTGTTCATTTTCACGGTCAACACCAATATTTAACACCATACATGGATGGAGTGGCCTATTTAACACAGTGTGCTATAGACAGGGCTCAGAAATTCAGGTATATTTTTTATTAATTATCAGACGTGCTGACTTTCAAAGACGTCCGGGTTCCGGCCTTAGCATTGTTTCACGTGGTATCTTCTGATCTATATTTGTGAACCAACTCTTTCGTTTTCCAATCGTCCGGACCGTCATCTCCTCGTATATATGATTGGTGTTGCGGTTGTCAAGCATTATCCTGTGGTTCAGTTTAGTTCAGACCCACGGTTATTAAGTATATAAATCTTTACAACAAGATGAACGAAAGATTGTGTCTGAAATTCTTTCATGCTGTTGTCTAAGATGAGATGATGATTATGTCAGTTATGAATTATGATGCTATTGATAAAAGATAAAATGCACACGTTGATGGACTTATCACTATAAAATAACTACGTGACCTGTACAATGTACTGACATCTGAGTACTCCGACACTCTGCATAATCCGACATCTTTTTCTGGTCCCGATTGATTCTTATGTTAGTTTAAAATAAATAAACCAGGTGCTAATGATCCGAAATCCAAAACAACAGTTTGGCGAAAAATTGTTAGCAGCAACAATTGAGTGCTATAGTATCTATCATTTTCAGGTATGAATTCACTGTGAATCCTTCAGGAACACATTGGTACCATTCCCACGTCGGCTTCCAGATCGCTGATGGTCTGTTTGGACCATTTGTTGTCAGACAGCCCAAGGAAACGGATCCTAATGGAGCGTTGTACGATGAAGATCTGTCCGAACATATCGTTATGATATCCGATTGGAAACCGGCACCTTTTATTAACCGCTTTCTGGAACAAATGAATGACAGGTTTAATTTGAATGATCCTAGTTCTGGCTTAATCAATGGTCGAGCTAGAAATTTTATGGTGAACTCCAAAGATGATGCGTCGGTTCCTGATGCACAAACACCAATAGCTGAGTTTGAAATAACAAAAGGAAAGACATATCGATTCAGATTTATTGGTGCCGCTGCCTCCTGCTATTTCCAAATGTCTATAGACAAACATGTTTTAACTATTATAGCTAATGATGGTATACCTATAGAACCAATTGTGACAGAGTCCTTCATTATAACACCAGGCAAGTCCAGTTCCAAACGTTTCCGTATTTTACCTCGTTACCCCCATATTTGTTTACGTTAAGCTTGATTTTAAGTTGTTGAAAGGGACAGTGGCATTGCTATATACTATTAGATATTTCGATCTAATACGAGAACTACTTATTTTGTGTATTCACAGGTGAGAGGTATGATGTTATTGTAGACGCTAATCAAGATATAGGTAATTATTGGATGAAAGCTATAGGACTAGGTGATTGTGATAACAGAACGTGGGTATATGCTGCAGTCAAATATAAAACAGCAACAGTGGCTGATCCTGATGGTGATCCTAAAACACAGAGAGATGGAATAGTAGGTTTTCAAAATCCAGTGACAATAAGCTGACAATATTCTTGAACTCATAATTCCTTTAAGCCAAACTTTATTTTGAGAAGCTGTTAAGCAACCGAACATACCGGCAGTAGCCCAAATTGAATTGGTTTCGAATCTTCGGCAAGAATAGAGATCACATAACCGAATATGTTGGTATGACCCTAATCTGGCTCTGACTTATTTGTTAGAATGACTCTTTTTCTATTTTCCAATAGTTTATTTAACTGCGGATTTGAAATTCTTATATGGCAAAATCGCAAAGGTCTCGTGCCACGCCCCAAACTCAGACATTTTCTAGATAGGCCCCTGTGAAATTGAAATTCGTTTTTAAAACTTCATTTCAGCTCGTGAATTCTATACCAGAAAATAGAGTAGAATATGGTTTTAATCATAGTAAAGTTATTAACATCGAGGAGTTTAATTATGCTGGACCATTCACTAATTTAACAGACCAAGTTGTCGATGCCACATATTATTCAGGTATGTAACACCATTACCTGATGAATACTCTACCTATTTTAGAGCTGGAAACAATTTCCATGATTTTTCATGATACGCTGTGAACTGTGAGGAATTTTATGTACACCATATTATGTATCATTCTGATCATGGCCGAAAATCAAACATACAGTTCTGTTCTTGCAGTCCTTACATTGCGTGGTTGAAATCCAAACAAAGGTCCAAAAAAAGTTGCAATTATCGTCTTACTATTTCTGACCACAGGAGACTGGAGTGCTTAGCCCATTCAGAATTTCTTAGCATCTGGATTCGATGAGCATGAGTATGCCCTAAGGTACTGTAGAAAAGAGAAGAAGTAAAATCATGCGCTTCCGGTATCATTCACTGTTTAGATAATCTCAAACCGAACATGGCATCATATCTACTCGCACTATTTGCCTGACTCCAATTCTTGTTTTTGTTTCAGCCATGTTCTTCAGTAATAATGATAATACGATATTTAATAATAAATTATTGTATCCAGTAAAGAAACTACCAGGGTCGCAGCTACATGCCACACCTGTTATGGATAACGTATCCTTTTTTAAATAACAGCAGTGGATAAGATCTGGGAGGAAGATCAAAACCCCGCCAATATGTGTATTATTATAGTAAGGCGTAAAGTGACGTTAGCTTTAAAGTCTAAAAATCCTAGATATTTCTTGACCAATTGAATTCCCCTTTTTTCATATTTTAAACAGGAATCGAATTGATTCAATTCCGTACATCAGGCAACCCGATGTCGTAAATAACTTTTTCTTGACAACCTGGGCAGGAAGTTCATTTGAGTTCAGTACAATATTAAAGAGCCTTAAAGAGCTTTGTACGTTTTTGTTGAACTGTTGGTAAAACTGGTTAAGCAAATTATTTTGACTATATGTCGTTTAAACCGAATCTGTTAACCAAAAGTTAACATGCAAGCTGGGTGCTTATATTCTATCTCTTTAACTCACGATAGATAACATTCGGTATGCCACCAATACCCATCCTATCACAGCCTGACCAAGTGGATCAATCCTGGTTCTGCAACAGAACATCCTTAACAGAATCTGATAAATGTTTAGAGGATCTTTGTATTTGTACTCATATGATTAGATTTCCACTCAACAAAGTGAGTTCATTTTTTCTCTATGTGTGCTGAGGTTTCAAATTCCGAAATGTGTGCTTATAGGTCGACTGACGATTCGAAGCATCTCTTCGGATCCATTGTACTGATATGGTAAATTAACCAACTGCTTAAGGGGGCACGGGATTACGTTATGGTATATATTTTTTAGGTTGTAGAACTTATAGTAGTAAATCAAGGTTCAATGTTCCCCGGGGCTCATCATCCAATGCATCTTCATGGTTACAGTTTTAGAATAATGGCATTAGAAAGGGTACGTTATAGTTTCTTTCTTTCTATAATCAATTGCTAAAATGGTGAGTTTTATATCATTACAAATTATTTTATGTTGGTCTAATACTTACTATGGCCCGTCTGTGCCATGCACGATAATTCTAGATTTCCATGAGATCGACTTGAAGTCTTTGAAGAGTTTTATAATTCTCTGGAAGCACCGATATTGCAGATTTTCGATAGATGGAATCTTTTATTATGTAGTTCTTAGGTGTGCTACTGGATGTGCATGTTTAAGATCCCTTGACAGTGGAGAATCGAAGAGAGTTGATCAAAGTCGTAGTCCTGACAAAATTTCCCTTTTTGTACACTGTAAGATGTTTTTAGTATTCATTAGCCCAACCAGATTCAGAAAAGTGGAATGTAAAACTCCATTTTTTTTAATTTTTTTTGTTAGTTTGATTCTCCTGTTACCATTGAACAAGTAATGAAATTAGACGAAGAGGGAAAGATTAAACGTAAACTGATTAATCCCCCATTACGAGATTCGTTCTTCTTACCAGGTAGAAGTTACGCCGTCTTACGATTTTATACCAATAATCCAGGTAAGACAGATTGACACAGAACAGGTGAATTAAACACTTGTCAAAATCATCAAGATATTGAAATCAGTGGAGCACGCTTAATTCTTTAGGACAAAACTCCAATACGGAAATTGGCGTATCTATGAATTTTCGGGCTGGCCACAGGATTGTCAAAGGGCCAGAGGATTGTCAAGGGGCCAGAGGATTGTCAAGGGGCCACAGGTTGTCAAGGGCCACAGGATTGTCAAGGGGCCACAGATTGTCAAGGGCCATAGGATTGTCAAGGGGGCATAGGATTGTCAAGGGGCCACAGGATTGTCAAGGAGACCATATGATTGTCAAGGGGGCCACGGGATTGTTAAGGGGGCACAGATTTGTCAAGGGGACACAGGACTGTCAAGGGGCGACATGATTGTCAAGGGGGCACAGGATTATCAGGGGTCACAGGTAGTCAAGGGATCCACAGGAAGTCAAGGGGCACAGGATTGTCTAGGGGCGACATGATTGTCATGGGGGCACAGGATTATCAGGGGCCACAGGTAGTCAAGGGATCCACAAGATTGACAAGGGGGTCACAGGGTTGTCAAAGGGGCCTAAGGGTTGTCAAGGGGGCCTTAGGATTGTCAAGGGGCCAAAGGATTGTCAAGGGGCCAAAGAATTGTCGAGGGGGCCAAAGGATTGTCGAGGTGGCCACAGGATTATCAAGGTTGTCAAAGGGGTACACATCATACGGCATTGAAGACGCCAATGATCAGAAACGCAACATCACAATGTCTCTGACCTTTTTGAACATGTAATGAGTAAACGATACAATGATTCTGCTGATCTCTATACGCATGTGTACCCCTTTGACAACCTTGATAATTCTGTGATCCCCTCGACAATCCTTTTGCCCCCTCGACAATCCTTTTGCCCCCATGACAACCCTGTGACCCCCTTAACAATCTTGTGGCCCCCTTGACATGAAACTAACGAAGTCTTCTACCAGCTGATAGAATTTTCATATCGGATACAGGTAGATGAATAATATAACGTAGCATGTAAGCAAGAATTCCGACAACAGCATCTATTCAACCAGTGCTTATATTGTTTCAGGTTATTGGTTCTTCCATTGTCATGTAGACGGTCATGTTATACAAGGTAAAGCCTTAGTTATCCAGGTCGGCGAAGTTTCAGAATTTCCAGAACCACCAGAAGACTTTCCTAAGTGTGGTGGATATGGATACACGCCCAAACCAGTGATAAAAACAGTCGAGGTGGACTGCCCTACATCCCGATCACCAAGACTCTATATTTCATCTATTTTAATGTCAATTGTGATGTTTTCGCTTCTATAACCTCTAATTTGTTGGAGCGCTGTAGCCAGAATCATCAAGACTTTAGATTATCCAAAACATTTGATATCATTCGTTCATATTACGCCTTGGACCGGCAATTTAGATATATAGACCACCAATAAAAACTGGTGTGGAAAAGGGGATTACATTTGCGATATATGGATTTGAATAATTATCAATTATGGATCTTTAGATCATATAGTTAGGAGATCTTTAGCTTTGGTGTTTCTAGCAACAGACACCTTGCATTTACTTCATTGCTTAAACAAGTAATTAACTAAGTGGCGCTATAGTACATACACGGGATAGGAAATAAAGCCCAGGAATCAAGCATACAAGATGATTTAAACACACAGAAATGGTTGATCGAGGTGTTACATTTTGTACATCTGTGCAATCTGAAAATTGATGATAGATTTAGTCCCTGTTGTAATTGCTCCTTTTGTGATTCATAACTATTAATTCATATTTGGTGTACAAACAACCATCGAGGACCAAATTCATCCACCATTCATCTTTAAAAACAATTTTCTATCACGGTGATGTCATGTATAGTCAGTTAAGATGCTCTTTGAAATCATAATTTATTATTGGTGTACTCACTATTTAGACGGTGATTATCTTTTTTCAATGATGAAAATGACACAGAATCTGAATGGTTTATAAAAATTGAATTAATATTTATAACATTTATGAACGCAAGTATCATTATAAAAACCACATAATTTTGGGGATTTCTGATAGAAAAGGTTTAACCAGTTTAGTTAATGATCTACATGTAAGAAAATCCATTGACAAACTGGTGTTAAGAGTGAAGAAGTTCCTAAAAACTTCTATGTAAAGCACTGGCCAAGGTCACAAATAAAGAGATAAATGTTCAATACAAGATAAGGTGAAGTTAGCATAGTTAGTATTAAGTTAAAAAAACAACCACGAGTAATCTACAATAAACAAAAGTCTATAATATGAAAGTTTTCTTGTTACCAGTTCTAAAAGAAAAGAGTATTTATAGGTTCTGAAAAGATAAACATCTATATATAAGGATTAGAATATATTATACTGAATGAGCTAGAAAATAGAGAGGGGGGTCAAGTATTATTGGATTCAATGGGATCGAGTCTACCACGGACCAGAAAATTACTAAGGTTTTTATTGCGCTTATAGGCAATTACAAGTCGTTTGGTATATACATTCGGAAATCTGTTCTGTAATTCACTGTAATACTGTTTGACGATGGAAGAGGTTTTGGCAGCTGTATGATTAAAGGTGGCAACAAATGGAATCATTTGATTATCATGCTGGATGTTAAGTCCATTTAGAGCCACTGTTTGGAGTTGGTCCATCCAGTAGCTTTCTCTCTGTAATCGTTTGGTTTTTGGTTTGATAAGATCAGAGTCAGGAATTGATTCAATAGGCATGATAAGTAGGTCTTCAATGGAATGGTCAGGTGAATTAAAATGATGAGAAATTGGTCTATTTTTGCTATGAATTATATCAAAGCGATGGCCGCTAAATCGAGTTCGCAACGCGTTCTGGGTTTCGCCGACGTATTGTTTGTCACATTTTTTACACGAAATTAGCTAAATGATATTTTTATCCGTACACGTGAGACGTTCTTTAATTTCAAATATTTTTCCGTTTTTTTTTATTTTGAAAATAATGAGACATATGGATATGTTCACAGGTGCGACACCGAGAACCTCTACATGGTATTGCGCCAAAGTTATTTATTGGAGGAGGGGGTTCATTAATTTTCAAAAGGTCCAAAACAGTGTCATTTTTAATTTTGCGCAAGAATCGTTTGGAATAGCCCCTCTCTCTTAATTTACTGAAAATTAGTCTACAAGCTGCATCAAAATCTACTTTTTGAGTGCAAATTCTAAAAAAACGCAAAATTTGTGATTTGATTATTCCCGTAAAAGTATGTTTTGGGTGAAAAGAGTTTTTATATAAAAGTTGGTGAGTATCCGTTGGTTTAAAAAATACTTTGATGTCTAATTTGTTTGTTTGAGAGAAACTTGGTCCTTTGAATACCGTAGTATCCAAAAAATCCATACTTCAGAAATATTCGCAGTTAGTTTTACAGAAGGGTGGTGATTATTTAAAATTTCAAAATATTGCCAAAAATTTGTTAAAGACTCGGTCCAATAAAAATATCGTCAAGAAACCTTCCATAGAAGAAAGGTTCAAAAGGGGAAATGGAAGAAATTTCCAGTTCCCACTCAGCCAAAAGTTCTAATATTTCTTTGTCGGGTCTATCTACGCAGGCATTTCGAAGAAAGGCCTTTCGGACAGCGTCTAAACCGGTTTTATTATCAATATTGGTATACATGAAAGAAAGGAATAAATACTGGGTTTTCTTTACACAATCTAGAATAAGTGTTCATGTCAATTTCTAATCATTGTATAAATCACTTAAAATTATCCTTTCACTTATTTAATTAAACATATTCTTATTATTTATAGTAATAATTTCTCTTCATAGTTAAAGTGGTCCGCTCCAGCAGCTGTACTTGTATCAATCTATGTATGTGTATTTAGTCTCAAACATCTGCCTCAAATCCAGACTCTTGTAGCTATTCTGTCAGCTGGTGTAGAGACAGAAAAACAAGGTCCTGTTTTGTAGGGATTTCCACAACCCCGAAGACTATCAGAGGCTAGAATAGATGCAGATGTTTCGGTCTTATGTGTATACAATGTTTTCAAAGCCAACAGAAAACTTCCACTGCGTATATCATCCTGATATTTGGACACGATATTTTGTATATAGAGCGGTGTACTTAAATCGAAAGATACTAGCCCGTGTATATGATGAGGGAACTTCAGATAATTCAGAATTTTCTCTCATACACATGAATAATACTTGTCTTTCCCACTAAATGTGTACCACCGCCATAAAAGTGTCATAAGTGCCTCTCATATGAAAGGGTCATAGCCGCCTTTCTTACTAAAAGGTCAATAAGCGATCCATTACCGTCCTTCACACTCACACCACAGCCTCTCGAACATATACGTCCATCGTCTCGCCATTATGTTTGGGTCTCTTGATCGCTAATATTTGATGTTATGTTGGCATGGTATATTTTGAATAAAATCACAAGTCTTAATACCTTCATTATAATAAAGACCTTCGGGACAAAATGTTTCCGATTTTAAACTGATGGATCTCTTAAGAACAGTATCGTAATACATGTATCCAAAACATATGTAGTATTTATTTGGTGGACATCCAGATTTATAGTCCGCGAAAATACCAAAATTTAACGTTTGTGGACATTGTGGATTGTCAGCACCACAGGATATTCTGCCTATAACGTCACAAGCACCTGTTCCATCGTTAAAGTACATTCCAGCAGGACAACCCATTTTAGTTGATATTCCGTTTTGACAATGGATATACTCCTTAGTAGGACAACCAGACGTAAAGTTTGGATAAAATGCTTCTTTTACACGTCCAGGACAAACAAATACATCGTCTTTTTCTTTTTTCCTGATCAACTCTGTGATAAAAATATTCATTTGAATTAGAAATATGAAGATGCATCAAATAACATAATTTCAGTTTAATTTAATATTTTCCTTTACGGTGGGAAGAGTCTAACAGAAGCTGATGTTAACATGCACCGTCATTGCTTTCTGATTAAATCTATTATTCATACCATAGGGCCAGTTGAAGTCCATGGGCGTCAGTCTGTAAAGGGGACCCCAACCTCAAAAAAATATTAACAGGCATTAAATTGACTTACAGAGGGGTCTCAGAATCCAGGAGAGCATTTGTTTTCCCGTGGGTAGGGATGACGTACCAATTCCACTCACCGTTCTTTTTACATTGTATATAAGATTGCCATGTACACTTTCTGTATCGTGGATCGTACCCAGTTCCTTCTATACACCAACCCTTTCTGATGGTAATAGTAAAATAGCATATAATATAACTATTACAATTTTCTCCGGGTAGAATAGATAATCCAACGTGACCAAAACATCTCCCATTGAAGCCGGATACCTGTGTCATTATCAACAAAATTAATGTTACTGAAATATGAAAAGCAGGATAGAATCAGCTACATTTTATTTTCATCATTTGGTATTGAGATTGCCCTGCCTTTTTTCCTTAGAAAAAACTAGATCAGATTATGATACTTTTTTCAATTGAGAGCTTATCTCTCAACCAATTAGATTCATGAAAACAACCTATCATGATGGGCTTAACCTTTGTATACCCAAATAATCTGAGCAAAGGTCAAGAATCGAAGACTTTTTCACAGTTTTAATCTATAATCCTGAAGCAAGCGATGACTTAAAAATATATTTGCTCAGAAAAAAAAAATGTCGTTGATCTTAAGGGTTAGAGGGATGATTAATTCTGAACATCGGAGCTGATGATGTCGTAAACAAATGTTCAGGCCGAAATCTTTACTGTTACATTACTAAAAGAGGACTGTAAATAACATATAATACAGTACATGCACAAAATCAAAACTCACCAAAGGTTACAATTCTGATTTTATCTTCTGTTGTCTGAACAGCTGGTAGGAACATCGTCTAATTCTTAGTTAATTTGTTGAAGCAAATAAGTCATTCTATAAATTCTTTTGCATTAGCACAATCAGTTGCAGGATACAGTAAATGAAATCCCCATTTTACTTCATTTTATTACGCTGTAGAAGGTAATAATCAAACCGACTATCAATAAATGAATAGGGTAGCCTACAGATCACAAAGAAACTTAAAGTGATATATTCTTTATTTGACTTGGCATTTAGTAAAAGTGTGATAGGTAAAGATAATAAGTTGAAGTAATTATAGTCGCCGTGCGAAAATGTTGATATTTGACTTAACAATATACTTTAGAATTTCACTTTGTTTTCTCCGATTTACAATGGTATCAAGTTACCAACCAAGACCAGTTGACAAATTGAACAAAATTAGTATTAGAGGATATTATAAAAATATGTATTGTTAGAATATCAATAGGCTCAGATCGCTCTTTCGACTGGCAGAACTGAGAGCAGCAACAAATGTCAGCATCATTAAAGAGATTGTAGAGAGGTTTTCTACAATTTGTATGTGTATTGCAGGAACCACAGACGTCTGATTGAAATTGGTGCTATGTCAGGGTACCTTAAACACGTAAGAAATTTAGAAAACGCTTTTACAATCCCTTAAAGACTATGCTCAATCGCTGGATTTAGATAATATGAAGTCTTTGTCAAGCTGCTCGGATGAAAAATGGGTTATTATCTTCATTTTAAAATACAAATTTATCAAATAATTTATTACAATAGTATTATAAATTAATATACATCTTATAACATTATACAGCACGATTATTGTCTTTACACGTGGTTATTATATATTACTACTGTCTATAAAAATGGTCACACCAGACCGTGACTTTACACTGATACCAAACTGACTAAGATTACATCAAATCTCGCTCTGCATAGTGCCTCCAAGTACTCTATATGAAACTCTCTGTTAAATAACCAACAGCAGAGGTTTGCTCAAGGACTGATGTGGGCTTCACCAGCATTCACTGAGGTTAATCATATATGCCCAGATCTCTATGATCACATTAGCCTTAAGTAATGGAGGCAAAACACCTCACTTTTGAATCGACAACTAAAGTCGTCATTTTTCAATTACGTATTATAAACCTGACAATACCCGCCTTTACCTACAAAAAGGGGGGCGTAAAACTCTATTCATTTCAAATCCTCTTGTCACATTTGAACTAGGATTGTGCAACGACCTTACATGACGGTTCACCATGAATCTATTGACATAAACTACCAGTTCCACTATTTACAAATACAATCTATTACAGAATATACAAAGTATTTAAAGCTTGAATAGTATATTATTTTACATCTACAATGTAGTTGCTATTTGTCATTATTGCAAATTAATCTCACCCAATAAGAATCTAGAAATGGAATATGTTTGGTAGCCATTGCGCCAGTGGGGACCGTGGGGTGGGCATTGAACACCACACCACACCACACATCTTATTGAAAAAATATCATAGTGCGAATCCAATAGTGAATTAGGATGAGCACACGTTTCGAGAGCATATTTTGGGATTGGTTGAGGGAGGGGCAGTAAAACCTGAGAGCCCAAAGCTTATCAGATCGCCCCTGTGTTTTGATTCTGCAGGACATTATTCGTTATAAATTTAAGATAAAGTGACTCTTTTTTCTAATGAAAATCCAGAGATTTCTTGGAGGCATGTAAGTGGTGCGCATTATGAATGCTTGCGCACTATACTCGCAAATATACAGTAATAAAAGTCTTGTCATATAATTTCAATCCAACCTGATACAGCTATTATTATTGATATATTCCGTGTATGCATGTGTAACAACTTCATTTCAAATGCTTTAAAACGACATTTCACAGCACAATACACAGTACTGGTATGCAATCCAAATGAAATAGTCTACACCCTATGCTTTTTCTTTCATGAAAAGTCATAAATCTTTATATATGTGACATGCTGACCGTAACTGTGATATAAAATATTTCAGTTTACAGAATACATCTATCTTGGTAAAGTTTTAGGTCATTTTTACACCCAGACATTTTCAAAAATTAACACCATACTAGCCAATTTTTGTGAAATTCACATTGAAATATATTTGAGCATTTATCAGACAGAACATGCAAATACAGCTAAACCGACATTCCGTCAGTCTTAGTCTTGATCTTCAAGTATAGTAATGCATGCCTGGTGTTGATCATCCTGTAGTCCAAGTCTATCATCACAATGCTAAAGTATCTTTTATAAATTTCCTCATCGATATTCCTACTGAGGTTGATGTAGGTTCTGTAGTACTGTGAGATATCTGAAAAATTCAAAATAATTCCAATCTATCAAATAAATATTGTCATCTTTCATTGTACAGTACTGTAGACTGTAATACAACTTTTTACTCCATATAAAAAAGGCTGTACATTATGAGAGCTTTATCAAATATTAGATATAATAAAGTCTGTACATTAATATAACTTACTCTATATAAATAAGGCTGTACATCATGGAAGCTTGTATCAAATATTAGATATAATAAAGACTGTACAATAATATAACTTACTCTATATAAATAAGGCTGTACATCATGGAAGCTTGTATTAAATATTAGACATTAAAAGACCGTACAATAATATAACTTACTCTATATAAATAAGGCTGTACATCATGGAAGCTTGTATCAAATATTAAATCTAACTCAGATTGATTGGGTGTTTTAGGAACATATTCATGTCGGTTCATCACTTCAGATACAAATAATATTTTTTCTGATAAAATTTCACCAATTTTCTCCCTACAAACTTGTCTCTCTGAAAATAATTTTAAAAACAATCAGTTTGCACAAGAAAATGTTACAATTTTTGTTAAATTAGTCAATGGTATTTTATAACTTTTATGCTTCATGAATATTTCTATTTTAGGGCTATGTGTTAGGGATTGAGGTTTTCTCCTTGTGATTCAACAGAATAGTCATCAATATCAAAACATAGAAATAGAGATTTCAAGTAAATGGATTTAAGAAATCAGACAAATTACTTAAATAAAATAAAATACCCTACCATGTTCATTGGCAAGATTTAAAACATCTAATTTAACAGTCCAAACTTCCCATGGTATACATTCTGCTTGGAATGGCCAACGAGCTCGCTTCTTTTGAAAAAACTCTAATGATATCTGAAAATGGAAAAATTGTATTACAGCATTTATAATAAATGTACGAATAAAATACACATAAAAGGCATGAAATATATTCTGGTAATTTACAACTGTTGCATGTTCTGGGAATTCTATTGTAAATTAATACTTCCAAAGGAAACAGAAGTCTAACTTGCTAAAGCTCTGCTACATTCCATTTATCTTTTTCCCTTTAGAGAACAAAATCCAATGTTAGGATGTCATATGTGTACTTGTTTAAATATTATACAAACGATAAACAAATGTGAATTTGTCAGTATCTCCTAGCAATAAAGGCAAGATCAACAGACAACCATACAGAAACTTTGTTAAATTATTTATATAGATATATAACTTGACATTTATCATTCAACATTTTCAAGTGAAGGGTAAATAACAATCATTAAATGACTGACCTGTCCTGAGCGTACACCATCGCTACTGCGTAACGAATCTCTAAATAAAGCTGTTACACGTTTGATGGCTTGATCTAACTCTTCAGACCCAACTCTTACCTACAAAATAAATTAACTAAAAGGTTACATTTCTCTCTGGGAAAGTTTACAATCATACAGTTACAATAAGGAATATTTTGAGACATGATGAGATTTGGGAAATTTCAAGGATGGCATAAAATTGTGTTGATGCTAGTAATTTTTCTTTTCACCTATAAGGCTACATAGCTTTTTTTCAATCCCTTTATGTTCCTAGAAAGCATGGGGAAAAAACTTACATAGGTGAGATCAATAAAATCACAGTCTTCATCTACTATTCCAATAGTTCCTATAGAATAACTACCTTCTTCTTTATACTGAAACTATAAAATCATTTTAAGTCATGAAAAAATCAACAAATATAACGACTGAGGTTCCTTAAAATCTTTTCTACCAGCTGTTGATTGAGAAAACTCTTTGTCTTTCCTAGATTATCTGTCCACATTTACAGACAAGTTGACAGGAATGATGGAAGATTGATAGCACTCAAAAATCTCATGTATAAATCACTATATCTCATATAAAGTTTAAAATAAACATAATATCATCTAACTGTGGGGAAAAGAAAGGGTGTGCACTATATTTTCAATTATATGGTATATGGAAACAATCTCCATTTAGTGATATTGCTAAACCTGGTAGACTCAACTCTTATTGAAAGAAACAATAGATAAGGATCTAGGCAATAGACAACATGGGACTATATGAAATCTTACCTTTCCTAATGTCCTATGTAATAATAATGTATGGAATATACCTGAAAATTTATAAATAGGTAAATCTAACAGAGATATATATTATATATAGAGTATAATTATCAAGCAATTATTGGATTTCATGTATTAGGCCTACTGATACTTTGATGATCTTTAGCCTTGCAGCAAATAAATATTATAAAAGCAATATTAAACTATGTCAGATGCTCACAGAATAAGAATTATTCAACTTACTTTGAACAACTTCTTCTATTTGTCGACCCTCCACAGACTACAATAAATATTTACATTATATGACAACTGTGACTTTCATATTCTTTCCTTATTATTTGATATAACTATGCCTGTCTTGATTTTCTTCTAACAAAATTTCACTTATGTTTTGCAATTCAAATCTTATGGACTTTAAATAACGTTTCCAGTTTTCGTTTCGATTGCAAAATTCAAATTTACATGCTTTATGGAAGCAAAATCAATCCCTTGTGCTGGAATATTAATAAGATACTTACCAACTCAAAAATTTGTGACCTGGCATTCATGTTTTATATTTTAATTAGGTATTGGATACAGTGGTCCAATCAATCATTTTTAATATACCCCAGTCTTTCACTTCTGCAAACGTAAAAGTAAGCTATGTTTAGCTAATATGTTATTTATTTTCAACAAATCTAACTGTCTACCTTTCTTCTCCAAAACATGTGCCAGAATACACAAAAATAATTAATTTTTTCTAAAATTTCCTTAAGTGAAGCTCTCTCAGACGCTCTATGAGAGGCTTGTGAATATGACACTACCGCAGAGTAGCCAAAATTTGAATTCAGCCTCAGCAGTTGTCCCTACATTGAATCAGTCTGCCCCCTATCTTTACCCACAGTCTCAGAAGGCTTCCAAGTCTGCAAACTACTGACATTACTAAGTTTACCCCCTTTTCTTGTCTAAAACGTTTTATCCTCATATTTAACCTTTTTTGTTCCAGAAAGTTGTTTCTAAAACGTGCAGAAAAACTACGAGGCGAAAATGCCATTTTAAGACTTTGCCATTATCGGTATCTATCTACAGTGCTGATAACTACTAGGCATATATGAAATGCTATTTTAAGACTTTATTGTCATTGCATGAATTATTGATATTATTCATATTCATGTAAGAAGAGCCTCACTTGACTAGAGGAAGATAATTCTTTCTCTGTGTCTATTTACACATCAATCAAAATTTTTACACATATAACAACACTAGCTAACGACAAGAGGCAAGAATTTAGTCAACTTACAACATAAATATCTGAACTTGGACTTAAAGTTTCATAATAAATTAACTATTTGTGTCAGCTGAGTGCGAAGTTTTGTTTTTATTTACTCATTTCATTTCCGTTTCCGCTTCTACAATAAGTCAATTCGACCTATTTCACTTAGATTTTTTAAGATGTTTCGACCTAAAGTAGTCAATGCGGTAAAATTTACGATTGTGTACAAACCTTTTTATCTGGATGTATGGTAATATAATCTTTTCTGGAAATGAATAAATTTATAATATTATATTTTTGACGTACATACAACAACACGAAAATGCGTTCTTCATGTTCGAGGACTAGTTGTAGCCCGAATCCAATTACGACATTAACCGGAAATGAATACGACCATTTTCGGCAATTAAAGATGTAAACAAAAATAAACTACACGTGCGTTTTAACAATCAAGTGAAATTAGCCTAATTCCTTATAACTGGCTCAAGTCCATTTACCTGTTAGGCCTAGCATTAAAGATGTTGAGGCGAGCAATAAAGAAAACAAATGATATCCCTGTCAAGGACATCGATAAGAGACAAAAGTCTAAAACATCCAAACGGCAGCAGCAACAACATGGTCATGCTTTAGGAGCTGAGACCAAGGTCGACAAATCTGCCTCCGAGAAGGCTTTAGAATCATTAGTTCTAGGTGGAGAAAATGACATTGTGTCGAATTTTGGTGCAACAGTTAAGACAGTACAGGTTTGTGTATAACAAAAAAGTGGTTGCAATCAATTATCTACTCACTACTGTCTATTATATCATGTGACAAGTATCTCAAAAACAAAATTATAAATAAGATACAACAATTTTGATTAGTTGATATTACCAGTATTAGATTAGAAATAAGAAAGGAATTATATAACACATTATATGCAACACTTAACTTCAGTGATATCTTGAAAACTTACTGCAATAGTCCACACTAAGCTAGGTATAGCTTAAGCTATGGTGTGTCTTGGAAACCTTGAATTACGTGAGCAAAGTTTTATGATTTTCTTATTTTTTAGAAAAAGAAAAATAGAAAAAGAAAGTTTATTGGAACTACATTATTTGAAGGTGAAGAAAGGCAGCCAGTTTGGCAAGATGACAATGACAAAGAAAGGTAAATCATTATCAAGGTCTCTACACGATTAGATCTTGTGATTTCTCAAATACCTGATCCTACTACTAACTACTACCAACAACCTAGTCTGCGATATCAGTTTACTGGAATGGATCTTGAGCATATCATGTATCACTAATCAGAACTACTATTTTTTCAGTGTGGAAATAACCAATGCCCCGAGACATAAAGGTATTAAACAAGGCAATGAGGGTAAGGTTGACGGTGAAACCTATACACAGAGATTAAAACAAAGGTTTGTATTAAACTGAAATAAGATAATATTATTGACTTATATGACTAATATCTTGATATTGAGATCGGTAATTTGATGCCTCAATCTTCAGAGTTCTAACCCACATTATCATCACTACATATTCAAAGATCAATATTTTTTAGACGGCCATTTTTCTGCAGATCAGTTTCAGTGGATCCCAGAATAAGAACATATTTCAGGTTATTTATGTTCATCAACTATCATTATGCTCTTGTATTTTAGATATGAACAAGTAAATTCTACACCAAACTGGGCCAAACTTGATCGTGAACTTGAACATTCTGATGGTAAGTACGCTATGTTATTTTTGTTATGAGCTGCCCACGAACTGCACACTCTTGATGAAAGTCAACATACAACATAACTTACATTGTTCATAAAATTAAAACAATCAGAAGCAATGAGCACATAGCACATGTAATTATTCATATATATCGTCTGGTGTTTGTGACATCTAAGACAAACATAGCAAATTTATATTGGAATAGAATAAAGAATATCTTTATTTTATTATATTGTAGAAGACAGTGATATTGATGATTTACTTCATTCAACGGGAGATTTCCTGGCCAGTTCAACATCACTACCAGCAGGATTAATACAAATTAAGAAATGTACTGATCTAAACAAAGATTCGCCATCACAGGTTTGTATTTTGATGTTTTGATATTTTCCTGTTGGTGCTATACAAATGACAGATTTCATCTGATATTTTGAAAGATAATGAGAATATTGTGAAGAAATAGATGCAATGAGCCTCATGAAAAATGAACTGTAAACATTTCAAATTATATTTTGTTGAATTCAGTTTTAATTTTTTAGTGTTGTTGTGTGATATAAATTGTCAATTGAATATAGTAGTATATTATTCATACTAAATTTTGTATTGTAGGCTAGGTTAACTGCATTAGAGTTTCATCCTACTGCTCAAGTTGCTCTGACTGCAGCTAAAAATCAACCCTTTACACTGTTTCAAGTAAGTTAACAAATATAATGATATTTAATAATTACAGGCACGTTAAAGTTATGCATTATTGGAATCAGGTTTTATCTTAAAGGGATAGGTGCCATTTTTTTTTAACCAATCATACTTTAGTCTCAGAAACAGGAATAGCCAATCAGTAATAGTGTTCATAGCTCACTGTCGAACTTCAAATCTGAACCATTCATGATTACAAAACTGGGTGTCTTCTTTCTGCATGTTTGCAAGCATCATTAAATTACTAGTTCACTCCATTTCTTATTAATTAGATTGATAGTAAAAACAACCCAAAGATACAGAGTGTCTTTATAGAAAGATTTCCCATATTAAACGCCCATTTTAGTAGTAATGGTGAAGAGGTGATAGCTGGTTCTCACTATACATCATTTAGATATTATGATATGTTATCAGGAACATTAATCACTGTTCCTAAAATAAAAGGTGAGCAGTCTATTATTTGAGAGAAGGTGGAATGGGCTAAGAGCTTATACCCTGATGACTGTTGTAAGCACTGAATGTGACATGAGAAATTGAAAGTGGTTCAAATCTTTCAGAAAATCACAAAAGACAAACAAAAACCCATATATATGTTTTTTTTTCATTGAAGGCTGTGACAGCGTCAGAGAATCCTAGAAAATCTTTACAGGAGTGCATGTAGTAGTTCGGATTCGAAATAAATCTGTTGTGACACCAGGGGTGGAACTTCATGATAAAACTCCTACATGTTATTAGTTTATCTTATCTTTTTATTCTACAGGAGTTAATGATGATCACATGAGTCATTTTAGAGTTTCCCCTGATGGCAGATTCCTAGCTTTTCTGGGTCGTTATGGAAACATCCATTTATTGTCTGCCAAATCTAAAGAGTTAGTCAGTAGTTTGAAAATGAATGGTAGTTGTGAAGATTTGGTTTTTACAAAAGATGGCTCACAGATGTATTCTTTTGGAGGTAAATATTTTTGTTAGAATAGTAAATAAAGACCTTATTCGTCTGACAAATAATCAAGAGCACATCAGAGAACAAAACATGAATATGGGCAGTCCACTTTACATTGATAGATGTTGATAGTCAATGTGGCAGTCTTGTGACCTTAACTAAGTCATCCTTCCTTATTATCTCAATTGACCCAGCTAAAACTGAGTACACATTTAACAACATGAGCTTTGGCCAAGGACTAGCTGATAGAAAGAATCTTTGACAGTCTAATTAGTGAGAGACCACCTTTAGCTTTTTACACTTAGGCATACACAATCTTCATCAGAAAAGCTAGTTTTCCAATATCATACTTTAGACATGGGCAAGTTGTTAACCTTGTAATATAATCTTATCTTTGAACTCCTTTCAATACTATGTTTAATGTAGATGATGGTCAAGTATATATCTGGGATATGAATACTAGAGAATGTATACATAGATTTTATGATGATGGGTGTGTTAAAGGAACATCAATAACAGTTTCGCCCAATAACCAGTACCTAGTTTGTGGGTAAGTTCAGTATATAAACACGGTATATGGTTACAGAATTTTCCAAATTCACTCAATGGATGAGTACATACAGTATACTAGAAAAACCAAAACAGACTATAAATTTAACTGTTCCAAGTGCCCTGCATGATAAACACGCCCTAAATTATTTATCTAATATTAATATATATTTAACTGTTATTTCATAAGATAATGATTGCATTGCAAAAGCTATATTGATTTTGAAGACTTTCGAGTGGCATCATACCTTTAACTAAAATTGCAGTTAAATTACCGCAAGGATTGGATTGTAGGGAACTTAAAAGGTGAAGGTTTTAAATATAAAAACCTTTAAGTAGAAGTCTATTATTTTTTGAAAACAATGGAAACTTGATTACCAATTTGATCCTTTATAACAGGTTAAAACCCTGGCCAAGGGATAAAAAGTGTTCACTCTATTGTCAGTCTTTTATTTTAAAACTATATATCAAGAGAGAGGTTGTCACCCCAACTTGTATGAGAGCATGTTCCGTAAGCAAAGGTAGATTGTCTAATCTACAAGCTATGGTTACTTAAGGAATATGGTATGTGAGTAGAATTCAGGGGTTGTAGTCAGGTTAACAACAACAGTGTAAAGTCTCATTCAGTCAGCAGATGTCCCAGGGTTCAGTTCTTTTTGCCATGAAAGCAGGAGAAAACTTTTGTTGGAGGTGTAACAGTCAGGAGTGAAAAAAGAGGCAAGTATAGTATATGGTTGAATTTTAATATGCAGCTTTTGTGTATAACATTTGTTATAAAATTAATTTAACTGAGAAATTATCTCTGTGTCTTTTCTTTTCTTGGATTGAAAGTTTAATTAGAAAGCCATATTTCCATTGATTGTAATTAAGATATAATTATTTTTTTTTTTTCATTTTTCCCATTATTCCTCCATATTTTCATAATGATACTTGATTTAGTCTTGTCACCATGGTGATGTGATATATTATCACTATTATCATTATCATTGAAACATTTGTAGTGCAAAATTTAAAAACTATTAAATAGTATTTTTTCAATATTTGATTGATATTATCAAAAAATATAACTTTGTTTCCTAAATTTTAAAACAAAAACATTGTTTTCTAAATATACAATGGATGATTCTAAAATATCTTTTTACACAGCTTTTATTTTCATTTTGATATTCTTGGAAATCATTGATCTTAAAAAACATGTTCTGTAAAGTAATTTGATTATGTCAGCTGTAAGGTTCCATCTTTTTTTCCAATTACAAAGTATACTTTCTTTTATTGCAGGTTGGAATATGATCTCCTTCATTTAAGAACAAGTCACATGGATCATTGTTTGATGCTGATGTTGGACTCTATAATAAATACATTTTCATATACATGTACTATCTTTGATCGAAAGACTCATATGATAATATTCACTATGACAGTAATAAAGTATTTTTCTTGGTCTTGTTTATTCCCTTAGAAGGTTTTGATTTTGCAAATGGTTGCTTCTTACATTAAGGGTTTGCACCCCTTTGCCTACTTGTCATCTGTAAGAATTATGAGAAAAATATTGCATATCCTAATATGACAGTGCATTGACATCATTTGTCATAGGGTAGCCTACAAGGGTCTTTCTAGTTTAGAGCATATGGAAATAAGGACATTTTTTAAACTACTAAACTACTGGTGCTTTGGAGCAAAGTAACTTACATCTACCAAGCTCTTGATGCACTGTGTGATTGGCTTTTTTAGTTCTGCCCCCCTTGTATAACTCACAGTAGCTAATATTGTCGGGAAAATATGTCAATATGGATTTGTGAACAGGGGTAATAAGCCTCCGGAAAAAGTATTTTATGTGTGACAAAAATTGGTGAACTTAGCTTTCCATGAAACTTGGTATACATGTTGATGATAATATTCTAAAACTTTTGATGATTGATATTTTTGTGACCCTTAAATTTAATACTATGAATGACAATACAATTTCTGTTTGCTGTGGGTGTATATTACTTTATCTGGCAAACTATTAATAAGTCTCATGGTGCTATCAGAATATTTTTCATGATTTTTTCATTTTGCCTGTGAAGTTATTACTCTGACAATATAATTTCTGAACTGCTGTGGGTGTATGTTACTTTGCCTTGTAGGCTGTTGACAGAAGCAGCCCCAGCCTTCCAAACTGAGGGTACATGTAGGGACAGACTGTTTTAAATGCAATAGCAATGTAAGAAGCTCCATGGATGCAAATGTTGAAAAATAGAATTCTGACATAAAATGATACACAAATACAACAGTCATGTACACCCAACTGGCCCTGTCACAAGCTGTTGGTACAATAAATAAGTAATGTTTTATATTTGGTTTACAGATCCTATAGTGGTGTAGTTAATGTTTATGATAGAGAGAAATGTCACCAGTCACTTGATCCTAAACCATTAAAATCTATCATGAATTTAGTCACACCATGTACTAAAGCTGTATTTAACTCTACATCAGAAATATTGGCTATAGATTCACATTTTACAGAGAAGGCTATCAAACTAGTAAGTTTCGCCTTGCATATACATTATAGGTACAGATTAACATGATTGGTTTTTATTGTTTGGTTAAACACATATTTCAAATCCATCTCCTCATAGAATTGAAATCCAATGCCATTGTTTTGTATTGAACAAGTCTGGGTCAATAGATGAAATAACATAATGTAAAATGATGACTATACTAGTGCCGAAAGACATCAGAATGTTATTGACTGACTGCATGACTTGTCTTTTCCTAATTGGCGAACAATATTTTAAATAATTATCAACTAAACTTAGATTTATTTTTAAAAATATTTCAGTGAAAACATGACCAATTAACCTCCTGAGCTAATTATAATTAGTAATGTTTATTATATATTTTTCACAGGTACATTTCCCCTCGATGCAAGTGTTCAGTAACTATCCAGATTTAATAGATAAAAGTTTACGTGTACCACAAGATATGTTTTTCTCATTAAATAGTGGTTATTTTACTGTGGCAACTCATACTGGAACAGCTTTATTATATAGGTAAATATCTCCTGGTAGAAGTAATTTTATAAGATTTCTCTGGTAGTATCTTCATATAGAACCTGAAACACTTTGCATAACATTGTCTTCATGCGTTATACTCAAACCCTTTTCCCGTGCACGTTCTATTTGCTTATATTTCATATGGCGCAAGTATAAATGTTTCACAGTTTATTGACTGAAATGTTGATGTTTTTTCTATTTTCAGGTTAAAGCACTATGGAAATTATTGAAAAGTTATAAAAAAATATGTAAATATAAAAAAAATAAATGAAATTTCAATTCCATACAGTGAATATAGTGCACATATAATACGTATCCCCTCAAATCTGTCACCATACATATGACGCAACTCGTCGAGATGAAAATCAACAAGTTGACATAACAATGCAGACATAATAATATTGAGTGGTAGTAATTTTATTCAAAGCATCACCCTGGTCACAGCTCCTGTAACTTTCCTTAGACATATCAACAGTCCTGTTATGCACAGTATATCATACTATACAAATACAAGATTATACAGAAATAAATAAGTTTATTGTGAGACATGTTATAGGACGGAAATAATTTACAATAATATATACAAATCTCTGTGGTACTTTATGTAAATAAAAAAAGATAAATTTGATCTTATGTATAAATGATTGAAATTTGAGTTAATTTTATCGTTTTCTTCCTTCTTTTTTCTGTTGAACAACTAGACCATCTAATTCTTTCTTATAACCAGTTTCAGCTAGCCATGTCTACAATAATTCAAAATCAAGAATTTGGAAAGTGTCCCATACATGTAATAAATATATTAATGTTATTTGCTATGTGAATTGTTATGTACTTCTATGAATCGTAAGGGAGAAGAGCATAGTTGGGGCCTCAGAATTGTCAAGAAGATTCAAAGCACAAAAAATTTAATTTCAATAATGAGAAATTTGATTTTGAACTGTAAATAATCAGTCAGCATTTAATTATGTAGCTATGGCACAGGCCTGTGGATATTAATAGCATCTTTTGCGATATTGAATTGGTTAAGCAAGTACAGACATTACAGAAAATGGAGATAATAGAATAGATGCCATAAATGGCCCAGAAACAAATGAAAAACATAAAAAAGATAGAATAAAAAGAACGATGAAATGAATTATAATTGAAATTTGGCCTGTAAAATGTTCTTCTACAGTGTCGTTAACTAACCTGAAATCTGGATTCAACTAAAACTTGAAATTCTTTACGTTGTGGTCGACTTAAATGAGCTTCTTTCACTATTTTCTGCCAGTTATCTACTTGTTTTTGACGCTGACTTAAATATCTTAGATATTGTTTGGGTAATCCTGGTATAGACTGAAATAAAATGACCATTCTTATGAAGCAGCAACTTGACTGAAAAGTTGATGTGTCTTTATGTTATTTTCCAAATGCAACTTTTGAATGTTAATAAGGATATGAATTTGATATTGATTGCTATACATTAATTTAAATAGATTAATCAGACAAAACTGCAGATCAAGATGTTACTATTTGCGCTTTATCTGCAGAGAACTCGTGTGCCATCCAGGACAATATTGTGCATCACACTCAAGGTCATATACCTATTCTAACAATCACATCCTCTGTTCAATAAATGATTTGTCCTTCATGCTGGGATAGCAAGTATAATTTCCCACAGAAAAAGACATTAAGAAGAAATAATGAATTCTTACGTGTGTTGGTCCCTCCATTTCAAATGGAATCCTAAACTGATGAAAAACTTCACTTGGTAAAAAATCCCACTGAGATTGTCCTTTATGATCTGGGCCTAGAAAAAACAAAAAATATTGTTGATTACCTTCAAATAAATGCTTTGACATGTCAGAAGGTCAACTTTATGCCCAATAGATCCTTGCAAAAAAAAGACTTGAGCTGGTCCGTCGATCATGTCTGGATAATATATCTGAATCAACAGAGCCGTGGAATATGTCATCTAATGTATAGGATTGATAATATCCAACTTACCCACACAGAGTGGTTGATCCCAGAGATTTAAATCTGACCCCAGTCCAACTCGTGTCATATGTTCCTCTAATTGGGGGTAATATGTATGATATGGTGCTATTAATATAGAATCATTACCACTCAGTAACGTTGGTCTGTTTGGTGTTAGTAGATGTAATGTACATGATGTACAACCACTAGAAAATTATAAATTGGGATTAAACTTGATAATTACTTGAACTGAACAAAGAAAATGTATAACTTTGAACAAAACTGATATGAAAACATACATACTTCACACAAAACATAAACTTTCAATTAATTTTAGTTGGTGCTGTCATAGAAATAAAACATGTTTCATTTTTATGCTTGATAAAAGTTACTGCAGGTGAATTGAAACGTTGCTATAATTTAAGGAATAAGAAGCCTATAGTTAATAATGTTCTTATTTATCTAATATAAGGTAGAGATTCTACTAGGTACTAAAAAGAATAAAATTTTAACAATTTTTATGCTTGTTCTGGTACTATCTTACCTGACTATAATATTACGACAAGGTACTATCACTGTAATATTTTCACAGTTACTAAGATGTACTGTTAATTCTACAGGTCCTAGTATTACAGTGGAATTTCTACATTTCTCTATCGTCACTGATCTGAAATATTTCAAATAATTCACCATGATGAGATCATTACATGTCTGATAAAATGATAATTTCGAAAATTTTGGAAATAGATTTTATAAACATGATGATATTTTGTTAAATGAAAACTTATGCCAAAGCCAGTGGAGGTAAATATTGATCTATAACATCTTAAATGACAGTGAAATATGAAGGACAAGATTTTTTAAAGGAATGTTTCATAGAAATCATGTACCCATTTATTGCTATGTTATCTGGAATAATGAAGTATGTTTAAACATGGAGATATATGGCTATCAATGTTGTTTAATGACAAAGTTTTTTTTTATGAACTTACCTCAATGGTGACAATAAATATAGATATGAATAATGACTTCTATGTATTTTAACACAACTTAATTCTAATGTTCCAGAACTCTGAAATTGTTAAAATATTTACCATTGGACACCGGAAATTCAACACAAAAACAAGTGGAAAAACCATACATTAAATTTGGATAATATAGTTCCAATTATTGTTTATTCTACCGGTACTTCAAGTTCATAAGTTCATCTTTGAATACTTATTACCAATATAAAATATTAACAAATCTATATACTAAATATTGTGAGAGCTATCTGGTATAGTTTAATATTTACCCTAGCAACAGTCTGTTTACTAACTTGTGACATGATTATCAATTTATTCCTGAAAAAAAAAACATGTTTAATGTGTACATAAGATCAAATATATCTATATATATATATCATTTCTTCAAGGCAAGTAGTCTGATAAAATATTTTCCTTTGAGCTCCACTTCATAAACAAAAATTTCAAATAACTACCATTTTTATTCCATTAAAAGATGGCATCTCCCACTAGTATACAAATGAATAACATCAAAGAATAAACCGGGTCATATATTATTTCTACAAAGACAGAAATGAAAGATTCAACTCATCCCCATTTCAAATCTAATCTAAGAATTCAGAATCTTAAGAGTATAAATATTGTGTTAACTGTACCTACCCTATGACATGATGTCTCGGTACAATATTAGCATTAGTAGCTATTTTACCTCTTTTATTACTCTCTCCTTTACCTTCATCACCTGTAATACATAATAATATCATACATGAAAGCATCAATATTGATACATTAGCAAAGGTCTGAATAGATTATTAGTAGCATTCATAATAGCCTAGAAAACCTCTTTACAACCCCTTATCAACCTCACAGACTTGCTAGCTAGCTACGGAAGTATTCAAGCTATTTTCAAGATACTAATTGGTTTTCCAAAATATAAACTTTACCTGCAAGAGGCCATGATAGTCTGGTTCCATTAGCTATACAAGCAGACACACTAAAAGGATTGTGGGCAAGATTATCTTTAATCCACTGTTGAAATTGATGAAGGTTGAAATGTTGACTGAACTGAAAATGAAACAACAATATGTATGAAAATAAATTTTAATTTTACGATATACAATTTGAAAGGCATGACTCTGTTTGAGTAAGTCAGGAGTATATTCATCTATCAGAAGTCAGAACAGTGTCAAAAAGACATGCCTTTATGGTAGAAGGTTTAGGTTTTTATGATGCTGTCACTAGCGGGTTCTTCTTGGTTATTTCGAGTTAAACCAGTTATATAGCAGAACGTTGATTGTAAGAGATTTTTACCTTATCATAGCCTGTATTATAACTATTAGATAGAGATGTTGATAACTCTATTAAACTTTTTACTGTCCTAAAATATATCACATCATATTCAATATCTTTACATTTTCAGGCCAAAGTTCTACATAAATAAATGTGAAGCTCACTTTAATTTTCTGTAAATATAAAATTCAACTCTGATAATAATGCTGTCAAATTATACTGAACTACTAAATCTCTCCACTCCACATTTCAAATGCACTTTCAAGCAATTTTACTTTTCCATCTTTCTTGCTGTTCTCTTCTAGAAAAAAAGACGCATCCAAAAACGAGATATGATATAAATGCTACAGTGAAAGTGTGACTACATACTTGTTATATTCTGGTGAGCCAGCCACTATAAAGCCTAGAGATTCTACAGCTTCTAAACTTAATGTACGTGATGGTCGGCCATTTTGATTACTTGCGTTATCCTCACCTGAAATAATAACACAATTAATGTTTGGTGTCATATTTGAAACACTCTAGCTACTTCAATTTCCTTCTTTTTATGGATCTTTTATGAGCTCAAATAGTATAAATAAGTGGGTATTTTGTCTCATCCAAATAACAAGCAACTTCTGCAACTCAGGAGATGAACAAAGCAATTTCAGCATAGCAAGAGTACTTTACTTACTAAACATGTTCACTTAATCAATGGCATAGCCAGTGTTTACTGTGTTCTTTGAAAACATGGAAGTTATATACACTTACCAACACTTGAGACCAATTCTAATATCTCTTGTAAATGTGTCTGTACAAAAACATGATGACTGTGATCATCTAAACTCTACAATAAATAATATCATTTTTATAGATACATAAATAAACATCAGCATTCAAAAAGAGATAAGATACGCCAACACTATAACTGTTATCTATTTCATCCTTTTATACCGCCAAGTTGATTGCTGTCGCCCCTGTCCGTCTGCCGTATTCGATAAGTGAGTGTATCTTTGGAAACTGTTTTTAATCAGTGACATTGGACTTTGATATTATACATGCCTCCCACCACTAATATTGTTTCAAAACGTTACAGAACTACTTACTTTTGAGTTTCTTGGTGTACTTCTAGGTGTTCCAGGACCATCAAAATCTAATGAAGATATTGATGACTGACTTGGCCACTTATGCAATAAGTTAAGTAAAATAATCATGATATTTCTCCCTGTCAGAGAATTTAGCAACAGAAATTTGACAAAATTAAAGTCAATCTGCCTAAGCTGATCTGTGTAAGTTTTCTACAAGTTTGCAAATGTCCAAAGATTGTAGCTGATTTCAAGCTATGGCTATGTTGATCTAAAAAATATTTGTGATGTTGATATCTCATGTTTAAATATACAACCCTTTCAAGGATATTCATCACCAGCTACCAATGAAGCTCTTAATGACACTCTATACAACTGTTGAATATATAAATATAATACAAATATATATAAATCTATCTTTAATGTACATCGTAGGTCATCTGAAATAAAAAAAATATAATGGCATTTACCACACTCAAAACTAAAGGGTGCCTTAAAATAATGTCTCACAACATTAAAGTCATACACTCAAAAAGTTAAAATAGATACTAACCTATCTCTCTATCTGATCTACATCTTTTTAATCTTTCATCCCATCTTATTCTTTCAACTGGTGAAAATATTCCCACTAGTACATGACAACTGGAGAAAAACCTGAATGAACAAGATTAGATATAAAATTTTATTTACTTTGAGGTGCAGCAGTTTAAAATCCAAGATAAATTTATAAAACCATTTGTCAGCTTTCATCTTCCGAGTAACATTTAAATTCAATCATGAATGCAAATATTGGGATCTACAAAAAAATCATTTTTGTAAAATTTGGCCTTTTTCAGTGTGTAGAACTTTGAAGACTTAAGAATCCAACTTACATCCATGCAAGTTCTTCTGTAATATGTAATTTGTTACAGGCTATGTGTTTCCATACAGAATAACTAGAAAATAAAATATAGTTACTAATTTACAATACATGAAACTAAACATGTATCAATTTGTATGTATAAAGCGGATATTCATCATAAAAAATACAAATTTTCTGTTCAAGATTATCTACATAGATTTATATGTCATGACATAATATTCACTGCTTCAGCTGACTGGCTTTATATCATTGACAAAAAATATGGTTCTCTTGAATAGGTCTTCATTGCTCACTATTTCAGTGTAAATTATGATGATGGAAACAGTAATGCCAAGCAGCCATGACATGACATGAGATAATGAATTGATCTTAGCAGCACTTAAGACTCAGGACTCAAACCCTGAGAATAGTTATACAAAGGTTAATGTGATATATTGTGATCACTTACCTCAGTAAAGGATATCCTGTTGATCCTTTATTTCTGGCATAAATTACAATCTTCCTGATATTCTACAATAAGCAACATTATCAATGTTTTATGTTTTAAGTTCCTTCAAGTTACAAAGACAATTCATGGTTTAAGGAACAACAATCATTTTCAAGTTGGAATGTCATCTATCTCATCTCATGACACATAAAACAAAAGACATAACTCCCTCCTACGGTAGAGTTCAGTTGTAATTATAGGCTTCTTACCGTAAAGGTGAGTCTAGGATCTGGAGCAACTGGTAGAGCACCATAACTAAAAGGTTCAGCTTTCACCCACACTGATACAGTTTTATAACTCATTATTACACTTCTGTTAGAGAATATCTCTTATAAAACCTTTTACTGCATAAAATATAAAGATATAAATTAAATAGTCAAGATGTATCTTATTCGCTTTCAACAAAATCATAATTATAAAATGGCACAAATACAATGTGAAATGCAATGTCAATCATTGTCAAGCTTTGCGATCAGTTTTACTTGCCAATACCAGAACATCACCCACCAATTGCCAATGATCATTATGCATTATGTTGGTATTGGCTTATCCTGTTTCATTATTGCTATTTTCTTATTATGGCATTATGCAATTAACTAGGTTTCATACCCATCATTCCATTCATAGTTGTATACATGATAATTATAATTAATTGGTCTTTTAAGGCTTCGTGTAATCGTTATGTTGGAAATAGAATTGTCCAATTACACTTACAGATAAATGTTATGATATATTTAACAAAATCTTACATGTCTTTCTAGTTTACTAATATCATTTTACATTTCGTCAACTTCATTATCACTGAACTTGTAGAGACAGGAATTTATTGTTTGAATTATCCGCCCTTTCCTATGGTAGCCACTTCATGTTCGTCGGGTACCTAGTACAGTTTTATCATTAAACTGAATAGAGTGAACTCATCCCACTGGTTTATCTAAGAGTTTTGATTGGTCCACATCATAAAAGAAATAAACATGGCGTCTGTAGAAGGAAATTTCATTTTCTCTCTCCTACTTTTGTCTATCTTGTCCGTGGCTGACTGCGATCTTGTAAAAGGTTCAGTGCAACTAAATTCTGGTGTCTTTGACAAGGTACCTGATCGAAAAATATATTAGTTGCACTATTAATTTCCTTGAAAAGGATTGATTGTTCAACAATCTGATTTATCCTTGAAAAGGGAGATAACTCTTCATTTTTTTTTTTCTCTAATAATGGTTTGAAAAGTCCACTTAGTGCATGACAAATCATTGACCAGTATCAAGCTGGGCTGACCTTCTTTTTCCAACATTTGAGTTTGAGGAAATCAAGCACAGACATTACAGAAGGCCCAAGCCTAGTACTACTTTATATGGATGAACTTTTCCAAAGGTTTGGTTGGTGGATTACTGATTATTGCTAGCTTTTTGCCTATGTCATTATACAGATCTGGTCTTCTTTCAAATTAAGTTACAAAATTAAACACAGGGCTTCTCCATCTAATGAATGACTTCAGACAAATAGTTGTTTTTCTATTTTATAGGTTATATCCAAACATAAAGTAGTACTTGTTAAATTTGATGAGACTTTTCCTTATGGAGAAAAACAAGATGAGTTTAAGAAGGTCGCTGAGGCCAGCACAGGCCAGCCAGATTTATTAGTAGCTGAGGTTCAAATATCAGGTTTGTAGGTCTGCATGCTTACCTGATGATATTCACAGTAACAATTTTTCTCACTGTTCTGTCACACTACCAAGAAGTATTAACCTCTTAACAAGACTCTGGTTAAAGTGGTACCATAATTGAATGTCTTTATAACAACTTTTATTTATTTGTATTATTTAGATTATGGAGATAAAGATAATACTGATTTAGCCGAAAGATTTGGAATTAAGAAAGATAAACATCCAGTATATAAATTATTCCTACAAAATAAAGATGAACCTATAGATTATACTGGTGATAACCTCAACTCTGATGATATCAAAAAATTTGTTATGAAGGAATCAGGTTAGTTATCATACTTATGATCATGTCATAAGACATTATGGGTGGAGTCAATATGCTGAATAATTATTTTGGATGAAAATTTCCTCTTCACAGAAAAATTATAGGTATTCATTTAGATTCTGTGAACTTCAAAATTGACTAGAAATTTTAAAAATGCTCTTTATCCTCTCATGAACTTTACTTAATGATGTACATAACTATATTAAACTTATAATACCACTACCTGTTCTAATTTCTATTCAGTATCAATTTTGATTATTTACAGGCTTATGGTTGGGACTGCCATCATGTTTAGAAAAATTTGATAAATTTGTGACAGATTTTTATAAAGCTGCTGGAAACAAACGAAAAGAAATATTCACAGCTGTACAAGAAGCTGCCGAAACAATAACAGATAAAATTGAGAAAAATTCAGCAGATATTTACATCAAAACTATGAAAAGAGTTTTAGAAAAAGGAGAAGAATTTATAGAGTCTGAAATCATACGAGTGGAAAAATTACGAGATGGAAAAGTGAGTGATAAAAAGAAGGAACAGCTGGGTGAGAGGTTGAATATTTTAACATCATTTCAAATGAGAATGAAGGATGAATTATAAACTGATTATGAATGTTTGTAATGGGTGTTTGATTTTTTATAATTTTTTTAATGATCATTCCAATAATTGTTTAAGTGTTGAATGATTATTCCTTCAATTACTTTTATATCAAGGTTATAAGGTATTTTTATGTTAGTTATTAACTTAATGTGTTAAATCTAGTCAAAACATTCAGATAATCAGTAAAACATTCTGTTTTCTTGCTCATTTGCAAATCTAGTATTTTCATTCCTGAAACTTCAATTGTAAATTCTGCTTTCCTTTTTGGTAAATCAACATTCGATTCGGATTTGTTTATAAAATCAAAGCTCAACCATTCTTACATGTTTGAAATTGAAGATATTTGAATTGAAATATTATATAAATTCGGGATTCTGCCATTTGTTTTGTTGAATTAATGTTCATTTTAGAATTGTTTATGAAATGAAATTCTTAATATGTTTGTGAAATTGAGGGTAAATATGATTTGAAATTCATTTTGGATTTAAATTTCTTTCCAAAAGCTATCTTAAAGATAGTAAGTATGTATGTACTGAAATCTATGTTAAATGATTCAAGAATGATATATGTTAGAAATTAAAAGTTAAATGACTGTGTTTATATTAAATGAGTGTTTTTATGACAGTTATTATGTCAATGTTTGTTTTTGTGGTGTGATGTAGAGGACTTCTGTTTCGTTAATAAATTTCATTGATAAATTTCGAAAATGTTTCTTTCCAATGGACTGAATCATTCTTCTCTAATGATGGATAACATTTTGCAATGAAAGAAATTTTGACTTGTATATTGACTTTTATGCTCTTTATAGGGTTTGGACCTTGCTTGTACAATTTGATTTATGTAGTATTCAAACTCAAAAGGTCACAATATGCTGTTACGAAGTGAAATACAAATTAATGAGAAAGGCTTCCAATTTTCAGACATCTTAGGGCCCTTCTGCCAAAAAGCACTGACTTTTAGTGGAATTGCATGAACCATTGATTTCTGACTGAAAAAATCAAATGGTTATATGGATGATATGAGTGTCCAGATACACATAAACACTCTTACAAACTTCTTTACAATCCCTTTAAGCTGTCTAATGTTCAACTACAGTTTGTTAAAACTACTGAATGAGTTAGAATTCACAAACAGCCTTCTGTCTCCACTGACGTGATTAAATTATTTTGAACAGGATTGGAACAGGTATAATTATTTATTTCCAAATATATATAAACTTAATAATCCCAATTGTTAATAAAAACATTATAAAATATCCACAACATTAACAATAACACAATCATACATAATACAAAACACAGGTGCACCAAAATAACAGAATATAAATAATGCTTTTGCTAACACTGCAGACTTGACCAATTGATTCAAATTGAGTATAACTTTTAAACATTTTAACAGTATAAACTATACATCTTTCCTTTTTTATTTGAAGCTAGGTTTACTGTGAGCTACAAAGAAATAAATTAATACATTTCTTAAATATTTAATCTCTAATTCATTTAGATTTGTCTCACAGATCATTAAATATTTCATATTTTTGAATTATTCAAGTTAATCTTTCAGTAATTGAGAAATTAAATTTATGAAATATCATTGCCATGACATTTGGTCAAAGTCCAGCTGATATAAAATTCCTCAGGTGTTCCTTGATACATAAATAACAAAATTCAATCAATAACAAAAAATAATATAAAACAATCTCATTTCACACAGAGACAATTTACATTAAAGATATTTTTACCACAATATCATTGAATAATGGAGAGATTGAGGTTATTCACTGTTGTAGAGAATCTAACAAATTACAACCATTGAAAATTTTGGAGTCAAATCTGTGATGATCTTTGATATGTTTATGACAACCTGAACAAACATGTGGAAACTAGAATGTATTTTCATTTTAAGATATATATGATCGTTCTCCAATGTATGTGATGATCACTTGTGTCATTTTGATCCAATAAACCCCCTGGACTGTGCCATTAATTGACAGGTACAGGTGAATTGAAGCAATAACAGTATTCAGCACAATAATGTAAACTCAAGGAATGAACATGAATCTTATTGTCATAGGTTATAATTCTGTATTATCTTGAAATTTCAAGACAAAATCAAGACCGTTCACTGTACGAGCCACGAAACTAAGTTTTAGACACATGGTGATCTCTGTTTTGGTTTAAAAGACATCATATGAATTAAACGTATTTCTAACTGTCCTATTAAATAAAGTAAACCATTATATTGTTTAAGCATGGAAAAAGCCCTTACATGTGCACAATATATTGTTGACCAACAATGAAAATATGGACTAGACAATAAATATATAAATATATATATTGAACCATCACTGGCAGAAGCTGTATAATACTGTACAGTATATATACATAGGCATAATATATTCTCAACTGGAAGTTTCTTTTAAAAATCTAAATTGAACCCATATTTTCTATTATTCAATCAAAATCTTATACTACTGAAGTCTTAAACATTCTATGTTTTCAAGACATCTGGACAATTTTTTTACAATAAATCCAATCTGAATTTTCTGATAATATCTGTCGGTTTAATGTACAGTATTGTGATGTATAAACTATATGATGAATTTCTAATAATAATTCTTACAAATCGTGGGTATTTGTACAATAAGTGAAGGCACCTTTGTTCATTGGCTGATTATTTTAAAAGTATCAAACCAGACCTTTTAACCCGAAAATCATGTACTAATTTTCATAGAGAATACATGTACATAAGTAAATAAATAAATACAAGAAATGTAGCAATTTCAATCAGTATGAAGCTCCAATCTGACATGACTGGCAAATACTGATAAATCATTCATTGTATGTAATTCTTCTGTGAGTTGAACTACTTCAAATCCAACCTTGTAATTGTGGTATATTATGATAGAGATCTAAAGATTGAGGGTTAGCCAAGGCACCACGCTGTAGAACAATCTCATCATGTATAACTTGTCTAACAGCTACTTCAACCTTCTTTCCACTAATCGTATACTGAAAATAAACACATATTGCATTTAAATTGCCAGCTTTTTGCTTATTGTTCAAACCTGTTTTACTGGAGCTATGCTGATTGTAGTGAATTTATATCTAACTTGAGTTTCGTTAAGATGACTGTTTCAAAATTTCAACTGAAATATTTTTGAACTAAACCCATATTCTCAATATCAGATTAAGGTTATGAGTCAGCAAGTTTCAGACCATTTTAAAAAAATAAATTGAACAGATTTCATCAGTAACTTAAATTAAGACAAGCAAGTTAGATATACCTCATGAAATAAAGTTAACTTACAGGAATATCATCTATTGGTAGAATAACAGCAGGAACATGACGAGATGTTAGGTAAGTTCTAACTGAAGTTTTAATACCATTAACTAAATCATCATTAAACTCTGCTCCAGGTGCCATCTTTAAAAACAACACCACTCTCTCTTCACTCAGATCTGTTTTACGTTGAGCCACACAAACACTGTCAGCTATTTCTTTAAATGATTCCACTGAAATTTAATATGTTCTATTCATCACAATGATGTTGATTTTGATCAAAACACATAATCATCAAAACTTTTACTGTTAATAACATGTAACATTTTATTTATTGATAAAGAATAGAGTACTCAGCTGATTCAAGTAGGCCAAGTTATAGAATACTCCTCTTCGATGGCTGAATTTCACTGATATCGAACGAAATAAGATTTTGTCTCGAAGAACGACGTCCATTTGGAGTTGCTTTAAACATGTTATGCCTTCATTATCTAATTGGTTCCAAAATTTCCATATCAAATCACAACAAGTTGAATTTCAATGTCTAGTATTTAGTAAATTAGTAACTTACCAATATGATAAATTTCTGCACTACCAAATCTAACACCATTTGGATTTAATGTGCCATCACTATAAACAAAGATAAAAGTACTTTGTCAAGACATTAATATCTATTGTTCTTAAAAATGATATTCAGAATGGCAACATATGTTCTAGAAGAGTAGGTCTATATACTCTGTTAAAAGCCACATTGAATATGTGCTGTTGTAGCTAAATAAGATGTTTTGGTTCTCTCTTAAGTTCATCAACAATGTGAAATTGTAGACAATAAACTCACCTTCGACCTAACATCACTATACCACCAGTTTGAGAGCTAATCATACAATAATCACCATGAGCCCATACACCTAGTAGATATACAATTAAATACTGTTATCAAAATTCAAATATCAATGAAGTACTAAGTTCAAAATCAGAGTTTGACACTTACAAAACACGATCATTTTTATAAGAATAAAATGTAAGTTAAAAATGATATTGAGAGTTAAAGAAAGATATACCTGGATATTTTTCAAAATAAGCTTTACGATATTTCAAATTCTCAACATCATTCCAGAATTTAACTGGCATAGAGGGAAATGGAGTCAAACAAACTAGTTCACCACTGGCATCAAACACTGGCTTGCCTGTAATATATATTGAAATCAATTAGTTTAAAATACATAGTTAAAACACAATTTATGCACTAAAACAACCCTCAACTGTATTCCACAAATGCATACTTTCAATTAATATGTAACTATATAGAAATGGAAATATTAAAACAGAACTTGAATCATGTTAATCAGAGTTTCACGCTATGTAACTATATATGCATTGGTTTTATATATATAGTATTAATCTAAGCATCTCTGCCATTATTGGCATTTTACTATAATTAAGACTGTAGTGCTGAACATTATATGTTTAATTCTAGAATGACAAACAGACTCAGTTGAGGACAATACATCCACTGAAAGAGGTAGGTAAATAAAAAAATATCATTCAAACCTGTTTCATCCCAGCACTGCATATCACAACCTAATAATAATCCTTGTATTTCACCTTTATATACTGGTAATGTTATGTTATGACCCATAAAACATGCTATAATATCAGTTCCACCTGTAAAGATAGATTCATCTATTTATCTACCTTAAAGGGATTGATAGGAAGTTTTCTTAACTTTTTATGTGTATTGGTGATACTGTTAGTATTTATTTAAACCATTCAAATGTTCATGCAATTTTATGACAGCACTATCCCACAAGCATCTGACTGAAAATTGAAATGATGTAAATCTGTGTCTTAGCAGGTAGGAAAACATATAATGAAACATATCTTAACATCATGACTTGATTTCTCTTTGAAAAAATAGGAATATAAAGTTGAGTTACTAGAAGGGATGTACATTTATCATGCTGACAGAGATTTTTCCTGATTTACCTGAAGGTAAGAATGAGTGCGCACTATCTAGTTTGTTAAATTGATAAAAAGTGTTTAATAGTACCTGATATAGATCCCAATAATAAATCTGACTTAATATCTCTATAAACGTATTCATAACTCTGTGGTTTTAATGGTGAACCAGTAGACAATATCATACGTAATGACTTTAAACTGTGGGTGTTCCCTGAAATATTGACAAACATAAATTGAAGGTAAGTCGTCAAAAAGTTTATTCTTAAAAGAGGATATATTTCAGATTTACACTTGCAATTAAATTGTGTCAGAATTAAAAAAAAAGCTTACTTGGAACAACATTTTTTGCTTCTAAAACTGCAAGCCATTTAGCTCCTGTTCCCAATATGGTCACTCTAAAAATAGGAAAAATCACATTAGTCAATTTCAAGTTTTTAATACTTTCATGTCCAAAACTGACTTACTGTCTGTTAATACTATAAAAACTTATATACATTTTCTGAAATTGTCTTCTGTAAAGCCTAATTTCAAAATAAAGCTGTGGTCAAAACATTGTCCCTTCAACACATACAAAACTATTTCATCTTTTTTCTGTATTTCCTATTAGCAGGCAAATCTCTTATAAATTTTCAAACCAGCAATGTAGCCTTTCTTTTGTTTATTTTGTGAACATATGAGCACCCACACGGAACTTGTAAATAATATGAGTACTGGCAACCCTTATCTTATGAAAGAGGTCTTTTGATTGTTTAAAAATTCACCGCCTCATAAGAAACTCTTTGGATAAAGCAAACCTGTCTTCTTGATAAGGGATCATGGGTTCAATATGGCTATGATGATTTTGGTAATAATGAGACAGTACATACCCAGTTTTATCAATGAAATCCCAGAAAACATTAGGTGTTGGTAAGAGTGGTGAGCCATCGTAAAGAAATATACCAGCTCCAATATATAATACTGATACCAGCCAATTCCACATCATCCAACCAGCCTGAGGGGAAAAATTGGTTTACTTGAGCACATAATGTATAACAGTTGACTTCCAAATTTCTTGTAATCTGTATGCGAAATAGCATATAGGCTTTTTTGCAAAGATATCTGCCTTCTTATTGCGTTTTAATTTGGTACTGGGAGCAGGGGTGGCTCAGCTTGCTAACCTGATGGTTCAATCCTGACATAGGTTGAGATAATACTTACTTACGAATAAGCCTTTATTATAATGATTAAAACATACTCACTGTAGTATAATATAACATAATATCATCTCTTGTCATATCTCCCTGTATTATATGTTCTTCTACATGTTTTAACAGTGTACCCTATAATAGTAGAATTAATCACTTGTAATTGTAATTGATCACTGATAGTCGAAGATACTAAAATGGAAGACTACAAGTCATAAGACAAAGTCACATTATTTGTGATACCATAATACTGGTTACAAGATCATATAGCTAGAAATAGGTTTATCTAGATTATAACTTACTCCGACAGAGTGAACCATACATTTTGGTACTCCAGTAGTACCGGAGGAGTACATAATATATAGAGGATGATTAAACGGTACTTGTTCAAACTTTAACTCAGATTCTTCTTCAGAGTCTGATAAAAACTGTTTCAAACTACAGCTAAAATAAAAAAACAAATTATTAACATATTTATTAAACAGATTTCTTTCAATTTAATTGTAATACATCTCCAAAAGTATTTGGCAGATTCTTTTAGATGGGTATTTTCAGTTCCCATAGAATTGTGTTTCTTTTTTTTAAACCTTCTAGGGGTGTGCATTGTTGATTACAATCTAAATTAAATATCTTAAAAACAAACCTGTTTGGAATATGGCAGAGATCAAAATTAGCCTCTTCAACAAAGGGAAATATTACAACTTTCTGTAAATCAGGTAAGCCTATAATAAATAGAATTTTAAAAACATCAATACAAAATATTGAGGTATTATCCGACTAACCCAAAAAGCCTTGAATTATTAACCAATTTCCAATTTATTTACACCTCTATGTTTGTTCAATGCAGTTAGATGTAAACAGAGAAAGTAAAAGTTATGATTATTATGTCATTGTAAATTAACAATAGGATGGATATATAAGTCAAGTATATCATAAAAAACAGTCAACTTGAAGTGGCAATGAAATAAAATTACCTCTAACAACCTGTTCCACCTTTTCAAGATGATTGTGAACTTTGCCATTATAATGTACAGCATTGACACTAAATATCAACTTTGGTCTAATTTGTGAAAATCTTTCTAAAACTCCCTGAAAAATATCATTTACATCAATTGGTTTAAAGTTTATCACATATTATTTCTATAATAGCTTTTTATTCAGTTTTTTGGATAATGCAGTGTTGTATCTGACCAAATATGTAAACAGCACCAGAAGCAACATTTAGCTTTAATATGGGGTGCTATCTTGTTTGGTTTTCTGACAAAGTATAACTATAAATAAGTTGGCAAACTGGTAATTCAGATCTCCTTATCTTTCATGTAAACTATGCAACAAACTTGAAATATACTCACCACAACACCAAAATCAGGAGAAGTTGAGCTCCAGATGGCACCTATACTGGCAGTAGCTAACATAGCTATCACAGCTTCTACGGTATTAGGTATGTAACCTGTAACAAAGAAGAATTGAGTAAACATATAGTTGTGTGCATAGCGTTCATTTTTTTTAACACTAAAAAGATTTGACCACATTATAAACAGTGACAAAAATTCTTTGTATATTCCCCTGAGGTTCCCCTATAAACATTGACATTTTAAAATTGAGTAATAAATTAGATAAATGTCTCACCAAAAATGACAGATTTGGAGTTTTGACTCTTACATACTATCAAGAAAGAAGAATTCGATCTCACCTACAACTCTATCACCAGATTCTATTCCCATAGATTTCATAGCTAATGCATATACTGCTACATCTTTTCTTAATTCTTTAAATGTTTTAGTTGTAATATCAGTTCTTCCTTCACCTAACATATTAACAACTTTATAACAAACATCGTATCATAAAAGATATTAGGCTTACAAGTGAGCCATTTGTATTTGCTTCATTCCAATTTTTCCGTCAGGTGATTGTGGTTTCTGTATTATAGAAATGCTGAACCATATAAGATGATATCTATGAACCTTTACTGCTAGATATGTCATAAAACACTTGGAATCCACAGATGTTTGACTGCAAATTGAAATATTGCAAATTGATGTTATCAGAGTCCCAGACACACATAATAAGTTTAAAAAACCTATTTGCAATCCCTTTAAAAGATCAAGAAGGTTGGAAAAGTTTTACCAGTAGCATAAATAGCAATTCTATCATCATTAAATCTCAGTAGATTCTCAGCAAAATTCATCTTGACCCCTTCAAACCATTGTGGTATCTCACCGATATCTTTTGTTTTATCTACGACCTATAATATAAGAAAATGGAAACTTTAAGAACACAACAACAATTTAGTGGTTCACCAAACAACTGAGAGTAGATGTTGGATATAAAATATTATAAAAATTATTGAATAGCCCACATCAATCAAAGGTCATGGTAGGAAATTGAAATTTAAAAAAAAGAAGAGGTCAAGGTTACCAAATGTCAAGGTCATAATATATAGTGCTTGAGTTTTTATCAAAAAAATGTCAGATGTACTTGACATAAAATGGAAAGCATAGACCATACTTAGCAAATGCAGCTTTGTAGGTGTTAAAAATTACATCATGGTAAGAATTCCTATGGAAGAGATTTCGAAAGTCAGCCCAGTGTCAGCTCTCACCCCCTAAATCAGTGAAGATAATACAATAAAGATACTAATAGAGAACATATACCTGTGTATACGGTTGGCTGTGAATAATTCCTGCAAATTTCCATACTTCTTCCCAAAAGTCTGGATAGTTGTCACATGACCATTTATGAAACTCTGGATATGATGCTAAAATAAACACAACAAAAATCACTGACATAATTATAACTAAAAATGCTTAGACATAAGCAGTTTTAGTCAAAACACTTTAATAAAGTAAACTTATGAACCATAAGTAGCGCATAAAAATCCAAAATCTTATTTTTCACACGAATCCCCTTCCATAGCCATAAATCAATAAAGTAAAAGTAGATTGATCCAAATCGGTACCTATATTTACACCAAATCTTTGGTTAATTTTGTCCCTGAGTTGATCTATTTGCGTGGTTTTGCTTCTGTCTGGTTGCCACATCATTTTCGCGGTTCCAGGAGATGTCATTTTGATAGATTCCGTTGAAGAAGAAATTAATCTGCAGAAGTCGATGGAAAACCGTGTTTACGTTGAGACTAGCAACTCATACTATAAGTTCATCCGCGAATGAAGTAGTTCTATTAGTTCTTTGATTTTCTCGAGTAGGTTTATTCGAGCTTTGATTAAAGACTTCTGTATTGAAATATTATAGCACAATTTACCACCAAGATCTTAATTTGAATGTAATTATTAAGATCTCCGAAATCTAACTCAGCCGAAACAGCGTAGTGATTAGTTGAACTACATTTCGATTGGCTAAATATTATCTGTCGACTGAATCACCCGTACCACGTTATTTATCGAATCATCAACCGTAAAACTATAAAATAAAGCTGTCAAAGTTTACATAACGTAGTAATAATACTACGGTGGCTGATTTAGGCTAGGCCATAGAGTTATGAATTATATAACTACATAGCCTCCCTATGACATAGGACATCTTGAATAAAAATAGCCATAATTGGCATAATAATATACCCGGTACTTTTCATATTTAAGTATGTCATTTTGATGCCGCTCCCAGTACCATGTAAAAGGTTTCCTCATTGTACACTACATGAGTACATGGCGTTATAAATCTGGTGCAAAAGCATCGGGCCCAATACTCCATATTATTTCATATCCCCAAAAACATTGACGCCAATAGAATCGAATGAGAGTGCGCGGAATCATTCTGTCACAATGGCCTTTCCATAATGTATTGTGACCTTGTTTACTCTGTGTGAATGGTAGGTGTTTGTGGTTCTCTCATTGATTTTTCAATGGTTTATCTTATTTGCATAAATTTACAATTCATTGAATCTAAATGATCAATAATTGACTTCTTTTTTTTTAGATGCATTAACTGTGGTCTGGTGAAACAGAATTATTCCCCTTGAATTAGGCTTGATTATCAAGGCTTGTTATGAAACTGCATGTAGAATCAATGTTACAGATTAAGCCTACTTCTCACTCATTTGATCTAATTAATTTAACCTTTGGACACATGGTAGAAGCCTGATAAAGTCCACGTATTTGATATTTTTAAGATTTCTTTGTTGGCAAGAATAATTTAACATGCAGGACGTTAAGATGACAGAAAATAAAACAGTTGACACCACCAATGAAGAGAATGGCATTTACAAGATTCTGAAAGATTTTCCACCTGGGCCTTTAGATATCTACAGGTCTAAAGCTACGTTTTGCTGGAAAAAGATGATGTTATTTTTGGAAGGAGAAGATATACTGAAATTTAAGGTTAGTGCTAAAAAAGATAAAAGATTTAATCCTTGGCACTATTGACAGTTTTAATCCAAATCATTAAGGCATAGGACAGGCCACTACATGCCGGACAGGCATAGTTTAATGTAATGTCATGATAATGTACTTTGATAGATGCTGAAGGGGAAGCCCTGAAGGTAGCTTGAGCTCTGTCATCTGCAGCACTAAATGGTATATTAAACGGACATTTTTTTTTATTGAACTGGTGGTAGTTGAAAGCTTAAACTTTAAGCTTAGGCATAATTTTGGCATAGTCTAATTATTTAAGCTAAAAGCTGATTTCTTAAAATCTGTGAAATATAGGCCTTCTGCAGGTAGTTTGGACTGTCTTCTGCTGTAGTGAGCAGTGCAATTGAGCTGACGAACACTATAATCCTTTCCATAAGACCAAGATTTGTTTCTTCTCTTAAGTATTATCTTTACATGTCAAAGTTAAAGTATATCTGTTTGCCATCTTTATTTAAGAATATGTTTTGGAAGACATTAGAAAATGATGCACTGTTTGCAAGACAAGATGAGACCAGTTTAGAGAAAATTCGAGATATAGCCACTCAGAGAGTTAAAAGATTATATGAATATAATTTTCTCCCTGATGAAGAATTGTTTTTCAATCCTTTAAAACATAATATATATACACAACTTATTGGTATGGTAGACTGGAGTATGTCAACTAAAAGTATGCTCAATTTTGAGGTAAGGGACTGTGAGGGCGTAGTGATATAGGGATTGTAAAAAATTCTGTTCTTTGTATGTGTATGTATCGGTTAAACTTATAGCTTCTTCTTTTTCGAAGGCCATGATTCTAGTTGTATTTATTTGGATTATAGATGTTTGGAGGCAGTGTACAGAATATGGGTTCAGCTAGACATGCTCAACTTATAGAAGATAATAAGGCATTTCAAGTAAGTTTGAATTAAAGTTTTAGACAGAATGAGTTTCCAAATATAAAAAACACACATGAATGTTATTTTGTATTTAATGAGGCTGTCAACTATGAATATTCATTTATTCAGTTATATAGGTTATTGAAAATGTATGTCAGTGTGAACAATTTATATAGCAAATTAGCAATAGCAACTTCAGCCTATTTGTTTTCAATAGAGTCTTGAAATCATACTGACTGAAAACAAATGTCAAATAGATTTGCCAGTTTAATTGATTTAGGAGAATTTGACAATAAGGAACGTATTTACAAGAATTTTAACATTTACAATTTAAGAACACCTTATGCCATTCTGAAATTAGATCAATTGACTCAATGAACAGTTTTTGATAGTCCTTAACCATTTTGGACATCTGGTGATGATGAAAAGCAATGTGACATATTCATGTACAAGTACAGTTATGTTATTTTGGTGTTTGTAATTTCTTTTTGAAAATTTCAGAATTTTGGATGTTTTGCTCTGACAGAATTGAGTCATGGTAGTAATACCAAAGCAATGAGGACAAAGGCCACGTATGATCCTCAAACGAAGGTAGGTTCCTTTTTGAAATAAACTTAATTTTACCCTCCCTGCAAAAATGTTGCAAACATGCCTTAGATCACCTGTCCCAATTGTCAACTTTTTATGTCAACATAGTTTATAATGTTATTTTGGTATTGACACTATTCAACTGTTCTTTTATTCTACATACATTATTTATGAATTATTTTTGGGCCATTATAAAACCTTGTCCTTTTGAAGCACTGGTACCCCATTATGCCATAATGTGCAACCTGTCAAATTTTCTCATTATATGTTGATGCTGTTTTTGTCAGACTAAGTATCGTTCTTAAAACTCAATTGAAACATATGATTATGTGTATATTTTGTAGGAATTTGTATTGACAACTCCAGATTTTGAAGCTACTAAAATATGGGTTGGTAATCTAGGAAAATCTGCTACCCATGCTGTAGTTTATGCTCAACTCTATACTCCAGATGGTTGGTGCCATGGTCTGCATGCCTTCAGTGTTCCCGTCCGTGATCCTATGACTTTAAAACCTTATCCTGGTATATTTGTGGGTGATATGGGTGAAAAGATTGGATTGAATGGAATTGATAATGGGTAAGTTTTAAATCGGAAGAGACCCTCCAGCCTCCAACCATAGCAATTACCAGTTACGTATGGTTGCAAATAATGAGAATGGTCACAACTCAGCAGCATTAGACTTAATTGTTTAGAACCAAGGCTGTGGATTTGGCTCTGTTGGTCTATCATGACAAACAAGCCAGCTCAAATGTTGCGTAGAGTACATCAATCCAGTTCAAAAGACCAAAACTTAATAGACTCATGCATTGTATAGTGAATAGCAACCAATAATTGTTTACTTTACATAATTTATATGTGTGGTTATGTGTACCTTTTTCATAACAGGTTTCTAGCTTTTAATAGTTATAGACTATCAAGAGAATGTCTATTAGATAAATTTGGTGATGTTTCAGAAGAGGGCAAATATATAACTCCTTATAAGGTAATTATGTGTAGCATGAAAGTCTGTAATTTTGATTGTCTCCCAGTATCATCTCTCAGATACAGTTTCTCTTAAGGGACTGGCATACTCCTGGCTCATGCTTTCTAGCCAATGTCTTTTTATGTCTAAGAAAGGTCAAAAGAAAGAGGTTGTAAAGAATTTTTGAGAAATGTTTCAGTCAAACATTTGTGCTTCTTGCAATTCCACCAAAATTAAATGTTTTATGACACCACTATTACAAAAGATAAAGACTGAAAATTGGGAGGATTTAAATAGATGTTCTCAATGTCCCAGATGCACATAAAAGGTTTAGAAAAGCTCTCTGTTTGTGGTATTAGTAAGAAGTAATGCACAGAAAATAAAAGAAACAAAATACAAGACCTATATTACTGTGTTGTAGGATCCTAGTAAGAGATTTGGTGCATCATTAGGAGCTCTATCAGGAGGTCGTGTTGGTATAACTGGTATGGCTGTAGTCAATATTAAACTAGCTATTACTATAGCTATCAGGTACTCAGCTGTCAGGAGACAATTTGGTCCAGCAGAAGAAGAAATACCAGTGTTGGAATATCAATTACAAGTACGATAAATCTTTGAATGAATCTCTATTTAATATTTGTGTCACTTAGTTACAATTAGTCCTTGCTTTAACCATTTTGTGGTTGAAAATTTAGCTTTAAAAAGATATGTTACCAATTGTGTTGTTTAAAACTGCAGATACTTCGTCCACTGATTGGTGTTAGTTTGCCAGAAAATGAGGGGAATAAGAATTTTACAGCTTCTAAAAACATGACTTGCAATGATAAGAAAACTATAGTACAGCTGAATTAGTATTTGTTTCAAGTTAATCATTGAATCATATTACTATTATGTCTGTGAGGATAAATAATCCAGTTAAAGCCCATTACCTTTCTCTTACATTCTGTTAACATTGGCATTTTAGTGGGGGCAATATTAATGAAAAATTTAGGCGTATATCCAGCCACCTCTTGGCATCGTACAAATTACCTTATCATGTTTTCAGCAATGGAGATTAATACCATACCTAGCTGCTGTGTATGCTGTAGATAATTTCTCTAATTCATTCTTCATGGATTTTGTAATGTTACGTGTTGGTATGATGGCAGGGGATAACAGTAAAAGACAGGTAGGTTATAAAGAATTAAATGATTCCTTGTGGAAAGGATTGCAAAATTTTTAATTTGTAGCATCGGTAGTTGATTATTTTGATTATATTACCCTGTCCTACTAAAGACAAGGTAAACAGTTTGGATGTGTATGAACATCTTGTATAATATCATCTAAACAGTTAAATTTTTATTTTTTTCAGAGTGAATTAGGCCGAGAGATACATGCCTTATCTTGTTCTGCTAAACCTATAGCTAGTTGGATAGCCAGAGATGGAATACAAGAATGTCGTGAAGCTTGTGGTGGTCATGGCTACTTCAAAGGTACTGTTTTTAGATTGATCTTGGTATATTTTTTTTCTCTTTAAAGTTTATGAACATTAATTACAAAGCCTTAGGGAAAGACGAACTTATGCTGCACATTGATCTATATTAATAACTGTTAGATTACATTTGTCTACTTTCATATGATTAGTCCAAAACTTCACCCATATTTTTTTTAGATGTTTGTAGGTACAGCCTCCATTTTATGGGGAATACCAACTAAACTGAAGGATTTTTCTTCCACAAAAATAGGCCATATTTATCAATCCTCAATAAATTGTCATGTTTGAGAATATGAGAGAGTTAGAACCTAATATATATCTCTATATTACAGTTAATCGTTTGGGTGATATCAGAAATGACAATGATCCTAACTGTACTTATGAAGGAGATAATAATGTAATTTTACAACAAACTAGTAACTATATACTGGGTATGGCAGAAACATTTAAAAATACTAAAGGTATGTAGGACTTTAGTCATGGGATAAACACTGGCTTGTTGAACAAGGCTCTTAATTGCTAACCTAAAGCTCAATCCTGGTTTCACTTTCCTCAAATCAGCTTACCTTTTTCACATGGAGAATACATTGAAGATACTCAAAGGGATTGTAAAGAGGTTTTGAATGTATATTGGATACACTGATAACATCAAATTTCACCAATCTAATATCTTGTTTGATAATATTTATAATATATGATATTCATGACTAGATTTGAAGTTCAAGTCAAATGGAGTTTTTTCAATAGTGACATAAGATGGATCATTCTAATATTATATATCCTGGAGAACAAATTTACAACTTGGTATTTTGGACTTTCATTTGGACACGAATGGTACATGAATGGTACAAACATCAACGACACTATCCCAAATCCAGAAATAGGTTTCTCAATATATACTGTTTTTCTCTTTCTTGTTTTTATGCATCATATTTACTTTTACCTGCTGATTCTAGTAATTTTTTTTATTTTTCAACAGGAAAATTTGAAACACCATTAGGTAGTTTATCATTTCTATCAGATATACATTCTATATTAAAATCAAAGTTTAAAGCTTCTAGTCCAACTGACTGTTGTCAACCTCAAGGTAAGATAAGTTGTATAGTTTCTGGAATTTATCAAAATGAAATGAAAGTCAATGAGCAACAGGTTAAAGATCTTGAAATTTGGAGTTGAAGAAGGATAAGATGATTTTATGATGATGATGATGATAAGATAAGATAATAAAGCCAATTCAGGAACGCTGATTTTTTGCTAGACCTCTGAGTGACATCATTCCAATTCTTTCACCAACTACGACCTGTGGTCATTCCTCAAACTGATTCTTGTTTGATATTTGTAGTGGCATTAGCAGCGTATAAATGGTTAGTATGTTATCTGACAATGGAATCAGCTGAAAGAGTTAAACAGGAATCATTATCAGGAAAAGATTCATTCACAGCTCGTAATGATAGTCAAGCTTTTTACTGTCGTACTCTATCATTAGCTTATATAGAGGTAAGATTTTTTTCTTGATTTCTTCGTGTGACTGCACTTCCACCAAGACAAGACTCCACAGAGCATCATCATCCAATCAGTGAAACTCTTGACAAGACTCTAGTTTGTGACAAAGACTGTTCGTGTGCTCTCACCATTAGGAAAATAATCGTATCTTTATGAGGCTTTCACATAAGTATATTCAAAATGCCATAGTACAAAATAGATTATTTTTGGAGATAAGTAACTTTAGAATGATAATGACAAAACTGAAATATATTTTGTAGTGTAATATATTAGAGAGATTTGTAAAGTTACTAGAAGAAAAAGATAATGAAGCTACACCAGTAGAATTAAAACCAGTATTAACTAGACTCTGTGCCTTATATGGTCTATGGAGCATGGAAAAACATCTTACAACTTTTTACCAAGGTAACATAGAAATTTAAATTTGGTAATATTGAAGAGGGGTTAAGTTTCTGTGTATTCTATTTCTGTGATGTATTGTATTGCTTCTCATTTCCTTTTTCCATCATAGAATCTAATGCAGTGGTTTTCAAACTTTTTCACTTCAAGTGCCTCTTACTTGTTTCCTGAAATCCCTTTTTTTCTTAAACTCAAAATGAAGAACAAACATTTTATATATAGGTTTGAAGTTGGCAAGGGGAAATTTATAACTGGCACAATTGACAGAGATATCTGAATACCTGCTGATCATTCTACAACTTGTCTTTTGAAAATTTTCATGTATACCCATGGTAGTACAAGTTTCACAAGGTACGAAGCTGAGCTCTAATGGATGTAGAATTTTGTTATAAAATGATATTTTCTAGGAGGTTATGTGTCTGGAAGTGAACCACCCAAGTTAATACGAGAGTCTATATTAAAGTTATGTCGTGAATTAAAGAATGATGCTGTATCACTAGTAGATGCTATAGCACCTCCTGATTATATTTTATCTTCACCTATTGGCTTATCTGATGGCCAGGTTGGTACATTTCTATCTTTTCTAAAATTAAACTCAAGCCTTTTTCTTGATCCTTTGCTGTGGTTTTGTTGTACTGGATGACTACTCCACACAACTTACAGCATGAAATGTGCTTCAGGAAAGAGATTGAACCAACAATAAATATTATAAGAAATTAATAGTCTGATATATATATAAATATTCAATTGTTTACATTATATCAAGAACAGAGGCTCCAGAATAGAAAATAATATTTCAAAACTATAGAAACAGCTGATTTTCTTTGCAATTTTAATTTGTAGAATATATATCGATTTATATGAATTAATTTTGATTTTTTTAAATATGAACTTCATTATCTATTTCAGATTTATAAGAATTTATATGGTGCTATGTTACAGACTCCTGATTGTTTACAAAGACCACATTCCTGGCAAGATTTCTTAGATAAACCCATTGCTGGTTCTAGACCTAAAGCCAAATTATAATAAACAGATCATAGGTCAAAGTAAATTTATTTTGTTAAATTATATTCAAGAATTCCTAAAATTTTTATACCAATCTACTTTGGGTTTTGCTTTTCCACAATTTGTCATTGTTATCAAGACCTTTTTTTTCTGAATGTAACTGACAAATATCAAAAACAAGGAAATATCGATACAAACCTGGAATGTAATAGATCAAATTGAAGATGGTTTCTGAAGTTTTGAAATCGAAAGTTTTGTAACAGAATTTTACATAAATTATGGTGCATCAAAAAGTTCTCTTTAAAGAAGAGTCTGATAGTTAGTTCAGTCTTTTTCGAAACTTGACAATTTTTGTAAAATATTTTTATTTTTTTCATTTCTTGTCTGTATATATCAGCCATCAGTAATCTACATAAAAACATTGTTTAATGATTTGGCAAATTGTTTGCTTTTTCTGACTTTATATCATTGTTGAAATTTATTTATTAAATATTATTTTAGGATAAAAATTTTTACTATTATGGTTGGTTGTTGATCTGATGTCTTAATCCAGTTAGTCAACAATACATTTCATGACTTAAAAACTGGTCATCTGGGAAATTTTACAAGTCACTGAACATGAGTGATAACTTATCACTGATAAGTCAAGAAAATTTCATGAAAATACACCATTAACAGAGGGGAAAACCAGATAAAAAAACTGAAGGTTGTATCATGCAAGCTGTTTATGAGTACGGATATTCGGATAATTTGAGAAAGATTAATGGCTTCAAACATTGGGTTAGAAAGGATCCTCAAGAACCTCAGTTGTTATCCTTGTAAAAATAGATTATTTAATTTCTATTTTGCTGTGTATATGTATTACCTTAGGAGATATCAGTCATCAAGCATCTAAACTTTCTGAGTACCCATGAAGATAATTAAATACAACTAATAAATACCAGTACTATGATTTATTATTAGATTGTTTACATGACAGTATTATGTTTTTATTTACTTTAAATAACAACAAAAACAACAGAGTAAAATATTGTTTACATGCAGTATAATATATATATAAACATATACAAAGTATGTTGACTACATACATAATTCAATTTGACACAATCAATTATTGCTGGAAATAATCTTCCATTTTACAATTGCATTTACCTTGACAATTGACAAGGATTGATCCTATTCTTTAGGGATTGATCCTATTCTTTAGGGATTGATCCTATTCTTTAGGGATTGATCCTATTCTTTAGGGATTGATCCTATTCTTTAGAAGTGGAAGGAGTAGAATCATTTTAAAGATACCAATAATCAATTGATGGTGATAAAATCAATTTAGGGACAAAAAATTTAGTTATAACATTAAGGCTAAGCCAAAGAGAATTTGACAAATATAATGTTCACCTATTAAACAAACCACTGCAGAATCAAGTTCAATTAATCATAAAGTAATTTCAGACCAATCGAATGAGTGACTCGTGGTTTACCAACGACCAAAATGGTATACATAACTCATAATTTAAGCCATACCCACAAAAAGAAGTTTTGATTATCTCAATATCCAGTAAGTTCAAAACAAAATTTTATAACAAATTTACAAAACATGATTTCTTAAAGTATTCATTTTTCACCTAATTATAGTTTGTCAATGATATTCAAGCACATCTTATGATTCTCAAAAAAGTATTCAACAAACTATATACTTTATTCTTGAGGTGGAATAGGTGATAGTCTGGGATACCATGACTATAATCATGACAGCTAAGTTAGCCTATATATATTATATTTAATTCCTTGGTAGTTTGACAAAATCTGGATTTCAGAAATCTAGTAATCTGATTTGATAATAAAACTAAATTGAAAATCGATTTAGTGATTGAACAATCAGATGACACTAAAACTATCTCAAGTTAATTTTTCAAGAATAAGATCCCTGACCATACATCTATATTGAGATAATATTGTATTGTACAGACTGTACAGTTTAATTAATAAAGTGATGTATCTATAATACAACAATAGAATTATTATAAAATGTTAAAAGGTATTATGTAAAAACTGATAAGGAACTATAGTTAATAAGTATATTTACAGTCTATCTATATAAATATTCTATAATACCTGAGTTATATAAGATATAAGTGCAGTGACTCATTTAAAACATAACACTTACTTTAAAAGTCCAGCTATGAGATGCTGAAGGAATTTTGCAATTGTCATCACCATAATCTAAACTATCAACTGAATAGTATCAAGCACTTGACTCATCTGTGTTTGACTTATCTTTAGCTATCAACTAATCTCTCATTTTGACCCATTATCTCAAGCTCTTTAAGATAAGCACATGTCCTAAATGAGCCACCATATCAATTTACAGAACAAGAGTCAATTCTTTTGGCAGACCTGCATAAAATCTTAAATTGAATTTTAAAAAAATCAGTAAAAACTGAAATTTCGTAACTAAAGGAAAAACAAATGATAAAAATATTGGGATATTTACAAAACATAAATTTAACACCTCTGGGACACCTAACCGAAGAGGCACAAATTCAGTAATAAGTCAATAGTATGTGTATCACATAATGCACAAACTCTTACTGTTGTATATCGTATTTATGCATTATTCATGTGCACTATATTTGCAATTATATGGTATATTATTGTTATACATGCCTTCTATTTGAGTATATTATGCCTAGGTGATCCCATCAATTTATTTACCCTAAAACGTATTTTTACTAAAATTAGTATTACTGCCAGTTAGAGGTAAACAGTGAAGTATAAAATAAATGTGATTATTAATAAAATAATGCAATAATAACTTGCCCTATATTGCTAACAATAAACAATCATAATATAACTATACATAAGATAAAATATACATTTTATACTGAACATAATTACAACAATCAAAATGTATTATAGTTTATGTAAAGGTGTAAAAAGAGGTTTTCTGGCTTAAATGAAACTTATGAAAAAAAACCTTCTGTTTTCATTGAATAGATTATGACAGCTATCGCAAATATCCAATCCAAATGTTATTAATGATTGATCATCAAGCTATCTGGAATCACATGATCCACAGACATTAGATAAACGTTGATGGCTACAATATAGAAGATATAAGTGTCCCCGAGACACATACATTAAGAAGGAGTATTCTGAAAGTTCTGAAAATTCAAAAACTTTACAGACCTCAAAATGATTATGATAATCCAAAGTATAAATCGTCTGAGTTTATTGAAAAGCACTAAATAAGATCCGGTCAATTAAACAATTTTAAAAGGTCCAACAGAAATGGAATTCATAAACACTGTCAAACTGTAAAGTTTTGAAATCAGCAAACTAATTTCTCACAAGATCAGCATTTGTCTACAAAGCTCTGTCAAGGAATAGCGAAATAAAAAAAGTTTTAAATTTAGATGTAAGACTATGAGTATTATTCAGGATAAAAAAACTATATAAAAATACCTAATACTAATATTAACACTGGATCCTACAACACTATCTTCAACTATATACATTATAACAATAAATAAACAATAACATGCAAACAAATTATTTATTATTATAGAGAGAGAAAGTAAGAAATATACATTGATCAAAGGCTTAGTTACAGAAATTATTCTCATTTGCAAAAGCGAATGTAACTAATGAGCTCTTTAAATCTTCATATCTCTGGTTTTCAGATATAAGATTCATAAGAAAGAAGCAAAAAGTTAATCTTATTTAGAAAATAATTCTGAAGAGAAATATTTCTGAAATCAAGAAGTTATTGAAATCAATGCAAAATTGAAAAGAAATCGTTCTGTTCCGTAGAGTTATTAAAATTAGGAACAACATATGATCATCATTTTGAATATAGAAACTTTTATATTAGATAAAATGGGCACTTTTATATTTGAAGTATATAGTATATACACGAAGAATCAAGTAGGCACAGAAACAAATGTACATATTACTTTTATTGATATCAGATAAGAATTACACACTATGTTTCTATACAAAACATTAATTTTGTCACATGGACTGAGCTCATTCACAAAGAACTTCATAACAGCTGAAAAGATGGTAGTACAATTTTGGAAAGCCTGTGAATGTCTGCTAGAAAACATCTAAAAAATGACAGTGCTACACTCTAAGTTTTGTCAACATTTATCTTTAAGATCAATCCACCACTGAATATTTTTCTTTAATTTTTTTTTAAGACATTTATAGAGCTTCTGTCAGACATGACTGGTAAATAAGATTTTTAGAGAAACAATGGCTAGTATATTATAATTGAATAAAGAAAGATTGATATATAAGATGAAAGACAATGATCAGTATATCATTATAATATGATTTATATTGAGGTACATAATGGTTATATCTTAACACTATATTATCATCTGAGAACTAGACTCTTATATCTCCAGTATTGATTGAAGTGATCTAGTTTAACACTTGATAAAACATAAAGGGATTGTAAAGAGGTATTCAAAACTTTTCATATACCATCGTACCATTGCAAGAACTACTGATGCTTGGAAAGGTGCAAATTTATTATATTTCTTTCCAATTTCTTTCAGATAAAAATCAAGATCCATCAGATGGCACAGCAAACAATCAAATGAGTTAATCCCTTATGTTTGTTTTGATTAAATGACTTCAAATTGCAATCTGAAACAATAGTCACTGTGATAAGCAATGTATAACATGATGATTATTTTCTAGTAATCACTCTGGTGATCTAGTTCTCAGTTGATTACTTTTATAACAAAGAATTTGATTATATTTTACAAAGTTACTTCCTTTCATGATAGATAAGGAGTAATGTTTTGTCAGTCATTGGTAACAATAGTGAGTGAATATTGCTGTGTAGTCTTAGAACTTTGTAATATGTTATCAAATACTATTCCCATGCTAATCTTTACAACAATTTCTACATTAACATTCTATTAACATAATATTTATATCATCAGTCTGTTATTGACACTATTGCTAATATTCAAATTAGCATTCTCGATTCATACCATACTGGTACTTATCTTGTCAATAATGGTTTAAATAGACAATCTACTGTGCTCCATGTAGGATTAACAATACAGTAGAAAATACAAGAAGAAAATTCATAAGGTACAGGTCCTGATATTATGGGAACACGATTTTCATCTTATATTTTCTACTGTATTTATAATCCTTTCTTAAAACAGATGAAATGAAAAATATAAGCACTGTCCCAGCACATTAATGTCACTGCAGTAATTCGTATACATAATCCATAACAAAACAAAACAATGAAATCTATATATTCATTATCAATGTTTCTCAGTAAATGCAGTATCAAAAGGCAAGAAATATCATATTACCCCATTATGGTTTTGAGTTCTGTATCTTTGTGTAATCAGTCTTTTAAAATGGTCGGGTATTCAAGGCACTAGGCTAGAAAGAAAAGAAAATTAGGAAATTATTTCATTTTTCATATGAATTTGGAAAATGCTTTGTAGTTAGGAAATAATGTTTGATCCACTTAGCTGCATTTTGGACCTTGTACAGTTCATAAGTTTTTCATAAGTCAGTATCCTCTGATAGTCTGAGCATATTTCTGACCAAACTGCTCCAGGATGACGAGCAAAAGAAACACAAAAAGCAAAATCTTCCAAGCTGTTCATCTCTTCAAAAACCCATTAAAGTTGCAAATGAATAAATTTCTAAAAAATAACATAATTTCAAATTTCTATGGAATATTAAAAAGTTCTGTATCTTACCAGTGGTTCAATAGTTAAAGGATCATCATATGATGTACGTTCTACAGTAACTACCTCACTTTCATCTGTTTCACTATCTAATAAATTAACAGTTGACGTAGCTGATTGTTCTTTTAATCTTATACATGGTTAAGAATAACAAGTTTGCATTATTTAGTAATTTAGTCTAAAATATTATGTGTAGGAGCAAATTAAAAAGATCTCATATTTTTCAAAAACCATTCAAATTATGCACATATTATCATAAATGCAATGTATTGAAAGGAAAAAGCCCAAGGCTTAATTGTATCTGCTTTGTGTTGATTGTTATTGTTCTGCATCACAAGACATCACTTAACAAATCTATCTTTTACCACAGAACTTACTGAACCTTAAAAATTTCATAATAACAAAACTATTGCATTTTTTGTAACAGAAAAGGATACATTTGTCTTGGTGTTCTTTTTCGTCTAATACTAGTAAATCTTCTAGCTAGAGCAACAAACTGCTTTTTTGAGGCTGAAATTAAAAAAACAGGGCTGTAGTTAAAAACAATTTTCTTTATCTCAAAAACAGTGCCTTTGTCTTCAAAATACGTTGTTTTAATATATTTTATCAGGAGAAAAATTCAATAGTACAGCTATCAATTAAGATTTAAGAAAGAAGAAAGACCACATTCTTAACCACAACTGATTTCCATTTATAATAATTCCATGACACATAATTAATAACTGATCCTTTTAGTTTAAGATATCTTACCTTTACCCATATGTTTTAATTTTGTTCTTAATTCTTCATCTTTATCAGATTTGGGTGGTAATTGATGACTGAATGGAAAAGCTTCCAGTGTAGTTTGATTATCTTCTCCATACCCAACTGAAATAGTCAAGATATTTTAAATTTACAATTTTAAACAATTGATTTAAAATTATTTATCTCTCAAAGGAATAAAAGATATTGAAATGTTTCAGGATTCAACCTTACTGTAATGATAATGAGTGAAACAACTTCAACTTACCATGTTTGGCCTCATCATCAGAAGTAGTAGCAGCTGCTGCAGGTGGCGAGGCTGGAGAAGGAAGTGTAGGTTCAAATGCCGAGGCATTCATCCGATCTAAAAATAAATTCAGTGAACTGTTACAAAACCCTGACATCAATTTCTCACCAAAATGTCATGTCTATATAAATATTGTTATTTCTACTCATCCAATGTCTTTTTCTCAATTCTTATGCAGACCAATTTTCACTACATTCTGTGATAGAAGTATCTAAAGATATGCAAGTAAAAATTTGTAACAAAATATGGATGAAGTCTACAGTTCAAGCAATAAATGAGTCTAAAATTCCTACCACTTTCAAGAGTAGTCATAAAGTCTTTATTATCTCGTAATTCTTGAAGAAATTCACTGTTCTGTATCATTAGAGCTAGTCTCTCATCAGCTAGATATTGAGCTAATTCAGGATCGGGTACATGACATGTCATTCTCCTTCTTCTTTCATTCTCTTTCATTTTCTCATGTAACATATCAGAACTAAAATCATGTGTGGCAAATAACTGAAATGAGATGGAGTGTTACAGTAATGGTTTTTCAACCTTATTCAGATGGGGGAACACATTAAATCTTCTATTACCTTCTTAACAGAGGGGCATTGATTTCAATTGAAATCTTCAGACCCAACTCATCAAGATCATGAACTGTGCATACATCCATAACTGAGCAACTTCTGTTGAGTTAATATTGTAATTGAACATAAACAAAAACTCAACAAAATGTAATAGCCTCATTTAGGAGACTAGATATGACATGAGTTACGTCTGGCCAAAAAGTTTTTCAGAACACTTGATTCAATTGTGGGATGGGGTTTCTAGACTACATCACCTTTTGGAGAATCCACATAGTTTATTGTTTAATTATCTTAAACTCTTACCCTAGTCGGTTGTGAGTGGTGTCTTACATGACGTTCAGACTGACTTCGTTTCACAGAACTACTTTTCTTCGGCACAGATTTGGAAGAAGAAGATTGTTTAGGAGTTGAAGAAGGGTGAGTGACAGGTACACTGGTTGATAAACGCAGGAAGTCGTCAGGCAGATTACCCAATAATGGTGGATTCCAATTCTTATATGCTTGATATTTCGTAGCAAATGAAGACTTCATTGCAGACGCAGATGATTTGGTAGAATATGGAGGCAGTTTTGAGTGTTTACTAAGTGTAGAGGTTGGTATTGAGTGACAAGAAATATGGTCAGGCAGATCTGGCATGGTGGCTGGACTACCCCATAATGGTGCACCTTTACCAGCTGATAATATTGGACTATTCCAAGATGATGTTATTGGTGTTTTCACATCAGTATTGGATAATTCCAGCTCTTCTGGCTCTAGATCTACAAGGAAATTATTTAATTAAGAGTAAATTTCCTTTTTGTCCAAATCAGAATGTTGAGCTCAATGCATTTTTAGCCATGTTAGAGGAGCTCCAATTAACAATATTTTTATGGCAAGTCTTTAACCAGAAGTCATGTGACAAAGAGCGTGAAATTTTCTTATAAAGTCATTTTTAACTGGCTTTTCTACTAATACAAGTGAGAAAATAGTAATTTTGCAAAAATAATCTTTTTTGCTAGGTCTTATCTTGAACCCGGAGTGTAAATGAAATATAACGTCATATACCCTGAACTCCAAGTAATAAAAGTAAAAGTGTATGAGGTCAACTTTGTATGACGTCACTTAGTAACGGCTAGGGTCAAAAGTTTTAAAGCTTACTTACCCAAAAGCCTATCTCTTGGTGAAGGAGGATCTGACGCCTGTCTAAATGTTGTTAACATTGTCGGTTGGGGCTGTTTTAATGCTGATTTCCGAGGAGCATTAGTATGTGAGTGTGAACGAGACCTTGTGGACTCTGTAGGTATAGGGGGAGCTTGCGGGGCTTGTATAGCCTCTGAATATGATGGTGGGGATTCCAACACAGCAGGTGGTTTTGTACCATTTAATCCATTTGTTTCACTTGATAACTGTTTCGATGATCTTTTTGATTTCTGAAATATGAACATGTCTCAATCAGTCACACTTTCAGCAAAGTACCGGTATACTATTTTACATTTTACAAAATTTACTGAGAGAGCTAATATTTCATTAAGTTAATAACAGTGAATGTTTCTACACAATTATCAACATTCTAGTTTATTTTGTTGGACCTGTAAGTTTGAAATATAATTTTTGTGGGTTGAAAATGAAAACTTTAAAGACAAACTTACTGATCGACTATGGCCATGTTCTCTGTGATGATGGCTATGTCTATGATGATGATGATTATGATGATGAGAATGATGGTGTGAAGAACTGTGTCCAATCGGCATATCAGGAGACCAATGAACATGGGTTTGTTCCTGTACTTCATTATCAATACTCATTGTTAGCAATTGATCTATAGTGGCATCCACAATTCCATTATTAGTTCTCAATACAGCTTCGATAATCTCTGTATCCATATTAGGAAACATGGTTTTGAAATCAGACATGGCTTGATTGAAGTCCAGCTGTCGAGTTTGTCGACTTCTTGGACTTGATGCAGACCCATTTCTTGTTGGTAATCCCCCAGGACCAGGTGAGAAGTCATTTTCATTTCGTCTTATTTCATCTCTAGCTGCTTGTGAACCTAAATTTTGAGTTTCAGCCATTTTATTTTATAATGGTTCTATTCCTATCTCATAAGCATACGTCACATCAAACAAAAACCATCCATTTTGGCCTGGTTCTTCCTATCAACTTTCCTCAAACTAAAATAAAATTATGAAAACAGAAGATGAGTTTCAAGTTGAAACATAATGTATTGTTAATGTCAATAATACACTTGCAGACCAATGCTGAAAATAACCATAGTCTAGACCATTGTGACTCACAATGCAAAGCAGTAATGTCTTAAGTCTTAAATTGGAGACACTTTAGAGATCTAAAAAGCAAATGCAATAATATATCAATTGAAGAGTGTAGCACGGTATATAGCTTAAACTAAAAATGGTTGTAAAGAGATTTTAAAAATTGCAAGTTGATGATATATGTGACACCGATAAGCCTACACATCAAATTTTAGTGAGAAAACGCTCTTCTAGATTTACAATCCCTTTAATTAAGTCATGAGAAAAATATCATGAGAAAAATATCAAGAGTAAATACCTCTTTATTCATACTATTCTTAGGTAATATAAAATAAAATTTTACGAATGATTTGAAGAGGGATAATGTTAAATCAAAAATACTGCACGTAAATGTTAATTTGCACCAATATTAGTCATTGCCACTGACTATTTTGTGGACTAGGGATGGTTGGACACTTGCTCACACTCAACACAAAATGAGATGAACTTTTCTATATTAGAAACTTTATAAACGGCAAATTTCTGACTTACCTTACTCTTCGGTTCCAATTTTACGAATCTAACGAGGTAACAAAGTTAGTTACGCCTATAAATTGTTTAATTTCGAAATAAAAGATCACAGAATTTCTTAAAATCTGTAAAAGCAATAATACGGTTGATTAATTATTAGACTTCAGCGACGAAAGAAACGAAATTAAACTAAATTACAACATTGATATCCAAAATGAAGCGAAAAAGTAAAATATTTAAAGAAATATCATTTCATTTATTTTCAATTTAAACAATCATTCAATGCTGAGAAATTTAAAAAAAAAATTCTATTTCGTTTTCTTTTCTAAAATCTTCTGACATTCAAAATTCTCGAAAATGGGAGGATAACTCTTTCCATGCATTGCATGTTGAACTCGACTTGGAATTAAATAACATTTTCCTTTTGGCTTTATGTTATGAGTAGTTTCAAAGATAAACGTTAATGGCATAACTAATTAAGTTTTGAAGAGTTATTTCTCAACACAAACAAGTGAAATGGCAGGAAGTCGTTTGGAAAAAATTGGAACCATATTCAACAGGTAAATCCATTTGATTCAGACCACAACTAGTTCAGAAGTCTATATATAGTCCACAGTACCATTGATGTCATGTACCGATAACAATTTATGTCCAAAGTGATTAGATTGTATGAAGATTTAAGAATTAAGAATTGACATTGTTTAGCTTGCTAGGCAGCCCATAGTTTAATGAATTCAATCTGATATCTGTATCTGTACACTTATTATTTCAATATTTATGTAGGTAGGCTATCTTAATCATCAGAGGACAGATGTCAAATTCATTCTCAAGCAGTTCTGTGATTTGATTGATTAAGGTCTCAATCATTATATCAATATTTGGTTTAATTTAAAGAATTCATATGATATGCTTTCTGATAATAGTTTGCAATCTAATAATTTTATTGGTTAGGGTCTCAATGTTATAAACTTATATATTTGTATTTTTTAGGGTAAATGGTTTATTAAGATCTGGAGCTTTAGATCCTGCAGAGAGACCAATATGGTTTGATGTTTATCATAGATTTCCACCTAAAGTTCAACCTGAATATGAGCGTCCCATACCAAGTCAAGAGTTACGACAGATAGTATACCCTGAAGATCTAATAAGATTGTAAGTTATTTAAGTTGTCAATTCCTTGTGAAACAACAATACCATATTCATCTTCTTTGTAGTCTGAATTTTTAATCTTTTCATCTAGTGAAGATTATTTAATTGATGTTTTCAAATTTTTGGAGGGTTTGTAAATTACAGAATATAAGCGTATAGCTTTGTTACCCCAAGCATAGATCTAAATCACAGAAAGCCATGCCTTAGGCTTACAGTACTATGTATATGCCGACTGTTGATTGCATGTACATATCTTTTTAGAAATTTTTATAAAATATATGGTGATTCTGATGTTATTGATTTAAAGAATGAATCAAAGAAAACCACCTGTCAGTTGTGAGTATCTTTTTTGCAAATCAAAGCAAACAGTTTTCTTAACCTGCAGTTAATGCCAATTTATGATAAAATTTAATAAATGCTTATTGTATTCAGTCATAAAGGGGGTATTTATCATATGAGGTTTTGCAAATGTTGAGCATAATATCTTATTATCTGTTGTGTGTTCAGATTTTGAATTGCATGTGAAACTGTAAATGGGAAAGATCAATGCCAAAAGGCCTTGCCAAGGAACAGCTGGTACAAAGAATCCCTAACTGTGAACTTAAGTTGTTATCCTTGTGAAATATAGTTGTTTCTTTCTTTCATTAATCAGTATGAATGTTTTTTTTTTATTTGCCTTTCAGATTTGTAGATAAATATATAGCTTTATTAAATACAGCAGAAGACAAGGAAGATTTATTCATGAAAACAGCAGAAACTTTAAAAGGACAAGGTGTAAAGCTGAAGAATGTTAATGTAAAGGAGGTCCAAGAGGTACATTGATAAAATTACATCTGAAACAGTGTCCTTGTTATCACATCAAGCTTGACAAAATCACTTGTTACCAAGCTTACATGATGATGGATTTAATATCTGAAACATGTCAAGTGAACAGCTTATATAATTTATGTCCCTAAGTAGAATCCCTGAAATTGGTAGATGAAACTTTACTAAACTTTGACAACTTATCACATGTCTTCAGATTTAACTGCAGTAACTTACAAATTCTATGGAATAACGTTATTGCTTATATAATCACTTCCTCTCCTAAAAAGCGAAAAATCTCAAAAGAAAGCCTATTTTCTGGTTGAATGGTATATTACTGATTTGACTATAAATATTCTTTTTAAGGAGACATTAGAAGACACAAAAGAAAAGAATAAACCAAATTTTTCTGTAAAAGATATATTGGGTGATATTCCCAAGAAGAAAACGGAGGACCAAGCCAAGAATATAATGTTTGATAATCTAGGTCTTGAGTAACGAATCTGTGAACGAAATGGAAAGTTAATGAATAACAGTCATTTAAACTTTTATTTTATCACAGCAAATTTGTGTTAGCTAGATGTTATGAGGTGCTAAGAAAATCAGGAAAAAAAATTATATCTAAAGGGGCTGGTAGTTTATCAATGTCTAAAATTTGAGTCTGCAATTTTGAGCTCCCATAACAAATTCACACACAATGCTGAAATGGATTTCCTGATCAAAGGTCTTGGATGTTTTCAACCAATTCAAATCTTAGCATTGGTATCTTCCTACTAGTAGTATGGACTAATAGAACCTATATGGTATGTGTATGTTAAATTAGAGTGTTTAATTAAGTAATAAATCATTTTATAATAATAATGGATTTTACTATCTGAGCTGCTTGGCACAATTATTTACACTACCTGTGTACTTTGCATTATGTATTAAAATGCAATATAAAAACATGACAAGTGAAATAACAATTTACAAAAACACTATAATCCCTTTAATATCCTGAGCACATATTTAATATGAACAATATAACAAAACAAACTAAAATTTCACTTATCCACCTAGGATATTAAAACAAGGATAAAACCAAAACGAGATTCAGATAATCCAAAGTTTGATGCCGAGGGATTTTTTACAAGTTTATCCAAGTCTCCATCATAGAGCTATGTTTAAACTCTGTAAACACATTTTAAAACTTAATGCTAACAAGCAGATTTTCTTCAAAACATTACACATTCCTCAAAATTTATTGCAAGATTTGTTCAAACCTCCTGGAGGTGCTTCAAAATGTGAAATACTGTGATACATTAATATTTCAAATGAGAAGGATTGGACATATAACTATTTTAGTAAACCACAAAATGATAATGCAAAAATTTACCAAATCAAAAACAAACCCAAAATTAAAACTATTTTTTCCATGATTTTTTAGGGATGTTCACATCCTTGGCGCATTTATTTACAAAACCTCATACTGTAGACCGTTTTTCTAAAAATGACTATGTTGAGAGATTTAGTTTTGAGCACCACATGCTTTAAGATGTATTTAATTGTTGTCTGACTCTTATATATTCTGATACACTATTGTCACTGTCAGTATATCTCACTATCCCACACACACACAAACATATCAATTGTCAGGAGATTTCTTCATCACTTTTAACTGTAAATTTTGGCCCTGAAACATAAAAGATAACATAAAGAAATTTGTCCACATCTTGTAGCCTTGTGTTATGACAGGTGTTCCTAATAATATTGATCCATTGCAGGCCTTTTCCATATCATTAGGACCACCCGTCAAGTGTGTGAAATTACAGTAGCATTTGATACACATAGTGTTATTAAATATTTATCAATTATTAATCAAGTATTCCAATAACAAAAGAACAAAAATACCGCTTCAAAACAAGGATAATTATATAACATATAAAAATAACTACCGAACCAAACTGTCGCACATCTAATCCCATTTCCAAAGCAACTTCAAATATACAAGCTAGTTCAGGGGGAGTTAACTGTGTTGGTGGAAACTGCATTTCCATTGAGGAATGATCTTCTTTAAAATCACTGAAATGATTAAGTTTGAAATGATAATTGATAAGTCAATTTGCCCAAGCCTATCCTGTTAAAACTGAAAGCTATGCCAAACGAAATGTATTCAGTTGTAATATACAGCAAGTGTCAAATAAGCACCTTCAAAATATATATGTGACTCACTGTTACAATGAACATTTGCTCAATCACTAAATATAATCATTTAAAACTAGTAACGGACTAAAGGCAAATTTTGTTTCTCATTCATACATACTTTAAAACTTTTTCAACATTAGTTTTAAAACCATCATTTATTCCTGATAATTCTGGTTTAGTCTTGGCTTTATTTTCTGAAAGCAGAATAATGTCTTAAGTTATGAGAGGATTAACTGAACTAAATTTAGATTAGCTTACATGAGATCAAGAGCTACCTGTCAAACTTCAGTAAGGTTACAGACTAAAGTTAACTCAAGATCTGATGAAAGGAAACCCTCAAAAACTGCAGCAATGGTGGTTGTGGCATCAAGCAGGTTAGGCTTAATCTTCTAGATGCCTGATACCACTTTTTATAATGAAAAACCTCTTTATATAGGATTGATAACATCATGTGAATGGTTAATTTGCTGTCACCAAAGTATTGACAAACTCTTTTTTTGATTACAAGTTTAACTTTAAGCTTCAGATTGTTATAGTACTTGTTTTTTTATACATCCACATGAAATATTGTATATTGTTGTCACCCATGTCCGTCTGTCCATCCACAATTGCTCGTAAACACTCCAGAAGGCACTATTCTTGACAGATTTTGACGAAACTTGGTAATATTATACAGTATCGCCTCAAAACTTCAAAAGAAGTGTATGACTGAAGGTTGAATATTTCATACTGGTGATTGTTACTGTACTGCTAAATATTTTTGTTTAAAATCAAAGCTCCCAGTGGGCATATATTAACTTGAATGTCGAGCGATTTTTTAATTCAAGGATGCTTGTCAACAAATCTATCACTCTAGTTAAAATTTTTAAGTAGTGGAAATGAATGTATCAAAGTTGATGCATCAAGATTCATTTACCTTGTGATGTTTTATTTTCTGATATTGATGTATTAAACATACGTCTACAAAAACTCTCTTCTACTATCTTTGTCTTTTTTACAATACTAAAATAAAATTATAATAATTATAATTATTATAACTTGCTCTCTGACCGTACAATATAAATGGTTTATGTCCTCTTAGTCTCTTACAAGAAATTTTCATTGAAGTTTGATATTCATGTCAATGAGTTAGAATAGAGCTCAGAATCAAGTTTCTTTTATTGTCAACAAATTCTGGTATGGAAAACTCACTTCTCTAATTCAACAAGTGCCTGACTGATTTCTTTATTATGGGGTTCTAGTTTCTGTGCTTCTTTATAGTAAGCTCTGGAACGTTCAAACTCTTGTAACTGTCTCAATGCCTGAAAGAAAATAACACACTAAAATAATGTATAATCTAGGTCCAGAATCAAACACTTGATTCACCAATGAGAGCAGTTTAACATGAAGCAATAACCAGTTTTTCCAAAAATAATTTCTCATCGATATAACACGCACTCAAGAAGCTTAAATCTTTGATGAGCGATCATTTAGAGCATTGGCCAAATTTGTTCAAAAATATGCCCAAAGATAGTTTGTGGAAAAGTGAATGGAGAAAACATGCAACTTGTGCCAAAACAAACTTCTTATTCTTCAGGAAAGCCTTTGGGCTTCTATGGAAAATTGATGTGTGTTGAGGAAACACTACAAAACTGAGCTGAGCCAAGGACAGATGATAACCACTTACCTTACCATATCTAAACAATGCTTTACAATTATTAAATTCTATTTCTAACACTCTTTTACAATACAGAATAGCACGACCACTATGACATAGATTCAGACAACATAATGACATATTTAAATATAATTTCTTTAACATCTTCTGCTGTTCCTCTTCTTCTTGTTCATTCTTTAAATTATACATTTCTAGTAAATCTGATGCCTGCAAAAACAGAACCATGCTTACAATTCAATTACTGTTTCTTCACACCTGGCTCAATGTCTTTTGAACATAGATGAAACTATTACATATTTCTACCATGTTTCCATTCAACAGCTAACTCTTGTTTACTAAGATTGAGGTAATAAATATTAATTACACATGCTTTCAGATTGGCCAATTAACAATCAACATACTTGCTTATAGCCATATTTATTTTGCTATGTAAATACGAACACAACCACAACAGACGTGAATAATATATTTGAAAATCTACACCTACTTTTTTATATCTAGTAAATGACTTTTGATATTGTTTATTTTGAAAAAGATCTTTACCATCCTGAAATACGAACATTCATTTTATAATAAACTGCTATGAAAGTCTTAACAATCTTAAGAAGATAGACCAATAAAAATATCACATTCTAGTATGCCATGGGGTAGGACTAAATGTCAAATTGAACAAGAATAAAGGTCTCATTAAGTTAAGTTAGTTATAATATAATTATAATTGTATGTACTTACATTTTTATGTGCCTTACAAACTTTCATAACTTGATCAAGTTTAACAGCTTTCCTCTCAGTCTACAAATAACATTTATTAAGTCACATTTATCTAAAAGACTACCCTTGATGGAAACATTACATACAATTCCATTCAAATTACGAATAACAGGGGGTAAAAATGGTCCCACATGGCACTCTGAATAGAATTTAAGCGGGACAGCCATAAACCTAGGAATCTTTATAGCGCTTCATTGTTTAGCATGAGAACTGATTTGGACAACACTTGAAGGCAATTTCTCAACAAATTACAAACCTCTGTCATGTTGTAGAAATCATCAACACCTTCTTGTTCTATAAAACTTAATAATTCAACTTCAGCTAATACTGAAATATTATAATACTGATTTTAGCTTAAGTTGTATGAAGTAATTTACATAAAAACAAATATTTTTGATTTTCACACAGTTCCTTTGAATATATTTTCAAAGCCTAGCAATATAGAATTCAAAGCTGACACTCGCAAGCACTTTCCATAGAATCAGAAATTTTCTTCCCTGAGTATAACTATTCCACAACTCCATAAGGGCAGTGTTCCTACCATGCCTGGTTCTGACACACATACATAGAAGGGAAATCCCTTTTGAATACTTTTAACCTCCTTCTATTATAAAACATTGGTTTGTTAAATTAAGAATTTTACCTGTAGAATTGCCAGGGATTCTTTCACCACAACCCATTCTACCATAGGCATATTCCGGGGTGAACAAATAGCGTGATTTCTCTCCTTTCTTCATAGAAGAAACAGCTATTTCTAATCCAATAATCACAGCACCTGAAACATTGGAAATTTTTGAACTTTAGTTTTCAAACCAAATCACACTGTTTAATAAACTGAAACTAACATATCACATTTGATATTCTTCTTCAGGGACAGTATTATGTCAACAATTTTCAATTACAATTTATTGACTTTTTATATTCAGTACTCTGCGAATCTCAACATCTGAGTATAAAGTCAATCTGAACAATCCAAATCCATCATTTTTGGGTCCCAATTTATTTTTCACTTTATGGTAGAAAGAAATTTTAAGACTATGAAATTATATATAATCAAAATTCCTCACAAACAATGTTCAGATGCACAACATTTTGTCTAGAGTGTCCAACCTAAGAATTCTGTTTGAAAAATGTTAGCATTACCTTGACCCAGTCTAAATTTACAAATTTCACCTCGTAGTCGACTAGAATCAAATGGTTCATCACTACCTTCTAAATATAGATTATAGTGTACTGTAAATAGAAAAACAAACATCATAGAGAAAACTTTCATTCTAATGTCAGAAATCTTTCATAATCAGCAATTTCTACAAGGATAACAACTGAAGATCCTTGGATCCTTCTTATCAGTTAGTCTTTGGCCAAATCTATTAGCACTGATCTTTCCTGGATTTACATCTTGGCCTTGATTTAATCAAGCTTACAAGACTTTTTACGTGCAGATCGAGATTAAAACCCACAATCACCATTCATTTGATGTAATCAAGTGAATGATCTAATGTAAAGGATCAGTTATGTAAAGGACAAAGTCTGAGTAATAAATGAGTATTGAAATCATCAATGGAATATTTCAGAAGTAAGACTGAAAAAAATTAATTTTCTTACTTCTAACAAGTGACTGTGCAGGTACAACATTACCAGCTCCTGGTTTTAAAACAGTTTTCATCACTCCCTCATCATCACTGATATCTTGCATCCTGGATCGTTCAATATCAAACGCTTCCAACATATTATCTTCATTGATATAATCATCTTGATACATATTCTTAAAGATATCATCTGTATCAAACGCTTGATAAATATCTGTATCATCCTCTAGAATAATCAAATATTTTCTAGTTTAATACTGATTCAATTCTATGGCTCTTGCAATTCCACTAAAACTAAGAATTTTATGACATCACTATAGCAAAAGCTGATAATAATATCTCAGGGTTCTTGTGACAATGTTGTTAGACACTTAGTTTTAGTAGAAATTCAACAATTACAGGAATCTGACTGAAAATTGGAATGGTACAAATTGATGAGCTAATAGTGTCACCAATACTCAAAACTTAAAGTTATTCAAGTTAACAAATATCTTGAACACAATATACTCAGTATTTACTTCAATAGGAATGAATAATACAATAATTAATAATTCCTACATTAAAGTTAAGTTCATTGATAAACTGAACACCAGTAATGACAACTATTTTCTTTTTTTTACCTTTTTCCTTAGATTCATCTTTAACCTCAAACTCTACACCATTATTCTGTGGATCTCGTAAATCATTTAAGTCAATTCCGTGTGTTAATGTTGCACTTGGTTCATCATCCTGAATGTAATATGTAAATCATAAGTAATGAGCTCATATTCATTCACAAATGCCAACAAACAATATTCCTACCAATAATATTGAAATTGTCAAAAAGTCAAGTGAAAACAAATTTCAAACATGGCTTTGCTAAATTTTCATGCAATAATCACTTTTAGTTTTAGCTTTTGATCCTTCAATAAGCATGTCCATTTAGATCTATCATTCCTCTATATGATTCTCATCATCTAGTTTTAATATGAAGCTCATCTTATTTATCACTTATCACTTTGAACTAAAGGAATAACATTATTTCTCGATGCAAATCTTACACTTGTTGGTGCCTATATAGGAAAAGTGGAAAGGGGCTATGTGGGAAAGGGAAATATGGGAAAAGGGATATATGAGAAAGGGCAGGGGCAATATAATATGCCATGGGAATACATTGGGGGAGAATTGGGAAGGGGCTTGGTAGGAATAGAACCACAACATCGACATCAATGTCTCTCTCATGACCACAAAGTTTATCAAAGACATTACAAACGTGGGACATCATTTCTCAGTCATTGTCACTTACAGCGTACAAGTTTTCCATCTTGAAAACTTCAAAATCTTTCTTGCTCCAAGAATGCAACGAAATTGAAAGTTGGAAAGTTGGGGAAAATTAACACGTGACCGGAAACTACAAAACCGCCCTCAAGGCAGATCGACCACATGACAAAATTGTTTGAGATAGTTTTCAGTTGACGTTCAACCTTAACCTTGAAGTGAAGTACACAGCAAATGATTGATAATACCTGTCAATTTTCTAACTGAGCTGTTAAATAAAAAAAATCGTCACGATTCGATTGCCAGTAAACCAACCCAAAAATAGTAGGGGAAAAAATCATCTTAATTTATGGAAGGACATAGGTGTCAAACTGCGGCATTCCATTCGTGTACATTCTGATTCATATCTTTGTTATTTTAGTATTCATTAGCTGAATATTCAATGCTGTGGATAAGAACAGTTATTTCACATATTTTTTTCTGTCACAGAATGATGTGTTTTACAGTGGCCGAACTGGATGAGCCCCCCAACAAATTTTGTTTATTACATAAATGTTCTCCTGCATTCTGAGAGACTTTTGTAAGCCAGTTTAATGCCTTTTAACAGAAGATTTTAATATTTTCACGGTATCTCACTCTTTTATATATATTTGTTTGCTTAGTTTGATAATAACTTTAACCTTTTCTGGGGGTGATAAACAATAGGCAGCTTATTAGTAATACTTAAAGTAGGTTTAGATAAGATTGACAACTGAATGCTATCTATGTAATAGATACTAAATAACAATATGGATTTACATACTAACAAATGATAATCCTTAGTCAGCAAAAATTAAATACTGCAAGACTATAGTCATAGTTTTCGAAATAGTTTTCAAGATTTCGTAATAATTACAATTACATAGTACAGTTATGCCATGTACTATATAGTACTAGTAGCTAATGTAACATTTGATTTACAATAACTTAGGAACTAGATTTATTTCATTGCCTATTCCAAAACCTGAAACCAAATAAACCTCAATGTGCAATAGCAACACTTCTCACCTAGCCTAGAGTCTTATTAGATAAGAACAGCCCAATCTATTTGTGTAATAGTACTTTAACTGTGTGGTTGTTACCAACAACATAAGTTGTAGTACTTTCAATATTTCAACCCCCTGTCACACAGGTCAGAGAACCTAAAAAATTTACAATGGGATGAGTTTAATAGTTGTCAACAATAATAGAATTGTAATAGAAAGTCAAGTGTTAGTAGATCTTAATTAGCATGAGATAACATGTCACTTATTCATGGGATGGATTTTTCAACAAAAAATATTATTTGTTATTCTTATAGATCTAGAAAAAGATGAGTATACATTTGGAAGAGGTGAAAACTGTGATATACCATTTAATGGCAACTCATCCAAGAAAAACCAGTGTTTTCAGGCTTATAGTAAAGTTCACTTTAAACTTGTCAGGGTAAGTACTGATCTATACACACATCAATTTTTAAGTACATTGTATATTACTCTATGGGCTTTTTAGGAACCTATGTAATTGAATTGATCGTGTTCTAGTAGTTTTGCAATTAATTTGGCTGAATGTCACATGTTTAAAACAAAACGAAAACAATTTCAGACACATACTTCAGTCAGATATTAATTTAACTTTTGTATATTCATGTACTGAATTTGAATACTGATCAACTGATTTGTTTGCAGCAAACAACAACATCAGGTGTACATGTATTTATTGAGGATACTAGTAGTAATGGTACGTTTGTTAATGGCGAGAAAGTTGGCAAGGGAAATAAACAAGTTCTTAGCAATAACGATGAAATAGCACTGGCAATGAAAAAAAATAAAGGTATGAGACCATCTTGAATGTCAGAGTTAATATGTTATAAATTTTATTTTTAATTGTACCGTAATCCATTTATTTATATATTTGCCTTTTTAATATTTCTGTATCGACCTATTTTCACAGTGAAAATATTTTATTCTTGTACTTGCCTTTTCATACTGATATTCTAATCTTTGCATTCTAAATCTACATTTAGAGCTGTGTATTTAATTTCTGAAGCCTATGTTGATGTTTTTGCCCATGTATTTGTATTTTTGACTGTGTTTTTTTTTACCCAATGTATGTGTTTTTTATCAAATATTTCTACATTTTAGCCTATGTATTTATGGATCTATATAGTAATGAAAATAAAGATTTACCAGAAGAGCTAACAGAAAAATATACATTAACCAGAGTTTTAGGAAGGTATGCTATAATTTTAATGACCATTTGATTGAAGAACTGATATATTTCTGATGCTTGTTGCTTAGGGAGGAAGACTAAATTGTTTCATCACCTGTAGCACTGTGGATGCAGTTTATTTTAATTAAAGATTTGAGTTGGGCTTAAAACTCCATTTCCTTTCAGGTTCAGAGTGAAAGCCTTTAAGATTCATGTAACTTAGTAAATATGACTTTATTGTATAGGGGTGCATGTGGCGAAGTAAGATTAGCTTTTGCTAAAGGCTCCTGTGAAAAGTTTGCATGTAAAATTGTCTCAAAGAAGAAATTTTCTGTTGGAGGAAACACACCTATTGTAAGTATGGAATTCTTTGGTTTATATTTTGTCTTCATTAAATGCATGAATCATAGAGCAATGTGTTCAATGTTTAAACAACAATGCTTCAATTTATGAAAAGTAATAAAAAAATGTTTTTTTATTTCATGTTTTTTATAATTTAGAGTATGGCCTCACAAGTTATGGGAGAAGTTAAAATCTTAAAGGCTTTAAAACATGTAAGTATCTTTCACTTTCGTTCTTTGCTTAAAAACAAGATATAGGATGAAGCATGCACTAATTACAAGAATGATAACCTACACTCTTGAAGGTATTTTTTCTACCAGCCTAGTTAGTCATTTGGCATTAGATACAGATCTTGGCATATAATTTATTTATGATATTTTCTATTTGTAGCCGTGTATTATTAAAATAGAAGAGGTTATTGATACTAAAGATGTTTTATATATCGTCTTAGAACTGTAAGTTACTTTCTTGTTACTGTCTTTCTTAATAATATGTTGATTCATAAACTTAGAAAAAAGTTAAAAAAATTTAAAAACTATTCTAACCTAAAAGTCAAATTTGTTCATAACATATTGATTACTAAACTAGTGTCCAAAAGAAACGATACCAACTTATTTTCAAAATTGTTTTTTACTAAGTGAATTGTCTAATATGAAAACATGCCAATTCGTATTGCACATCCCAAACACAGCATAGTCGATAAAAATACCGGGAACATGTGATCACTTCCGGGAAAAAATGTAAATTTCGTGAAAGTGACATTTCCCTGTCTAGCATGTTCTGCACGTGCATAAAAACTGTATAAAACGGCTGATCAGACACGTTGATATCACAGCAACAAAAAGAACACAAGATATGCCACATTTGACAGCCATCGAGAGAGAGAGAGAGAGCCGTTGGAATGGTCCAACAAGGAGCGACACACGTTGACGTCGCCAGAAGGTTGGGCTGCGCACGCATCACTATCACCAGGTTGATGCAGCGGTTACGTCAGACAGGTCAGACGTCAGACAGGCCCAGGAGTGGAAGACCACGAGTAACCACGCCCCGTGAAGATCGATACATCCGGGTATTACACCTGAGGAACCGCACCGTAACAGCGACGTCCACGGCGGCTACAGCACTGGGACACAGGATCAGTCGACAGACCGTCTACAGGAGACTACGGCAGTATGGTATCCGGCCACGTCATCCCTACCGCGGACCGCTCCTGACGCCTCGACACCGGAACAACAGACTGATCTGGACGAGGCGAGTTCGACGTTGGCAACGGCGGGACAGGGCACGTGTTATGTTCTCTGATGAGAGAAGATTCCTCATCTTCAAAAACGATGGACGGCAGCTTGTATACCGACGATTTGGTGAATGTTTGGCGTCTAACTATATCCAACAGGTCCGGTCGTTTGGAGGTGGAGGGTTAATGGTTTGGGGTGGCATATGTGGTGACGTCAAAACGAGGCTTGTCGTAATTCGTGGAAACCTGAATGCACAGCGTTATATTGATGACATCCTACGGCCTGTTGTGGTGCCCTTTATTCAGCAACAGCCTCGTGGACTCCTTTCCAACATGACAATGCAAGGCCACACACAGCAAGATTGACACAGAACTTCCTTGCCAACGTACAGGTTTTGCCATGGCCCGCATGTTCATCGGACATGAATCCCATCGAGCACTTATGGGACCACCTCGATCGGCAAATCCTACGTCGCCGTGTGCCTCCAGTCAACGTCCAGGACTTGGAACGATGTCTCCTCGAGGAATGGGAACAAATCACTCCCAACGACATCAGACGTTTGACGGCATCAGTCCGTAGGCGTGTTCTGGCATGTATTGATGCTCACGGTGGACATACCCGCTACTGGCTTGACTTTGTGACGTGTGGTGTGACATTTCCCGTTGTTTCTGTGATCAGTGCTCTAACGAAATGTTCTTTTTTCGACCCCACCCATCTTTAAAGGCTTGTCATATTGGTTGTACAGATTTTATTGAAATGAAATTTTTGTACAGATGTTGTGAAAGGATTTCTCAAAAGCATAACACCAATCCTAAACTTCTGCATTGTTTAGTTTTTCTTTTATGTCGTTGCAAACAGGTGGTATCGTTTCTTTTGGACACTAGTTTATATATGAAAACAACAATCTATATTTTATAAGGTGATAAGGGTTTGATCTCAAATTGAGTATAATAAAAGTAGTAATTAAATGATATATTATTAAATTGTTGTTTGTTAATGTTTGTAGTGTTGATGGTGGTGAATTATTTGATAGAGTTGTCAGTGTCAATCAATTCAGTGAACCTGTAGCTAAATTATTATTCTATCAAATGGTATCAGCTATTAAGGTAAGCCTAAACTTAAACATCAGAGGCAATAATGAACAAACCAATAAAAACGAAATTTTGTTAAAATTTTTTTTTATTCAAAATGATACTTAAATTTACAATTGGATTTTAAATTGTCACAAGTCAGCATGAAATGCATGAGTAAGTATGAGAATTATCTCAAATTGCTGAGAATTGCTAGATGGTATATTATGAACATGATCATCATTATTTTAAACTTTATTTTACAGTATTTACATGATCAAAATATAACTCACAGAGACTTGAAGGTAAGACTATCTTTTTCTGAAATATGCAGAATATAAAAGAATATTCTATATTTGTAGACTCGAGCAAAGTTATTTAAACACCCAGGTGCAAACTAGTTTGAGTTGGCCATACTTTGTTATTCATAATATTCTTTAAAGAAAGTTACACTGACACCTGATAGTATAAAGAAAAGCATGCTTTACATGATCAGTATAGAATATATTTGAAACTGACTACAATGTACTATGTATTTGTGTTTTTTCCAGCCTGAGAATATTTTGCTATGTGGTGAAAATAATGAAACTTTAGTTAAGGTTAGTTTGCACTCTTTACCTCCCCATTTATTTGCAAAGATTCAGGGAAAAAAATGTGATCGTAAGAATTGCTTATGAAACCTAAGGCATATACATCATAAAACGTTTAAAAGTTAGGAAAACCCCTTAAAGACATATGAGATAAGTTATCACAACTATTATTTTCTTCATCAGGTGACAGATTTTGGATTATCTAAATTTGTTGATGGTGGATCATTAATGAAGACATTCTGTGGAACACCAACCTATCTGGCACCAGAAATATTAGTCACTGCTGGCAGTGGTACCTATACTAAAGCCATTGATAACTGGAGTTTAGGTGTTATTCTATTCATATTGTAAGTTCTCAGGATTAATATCAGAATGTTGAATCCATTTCTTTTATCAGTGTATATGGTTGCCATGGAGATGAGTCTCACAAAAGCACTGGCCTACGGTAGGTCACAAAGTATGGAGTTAATTAAAAATGTTAATTATGAATGATTTATCCTCAAATAGTGACATTAAAATCCTATGAAATTTAGTGTCATTTCTTTATTTCAGATTATCTGGCTACCCACCATTCTCTGATGAACGTAAAGACATGGATTTACCTAAACAGATCATGGGTGGCCATTATGATTTCCCTAAGAAATACTGGGATAATATTTCAGAACAAGGTATAAACTTTTGAAATATCTCAATTGATTATGGTGAATACTTTCAAATCTATAGCTCTTTGATGTTTGAAGCAAGGGTCTTGAGGTCATACTGGCCCAGTTGAAAAATATCAATGTGTGTCAGGCTTCACAGGAAAGAATGTGTTCATTCTAAACTTTGTATTGAGATATTAGCTTGAATCAGTTCTTTGAATTCAATATAATGGAATGCCTTCTGAAATAAATGTAAGATTCTATGTAAAAATTTGACCCTGATAAAGGATTTGAACTTTCAGCTTAAAGCTTTTAAAGACAATATAAACATTGTTATTTTCAGCTATTGATCTGATAAAGAAATTAATGACAACTGATCCAAAGAAAAGAATAACAATAAATGATGCCATTCAACATCCTTGGTTTAAGGTAAGTTATTTTTCAAATTTTGATGTAATGGTTTTACATTAGTTACTACACTTCAGTGACTTTCTTATAGGTTTTGAACATACCAATTTGAGATTGATAACTTGGGCAATTCGAAGAACTGTTATATTTTAACTCTTTTATTGTCTGGTCCATCACCCAAAAGTTCACCTCAATGGAAAGCATTGGATCTATTGTACCTATTTTAAGTGTACGTGTAACAATTATCATTCCAGGATGATGAAATGAAGACTAAAGCTAATAAGTTAATGTACCCACAAGCTGATGGTATGGTGCCACCTATATTAGTTGTAAGTATATTCTTCCACCAATCATTTGACCGTTTTTAATTCCATTTGTAGTAAGTCAAAAATATTTGTGTTCATATGAGTCTGTTTTAAAATATGAATGCAAACAGTCAATTATATATTTAGGTATTATGAATAGAATATACACCTTAAAATAAAGAAGACTGGTTGTGTTTATGTTTTAAATCAGTCATGGATGTGCACATCTATTTTTGCTCCATTATTATGTGAATCACAAGAGGAAAGGGATATTAACCTATCCATATGACAACCCATAAGTCAAAGTCAGTATCCTGATTCAGTTATATATGGAAGGTGTCCCCTCTCTCTGCCCATTGCACTGGCCATAATATAATAGTTTATGCTATGTTGTTACTTTAGAATACAAAGTCACCTTCCAAGTCTCCAAAAAAGGTGAAACAGCTTTTGAACATATGTTATCTATTAACTTTAATTACCAATGTTTAATTCATTATTAATGAATAATTAGGATGTATTTATGAACACAGAATTCATATAAACTGTTAATATTTAAAAGCACTTCATTTAAATTGCACAACAATGTTTGTAACATGTTCATAGTTTAATTATCATGACTGCATTTATTACAGTGGTTATTGTACACATTACTTACAAATGAATTTTATTGTTCAGAAAAAATAGCTGAATTAAAGCTAGAAATTAATATAGATATGAAGGCTGCCTCCAAAAAACAGGGAAATGTAAGGGAAAAGTTAGCATTCAAAAAGTAAAATTGATAATTCTCTTCATCTCTTATATTGATTTAAAATTCATATTTTTTTGATCAATCAGATTATAGTGTTTCCTATTTTATCAAGCTTCTTAGGAAAAAAGGTTAAGTTCATTAAATATTGAGTCAAGTTATTAGATATCCAACCATAATATGTTCATTAAAGAAGTTATCGTTTTATTGCAGCCTGGTAAGAAGCGACCATTAGAAAGTACAGAAGAACTAACTAGTCCAACTAAACGTCAAAATTCTGATACTTCAATCTCCCCTCCAGATACTCCTACTATATAGTTCTGTTTATCTTGGTATTCTTACTACCTGATCAATTCAGCAACATTACTTTTTATTGTAAGCTTGCTTGAATAATATAATTATGGAATTGACAAAAATAAGTGAATAGTCAACAAGTTATTAAAAGTGGATCAAAGGACAAAATTTTGGTTGATGATTAAATTTGCAATCCACAAGCAATTGATTTGTGGAATAGAATAATGTTAATTTTTTTGTGTCATTGCTCTTAATTAAGCGTTGGACACATTTTTACGAAACTTTGTATATTGCTTATATTGAAAAGATCTGGATTTTGTTCCATAAAAACTATTTTTTTTATTATTGTGAATGTTGGCTTTATAATGTATTAGAGAAATTTTTGTAATTGCTGAATCCTTTAAGTTCATGGACAAATTTTCCAGTTTTATGCATTTTAATCGCTTGATATTTGAATGGCATTAAGCATTGATAGATGATTTTATTATACAGGTACATAGTTTTTTAAGAATTTTTGTTTGGCTTGTTCATAACAGAATTAAAGCAATCTTCAACATGGCATTTGTATGTATATAAGAGAAGTTTGTATATTTGTATATAGTTTTAATATTTTATCATATTTTGTTTTGTAACTGCCTTTGAAAAGCAGATTGTTATTAAGATCAAAAATATATTGTAAGTTATGTCTTTTTATTCTCAATATGTTTCAAGATGTTCAGAGATATTCATATAAGAGCTAAAGAGGGCAGGATGATTAACCTAAAAATTAGATGCACAATTATCTTTCTTTTGTTGAATTTTATTTTAAAATTTCAATAATTTGTATACCTATTCATATCTTTAGCATGGGCCAAGGTCAACAAGAGGTTTTATTAAAGGTATACTTCCTCTTAGGATGATCAATAAAATGAAATTTTAAAACTAGGCCAAAATGAGTGTTTGTTCATCAGTGGACTTACAAGTTGTCAAAACTATATGACAGAAACCCTCTATAGTCCAATAAATCCATTATTTCAATAATTATTTAGTTTAATGGCTAGGTATTCTTTTCTTTAGTTATAGCACTTAGTAAGTCCAACTGTTGATTATATACACTTATTGACCAAGTTTGAGACTTAAAAGTTAATGTCTATTCTAAGAGATAATATTCCTTTAAGCCTATGTATACCTTTTAGTGATAAGTCTTTTTGTATTTATGTTGGAATAATATTTAATTTTGACCTACCTTGAAATCACAAAATGGAATTTCTTCATCATCATTGTGTATGTGTCGTAGCATTAGTTAGTGAATGTATATATATAATAAGATATGTTGTGAATCATTTATTTATAGAGATTATAATAGTATGAAATGATAAACCAAGAATATGTGTACCAAATATTTTATTCAACTTCTGGATATTATCCTGCTCATTTAAAATCTTTGTTTTTAATATTTTGGGTAGAAAAATAGTAATAGCATCTATCTATACAGACTAGACTTCTATTGTTATGATTATAATATAGTCTGCAATGATAAACCTATTGAACTCAGTATTTTATCTGCATTTCCTGCTCATTTTCTTATAATTTTATAGTTAACTTTAAATTTCATCTGGTCATCTGCAGGTATATTTTCTATTAAGGTATTGAGTACTGTTGAGCAAAGACATTTATCTACATCCACTAAAACTGAGCAATCTCTACAGTATCGACTTATAGTGTGTTACTTTAACTACATGAAATATCAAATTTTGAATCTGACCATGATGTGTCCTATCTATGCTTGTCTATAAAGCTCACAGCAAGATGATGGTGTACTGGTATGAATATCAAGCTATGTGGCCCACTGTCACCTGATACATTGCAAAGAATCAAAGACAAACTTTAGATTAGAATTAAGAATTTCTTTTCATTACCTTAATTGCGCTAGCTAAAATTGTCTAATATTTTTCTCTTAACTGAACACCATGTGTAATATCATAGCATTACTTTCAGACCATTAAAATTATATTTAAACTGGATTAGTTTTAGATATAACAAAAGTAACACCATTACATACAGTTATAATGGTTTGAGAATTGAGATGCCAACTTCTGTAAACAATAGTTTTCAGGCCTGAAATTATTCTTACAAAGATTCAGACCTTCACTTGTCTGGCACCTGATAAACCAACTAAGAACCCTCGAAGCCAGCCCATAAGAATTTATGGAATGAATTTATTGTAAATAAACAAAACATGTAAATGATATATATAATATAACAATTTAAAATAACAACATGTATAAAAGATTGCACATGACTTTACTGTGGTTCTCACTCTGTGATATTTACTGGAGCAAAACTATTTCTGCACATCTGAGGATCATGCAAAACATTAGTTTTAAGTGCTTTGGAGCAGAAATGAATTGCACATATATCTCCTTGATTCTCATTAAATTCTTAGTGTAATTGCACTACAAGCCAAAATTTCTTTGTGATATTATTAAACTTCTTAAAAAAATAAAGTGAAAGGCTTTTGTTGTAATGTTTTAAAAGGTTTCCTTACATGCACAAACATTTTCCTTGGCTGAGAAAAATCTCAAAATGTGCACACCAAAGCATAAAAAAGGTGAAAAATACAAAAAAACCAACATATAGGAATGCAGATTTAAGACACAAGGAATGTGTTTATAAAAGTTGTTAAAAAGATTATTTAAAGTCTACACTACCTTAAAAAGTAAAAAATTGTTTGACATAATTATGCAACATCGTAATTAACTTTGGTTATTCGATGAAAAATGAATTCAATGGCTTAAGGATACTTGTTACATTCAGGCTCTGACAAGACTGACAAGGTCTTCAAAAACAAACACTTTCATGGTTTAAAATAAAAATCCATTTGTCAGAAATTCATAGTAAAACTGAATCTTCAAATTTACATGTTAACTGAAATTTTCAATGCAGAATTTTATTAAAAAAAAGACACTTCAATAGTTTATTGTGGTTTTAAAAAAGGCAGCATCTGCCTTCATTACCCTACGGCCTTGATATGTTGATACACACTGTAAGCATTTATTCTCGTTCTGTGATATGAACTTTAAAAGGTTTAGGACGGATGAGAAAATCAAACTCAGATTCTAAAATAAAAGGTGTTTTGTCTGCTTTAATAGTCAGTTGTTGCATCATGGTGCTGAAAAATAAAAATAGTTCAATTTCTGCCAAACTTTCTCCTGCACACTGTCTAGGACCAGCTCCATAAGGCATATAGTAATCTGGTATCTCTAAACTATTATCTTCATTTAAAAATCTGGAAATAGTAAAAAAAAATAAATCTTCAACTTAAACTTAATTATATAATTTTATTTATAGAAGCTAATATGTACCAATCTAGGATAAAATGATATCTGTAGTAAATCATTTAGTAAAACCTAACTAATGTAAATGTGTAATACATTCATTAATAGATGTAATTTGTATCAATCGAGGCAATCATTTATCTAAATAATGATATCTGAACTAATTTGTGAGGTCTAACGAATTTCCAGACAATATAACATAGAGTTATATCCCTTCTTATTAGGACAACTGTCAAGTGTCAGTATACAACATGTGAAAAGTCACAATTGCAAATCTTGGAAAAGCTTAATCTTTTGTTGTCAATCATTAATTAAAACAATATCTAAAGGTAGATTATTTGAAAATGGTACAATAATTAATCACCTTTGAGGATCAAATTTCATGGGATTTTTCCAGTACTTAGTATCATGATGTAGACTCCAGATGTTGAACAAAACAGTTGATCCTGATGGTAAATTATATCCTGCAATTAAGAAAAAAAAATAATTTTAAGATCTTTTAGCACAAAGCATTCAATTCTTCAAAAATATTAAACTAACGAAAAAAAAAACTCAAAACCCCCATCAGATTAAAAAGATGGCGAGTCATGTGAATGACAGAAAAAGATGAAAAATAAAACATCTGATCCTAAATTTTATTCAGATTAATCATGCGCTACAAGCTCTGAAACTGTTGAATTTCATATCTACAGTATTAAAAGTCTTTTTGTTACTTGTAAGCCTTATTTCCGTTAGGTGGATAAAAGATGTGAAATGAAATAGATTTCTATTAGTAGATTCTTACCTTTTAATGTTCTATTTTCTGTAAGAACATGTGGTATAAGAAATGGAAACACTGTAACTATTCTCTGAGTTTCTAATATAACAGCGGTTGTATAAGGCAAGAATGGATGATCTCTTAATGATGGTAATCTATCACGGCCTACAACACTGTCTATTTCATTCTGTACTTTATCCTGTATACCAGGATTGGCTGCCATATATCCTATCAACCACATAACTAATACAGACATAGCTTCATATCCATAGTTCACTAAATCTAATAACAAGTACTCTATATCATCCTTAGTCAACATTTCTAAATCTTGGCCACATTCTAAAAATAGTAACAGATGATCCACCATGTCTCGTAAATGAGAAGGATCGTAAGTATCTTTATGTAGATTAATAATCTTACTTTGATTTTGAAGCTGTTTGGATGTGATGTCACCAATAAATTCTAAATGATCATTTGTTTTAAAAGCTTTCAATAAGGGTATATAGTCTGAAGGGTTCAACATTTTGATTGCAGAGCGCTCATGAAAAATAGCAAGTAAATCATTGGTGACTTTCTTCTGTGGATCCAATCTTTCCCCAAACACTAGTTTCATGGTAATATTCAGACAACTAGTCTCTAGTATTAGGAACGGGTCTAACGATTCCGACGTTTCCAGGAAACCATCCATAGCTTCCAAAACTTCAGATGTTATTTTATCTTCTATTGTTTCAACATTAGAACAATACCCATCTAAACTAGCATCAATAAAACTCCTTTTGATTCGGTACATTTCATTAAAATCTGCTGTATGTACACCTGAAAGATAATTCAGTAAAAATTGAGGGGAAAAATCTATTCAAGCATAACTTAGTAGCGTAAAAACAAAAGTCGCATAGAGACAGTGGGATAGCTCAATGATTTGGAATGTTTTTTGCTAAGTGATTGGTTGCAAAAATTTCAAGATCAGCTATGGAGATTTGATTGTCATATCTATTCAACTGGTTTCAAGACTATTTTACAGTGTACAATGGGGACGTTTTGACGACATCAACTTTATACCGGTTGTGTACATTACATTTATCTGAACATACAATGCCTCAAAACAATACCAATGCTGCAGCATACTCAATATTATTCTAATTATTTTAATGCCAAAAAAAAAAAGGAAAAGAACATGGATGAATCTTTACCTCTTTGACGATCTCCTTTATACAGCATATTATAGGCTGGTAGATCTTGTCTACCGCAGTACGCATGACCACTTTGTATTAAGGCTTCTAATATAGATTCTACAGAAGACACAATTATGAAGTTTTGATTACCCAGTCTTAATTGATACACATATCCATATTTAGAATTCAAATTAAATAATGTTATATAATATTTGCCTGTAAAATATTTCAAGTGTCCAATAAACGGCCAACCCCAAGGTCCTGGTGGTGATTTTCTTGCTGAAGCTTTGATGATAAATATAATGGTCAATAACACAAGCAAAAGAACCACAGCTCTAGGATATTTCCACATGTAAGACTTGGTACTTTGAAGAATATCAGCGTAAACATGAAGGCAAAAGAAGTCTGTAAACCATTCCATTATGCAGTGATTAATGCCAACAGACTTAACACTAATCAAATAAGGTGCTGTGGGTTCGAATCCTCCTCAAGATAAGAACAATTCTGTTGCCACAGCCAGTAGTCCTACTTCCGAATCTTTGAATTCTGAAAAATGAAACAAACTACAATAAAATACAAATTTAGAGGACATTTGGTATTAAAAGACATTAGGTGAAGTGTTAAAACACAAGACATTTTTGTCTTCAATTGTGAAATTTGAAACATTGAACTGCGGATATATGTGTAAGTTTAGGAACCCCATGGTGTAATAGTATCGGTAAGATTACATCATTGATTTTTGGGTTAGTTTTCCTTTTAATTTATATAGTATATTTATTAGACTCATAGTATTATTTAAGTATTTTTGATGTAGATTGGTGTAGAAGTGTAAATAAGTATTTTATGAGCATAGATATAGTTTTACTTGATAATACATAATACTGTGATATATTGAGTTGTATAATTGTATTATATTTAATTGTATATTATTATTATTACAGGGTTGTTATTAAAAAATATGAACTGATATTCTGTTAGTCAACATAGTGTTAGTTTTGATATCGTTTTTCCCCTTAGCTAATCCGGTTACACCTACTCATTTTAAGGCAAACATTCGCTTTGACCAATCATACCTTTACAAAAAGGAATTAAATTTTTAGCTAAATTAATCAGTAATAGTGTGCTAATCTCATCGTCCAAACAATGCAATTTTACCATTTACAGTATCGATTTAATATTACCACTTGGGACGGCCATGTATAAACAAATCTATTTTAACCAATCACATTAGCAGAATTGATTTGCCCCGATTCAGTACGATAGGCTAAGTGCACTATATATCCGTCCGAAACAAGTGCTCTTAAGGCTTGTCCAACAAAATCAATATAAATGTTGGATAATGATAATAAGCTTTTTAATTAAATGGATCGGAATCAGCATCCTTATACCCCAGTGCCATAGATCTGTTGAACATTGAGATCATTAAAAATGTTCTTACATGGAATTGAGAGTAGGCTAAGTGTACCAAACTAACAAAACATTGCTAGTTTTTCTGTGGCTAAGTGCTGACTATTCTAGATCCCTTATGCATATTTCATGCTCATTTCAAGTATATGAAACTGGCCAATTTGTGATTTAAGTCTACCTCCCTATGATAATAGTCAAGACTTTGTGACTATTTTAGTAAATACGTAATGGTCGTGCGAATGGCAGTTTTGGAACAAAGATGGCTTCCCGTGGTAGAGAAAAACTCCCAAATCTTAAAATTTGTGTTGATAACACTAAAGATGCCGAAAGTGAAGATGAAATGGAAGATGAGAAAGATATACACATAATTGTGCAATCGAACAATATTAAGAAAAGGGGTCCTGTTGGTTCTGGATCGAGTTCATCGGGTAGTGGTAGTGACAGCGGTAGTTCTGGTTCCAGCAGTAGCGATTCTTCTTCAGGCAGTGACAGTGATCAAAGTGATGCCGAGAGCGTTGAATTCAATGTCAGGATCAGTGGACTGACAAAAGACAACCAGTCTAAAAAGCATCCAGAGGTGGATACATATATATATATACATACCATTTATTGAAGGATTTTCACACGATAGGCCGTTGGCCCTAATGATACAGATAGGTGTGCACTGCACTCACTGAGTGTCAGTGAATTCAATCAGTCATAAAATTGAACCAATTTATATGACTGTCTAGCTAAGATGTGTTGTCTCTGGGGAGGGTCACTTTTCTCAAGTGGAAGCAATCTCATGCAGTGTATAGTTTGCATTATTGATTTTTTTTTTAATTCTATCTTTCAGCTTTCAAAGCGTTATGAAAACAAAACTGGTAACTTTGTAACAGGGATTGATTTAACATCAAGGGTAAGTAAAGAATTTAAATGAAGAGAAATAAAATGGACAAGATGCATTTGGATCAATATGTTTTAACTAAATAGTCAGTCAGGAAGAGGAAAAGTTGATCACAGCCAAACCAAGAAAGTTATAACCATGGCCCCAGTGTCTTGTGTTTGTAATTTAAGCCATTATAAATGGAGCATCTCCTATGTATTTTAACTTTTTCAGGAAGCCATAGAGAAAAGAGATGAAAGAGCGAAAAGATTTGGACTTACCCCATCTGAAAATAGAACTGAGGTTGATAGAAAATTTCTTCTGAAAAGGTACTTTAAGTTTAATGTCTGTTTCATATGAGCAGTGGCAGTTCTAGTTCATGTAAATCTTATTGGAACTTCTGATCTACAGATTAGAGCTTCTATGATAAAAAGAACTAATTAATTCTTACAGCCTGTTTAAAGGAAAAATTCATATTTAGCATAAATTCATTATCTTTACTGTATTCTTACGGATCTTATTTGTCATAATTTTATTGCATATTATAGTCTAGGTATAAAACAAGAAGATATAGATAAAGGTGAAAGAGGTATTAGATTAGAAGCTATACACATGAGAGGTACAGATAACATGAATACACAAGATATATTTCAGTATTTTAGTGAGTTTGGACCAGGTCGTATTGAATGGATAGATGATTCTTCATGTAAGTTATATTAAGCTTTCAAACAAGTTTTTATACATGTGTACTAGATATAAAATAATAAAAATAAAATGTCCAAGGCACTTTGGCATTTCTCCATGGCCAGAAAGTATTTGCATTTGCAATATATAAAAGTATAAACTTGAATACTAACTACTGTGTTTGTTTACCAGGTAATGTTGTATGGTTTGATCCTATGACTGCTGCAAGAGCTCTATCAACATTAAGTAAAGATTATGATTCAGTAAATGGTATAGAAAAACCTGATAGATCTACAGACCAAATCAAATCACCAGGTAAGCCAAATGACCATAGGCTTAAAATTATTATTGAAGGTAATTTAGGCCATATGCAAACTTGAGCCAATTAAGGATTGTCGGTTGAGTGTTTTCTCAGCTAGTTATTACATTAGGTTTTATTAACAATTTGACTGACTATCTGATTTCAAGAACTAAGATATTTCATGAGCAGATTATTACCTGTTTATTTCAGTTTCAAATGAAGTATCAAAAGAAACCTCCAAGGCCTCTGTTGAAGAAGGTAGGTGTAGTTCTTAAGATCTTGAGACTTTATCTAGAATACTACTGCTACTAACATTAGATGTATGATAAAAAATCAACTGCAGAATCATTTGATTAAAACTGTTTTGTGAAGTGGAGAAATAATATATAGCCCCTAGTATTCTATTTCTCCAAAAATGTTATGGTTGAATTTTCATTCATTAGAAATATTAAGATTTTTTGGTTGGGAGTGCGGGGAAATTTGATTTGTTACAATGATTATATTGGATGACAATCATTGTAGTAGACAAAACAGCTGAAGATAGCACTTCCACATCAGATAAAAATAGCAAATCACAGACAACAGACAAATTATCACTAGAGGAAGACATGGTTGTTGATGATGTATTAGATCTAAATGCTGACTCAGATGATGATACTGATGATAAGACAAATAAAGCTGCTGACGACAAACATACCACTGTAGAAAACAAGAAAACTGAAGAAGTGACTGATGATAAGCAAACGGAAGAGGACAAAGATGCAGACATGGACACAACTGAAGAGAAAGAAAATCATAGGTTAAAAAAGGACAAGAGACGTGACCAGACCAGAGATAAAAAGATTATATGGCCACCTGGTAGATGGAGACTCGGTCAATCTACTCCTAAGGCTGATTTTATTTTCCTCAGATATGCTACTAAAGGTATAAAGTCTATATTTTTGTGATGTTAATATAATGTCAAATTGAAAAAAAAAAACAGATAACCACATTTATAGATTTAACAAATTAGGTTCTGAAAGATACTGCTTATCAGCTGGTCTTTGGTTGAATCTATTGGATTATTCAGGCCAATTTACATTATTTTACTGGAATAATGTCTGTTTTTCTTGTTCTGAAAACTGAACCATTTAATTATTATTATTATTCCAGCTGATAAGAAGGTATTGGGTGCTGAACAGAAAAGTAAATATTATATGAAACATGGTAATCCCAATTATGGAGGTAGGATAATTTCTTTCCTATTGTAAAATTTTGTTTTTTCCAGTGAAGCCCACACTGCTTTCATGGGATGAATGGTTACTGATTTTGTAATGTTGATCAACAATTTTCATGTGAAATATTTGCTAAATCTAGCTTGATTGTATATAGAAAAATGCCCATAAAATCAAATTCAAATCAACAGGGAACTCAATTCAGAAAAAATGAATAAAACAATAAATGTGCTTTAGAATTTAAATGTCTATTATTGTCTTTCATATTTACCTTTATATGATGACTTCATGTGATATGAAATCTTAATTTGTCATTTATATATTCCAGGACAGAAAGGGTTAATTAGTGGATCAAGGTGAGAAATATTAATATTTAATTATTTAGGATCATCTTATATCTAGGTGGTATGTGAAAAAAACTCTTGCTATTCTCAAATTTAAACATAGGCATTTGGATAGATTCATTATTTCAATGAAAAATACATTTTTGTACGAATTTTCTATATTGTATTTGTTTTATTGTAGAAAAAGAAAAATTCGAGCAAAAAAACACTATGAAGAATATGAAAAAGTAAAGAATGCTAAACCTAAAGGCTTTGATGAAGAATCTGATTCTGATGTAGAAGTTGTTGATAAACCTAAAGAATTATTTACAGAGAAAAATAAACCAAGAGAAACAGGTAAGGCTACATTTGATATTTTGTATGCACTACATGAGCCAGTTTTTACAACTAATGTTATTGTCACATGTTACATAACAGAAGTTGACAACAAACCAAATTAGACCCTCTGATTCATATTAAGGTTGTATCCAGACTTTTTAAAGTGATGGGTCAATTTCAAGGCCTTCTCACTAATCTCAGACAGCAATGTGATATAATGATCTCAACCCTGAACATTGACTGAGAATAAAATAAGACATCATATTCCCTGAATTCCAAGTAATATGAATTAAAGTGTATGATGTAGCGTCACATGATAACAGCTGATTCTCCAGCAGCTTCACCATCAGCTTGGATATATATCATATAATGTATGGCTGGTACAGCAGCTGCTAGAGTTGAAAGGGTTAACTCTATATGAAAGATGTCTGTTACACTATGACCATTTCTTTCAGCTTCCCTACCATCAACAGATGATATAGATAATCTAGATATGGAGGCTGAATTACAGCAGTTATTAGGTCCACCAGTAAAAAAACGATCTATGAGAATGTATGCTGATGATATAGAAGACGCACAAAAAGTTTCATCAAGGTACCGGTTTTTACTTATAATCTAATTTAATATATTCTTTTCACTTATTCTCCTGACATGCCTATTCAAACGTAAAACTGTTTTACGCAAGGCCAGCAATGAGCAAACTTTCAAAAGCATTGGCTGTAGCAATTAGAATTTTTCTCACTAAGAGGAAGATTCAAACCAAATGCATTAGGTACATACCAAAGTGAAACGTTGCAGAATTTCCACCAATGATCAAAGATTTTACAGGACAAAACATTGTATTGATTGAATCAGATATGAGATTAGCATTAGAATGAGCTCTCTGTCGTATATTTATGTTCTTGACTCTTTGCTCCCATTCTTGTACTTTACTCATACATTTGAAGTGCAATTTAGTCATACGGTTTATTTTTTCAGATCTCGACTCTCTACTGGTGGGTTGACTATAGTAGCTGATGGTAGAACTGGTATAGAATCTAGACTAGGACCAGAAGTAAACAGTGATACTCGAGATGCCAGGTTTAAGATTACTGATGCTCGTGATAGACTCTCTGGTGCTAATCATAGACGGAGTTATTCCCCTTATAATCACTCCCGTTCTGATCTCCGTTCCAAACTGAAAAATAGACAATCAGATTCTACAGATAATCTGGCAGACATTAAGATAGAAATATTTGAATAGCCTTTTATTATTTTATTATCAAGAGTAATGCCAAGCCTTCATCTATATTTTATACAAACATAGAGTGGCATCAGGTATTTTTAAATCTATTCAGTTTTTGGTTCAGAATTTGATTCATTTTATATGGACCTCTGAAATTTTTACAGTGTTGATAAGCTGGTCACAACTCTTACCCTACCCAGTTGCTTAGATGTAATATACAGATGTGATATTGTCACTGTATAGGGCTAGGCATCAAATTTACTAGAACTGGGTAGGGCCAGAGTGACCCCAAATCTCATAGACTGAAAACATAAACACCCCCATTTTAACAATTGAGCTCCTCCAATCAGACATGTAATGTTTCATTTTGATCGGAAGTATGCCTGTGTGGGTGAGTACAATGAATCGTCAAGGGGTGTCTACTAGATGCTTGGCATTGTTTTTAAGAATTGAGAGTGGATGAATATTTAAGCTGAAAGTATGAGATAAGATTGTAAGGTAGTATGAGAGTGTGCTATTTGTTAGAGTAAATGCTTTTTTACTGCCAGATAGTTCTTGTGTTTATTATTTTATAGAACATAGGGAACTTTCTCTTTTATAAGCAATTTGAAGTAAATTTTTTAAAATAATAATCACATGGAGGAAAGAAAAGCCTCCTTGTACTCTTGCGCCATTTGGGGGTTGATTCCCGTTCCTGAGACTAAAGTATGATTGGTTCAAAAAATGGGGCACTTTTCCCTTTAAGTATGATCCTTAAATGATAAGCTGGATGTGAGAGGACCAATGACTTTGTAATTTGAATTCTCATTATTCATGAACATTGTATTTAAGGCAAAGTATGTGTGAAGTGATTTTGATATGACAAGTACTTTTTAAGCCATTTTTATTAACGTTTTTTAACCTAATGAATTATTTTTAATGACCAATTTGTTAAATAATTTGTTTGTTGAGAATAAAGGGACATTTCTTTTATTTATAATTTGTCATTTTGAAAAAAAAAAATATTTTCAAATATATATTTTCTTTTTGTTATTTATGTAGATCAAATGGCCAAAATAAAAGCATCAGATTGACCCTATTGTGCTACTGGCTGTGCATGTTAAACCTTTGGGCCTGCCCAGTTGGAATTCGAAATCTAAAACCAGTCACAGAGTGGAATAAGGTGATCTGATGCCAGAAGTAAATGTTTCTGTATAATTTTGAGTATAGTGTGCATGTATAATGGGAGCCCATTCTTACTATTGAGTGTATCTTGAAAAAAATATCTGTCACTGTTCATAAAATCAGCAAGTTGGCACATCATAGACCCCAAGGTAACTTTCATTTCTTGTCTCTTTTAATTTACTATTTTACCATTGTAAAAGAATAAATGAAACACTTGCCCTTTTTGTTAAGCATTATTTATTTCAAATTTTATATCAAAATAAATTTCAACATTATGTTCTGAAGTAAAATGATATATAACAGATGATAATAGTACTTAGACCATACAAAATAAATAGTCTGTCTTACAGGCCTTTTTTTTCAAAAATCGAGGCGAGAGGGTGAATCTATTATTCATTGTTTATATACACTTTTTTACATTTTCAACTGGAATAAATTGTAGTGAGAGAAAGCATTTATTATTTATTACCACAAATTTGATGTTAATTTAATATTAAGGCAACAATAAGGCATTTTTAGGCCTGTAAAACAGACTATTTATTTTGTATGGCCTTGTGGTTAGCATTAGTAGGTTACTTTCTATTAAAATCTTGATCATCTTTGCCATTCTAATCTAATAAAAACAAAAAATAACATTTGTCACTCCATTTGGCAAGAAATTTTTATTTCCATCCATAAGTTTCACTGAATATCACAGACTTTTTATACACTAAATAACTTGACCATAGCACCATCTATAATCTTTGTTTCATCACATTCTTTTTGTCTCTGAGGGACCACTGGCCTTTATAGTCATTTATTTATGACACATTTTTTTTTTAATAATAGCACATTTTAGCACTTATAACTCTGGTCATTGTCACTGAATGCAACCGTCTCACTGTCTAGACATGAATGACAATTTCTTCTCTGCAAGATATCATAATCAGTTTGTCGTAATAATTCTAATTTCTGGATCTCCTGATCCAATATCAGGTGTCAACTAAGGAAATTATCCTTAAATCACTAAAACAACGCTAAATACAGTTTTATCACAGAACATGTAACCCAATTACCTGCTAGAATTAAAAGTAGCCTAGGCTTAATATAGAAATGAAATGAAGGTTTACGTCCTATTTTCTGCACCTATTTGTCCCTAATGAGACCTGGCATCACTATGCAGTGTGCAATGAGGACAGGACAGCTGCATAGCATACGTCATTCTATTTCCAACTGTAGAGGGATCTTTGACGCACATCTAAACACTGGTCAGTCCCACCTGTGTTATCCTGACCTATGATGAGATTGAAACCTGGACCTTCAGTGTAGCTAGCAAGCGTCTAACTCACTGATGCACCACAGCCCTTAGAAATGAAAGAAGCCACATAATGCTGAGTATTTGATTTTATCAGTCCGTTCTCTCTGATTATTTATAACACGAAGTCTTTCACTGACAAAATATTTAGCCACTTTATCACGAGGTTGTCTTTCTGTTAATACCTGAAAATACAGAAATTATTTAAGATTATTCTCTGTATCTCAACATCAGATAGGCATTATAAGCTTACTCTTTTTCACTTTCAAATTGTCAAGGGATCTTTAAGGTGAAAAGCCTGTAGCATACTTGCACTTGGTTTATTGTCCCCTCTGAACAACAAAATGCTTTTTCCATGTTAGCCTCTCCTACCTACCTACTCCTACCCCCATGTACTATATAGTACATGTATTATTATGTAATGGAGTATTTTCTAGGAAAGATGTGTCATTCAATTGTCCTTACCTGGAATGGACCATGTTTTTCTAGTTTAGGTCTTTTTAAAGGTAATATAATAGCTTGTAAGGAATCTACAGTAAGATTATCTGTAAGTTTATGCAGTGTATCTAAATGTATGGCAAATTCACCAGCAAAATCATCAGCAGTTAGTTGATCAAAATCATAAACAGAAAATAACAATACAGCTCCTTTCTTCTTTAGATAATATTGTGGTATTGACGTACTGAAGAATAAAACAATTTCAAAGATCAATATATATATTACATAACAATCAGATCAATCCAATTTCAAACTTCAGAGTACAGAGTATTCTGACTGAAAATCTGAATGATGCAAATCAATGCTCTTATGTTTTAGCAAAGTTTTAGAAAATCTCTTTACAATCTCTTGGATAGATTAGTATCTGGAAGTTGCTCTTTAAAACATAAGTTTATGTTCCAAAGCAACTTACAAATATTAGAAATTACCAAAGGCAAATACTTACAATACAAAATCTGTATTAAAAGTTGGATCTAATGTTTTATAAATAACTGGTGTACGTTTAGTTTTCTGAGAACCAGCTAATATATGTGGTCGTATATTTATAGTAACATAAGGATCACTGAAACCAGTTGGATCTAAACCTGGCAATCCAGCAGCTCTTAATACTGAAATTACAAAAATAAACAAAATGTTCTCATGTTTGTTAAAATCTACTAAAAAATCAGAACAACAATCATTGGTTTTTCACTGTATTCATAGTATTACATACATAACAAATGATGGTGTTTTTTATCACTTTTTTCAAAACGTTAAAGTGCACAGACAAATAGTATTATCAGGTATTATTCTTATAGGCCTACATTTTCTACCAAAACAATGTTTTTGATTGGTTAATAATTACCTTTAATATGAATAGCAACATTATTTCTTGTCTCTTCTTCATATGCAACTTTTACTGCTAAACTTCCTAAAAAATCTGTTGGTGTTTGCTGTAGTAAGAAAAATATTATGTTATTTTAATAACTTCTGGTTTTATTTTGAGTTTTTGAGTAGAGAGCTTATCCTCAATAATTAGCATAGACTGTGTCCTTTAGATCATAGAATTATCTTCATGTCATCTTCCTTTAGTTTTCAACATTCAAATTATCTCCCTTTAATCTTCAACATTCAAATTATCCCCCTTTTAGTCTTCAACATTCAAATTATCTCCCTTTAGTCTTCAACATACAAATTATCTCCCTTTAGACTTCAACATTCATATTATGCCCCCCCCCCCCCCCCTCCTCCCCCTTTTAGTTTTCAACATTCAAATTATCTCCCTTTAATCTTCAACATTTAAATTATCCCCCTTTTAGTCTTCAACATTCAAATTATCTAACTTTAGTCTTCAACATTCAAATTATCCCCTTTAGTCTTCAACATACATATTATGACCCCTCCCCCCTTTTAGTCTTAAACATTCAAATTATCTCCCTTTAGTCTTCAACATTCAAATTAACCCCCTTTAGAGTGCCCTATTTTGCATGCTAACTTTTGAAGTTTAGAGAAGAGAGGCCAGAATGAAGCGACAAAAATCCTATCATATATTTAAAAAAGGTTTAAACTCACCACACTTTGAGCGAGGTTATCAAAATAAGACAACATAAGATCTTCTGATGTCATAGAGTTTAATTCTAATCTCTCCATAACTTGTTTATATTGCCCTCTCTTTACTGTACATTCTGACATCCCACAGTCAATGAAGAAGGCTGATAATGATTTAAAATGCTGCAAAAACGAAAACAAAATATAGTGTATGAAACATCAAAACAAGTTACTATAAAGTTTTGAAATTCAAATTTATGTCCTTGAATTTTCTCGTGTTCAAATGATCTCCCTTTAGTCTTCAAATTGTTAAATTATCTCCCTTCAGTCTCCATCATATTTAAGCAACGTACATCTAATTCTAGCCCCTTCAAAGTGAATTGATAAGTTTTCAACAAACAAAATCAAATTAAACTGTACGTACCATTTTCATATTTTCATAGTATTCATGGGATTCCTGTGAAGAGAAAATATAGTTATTGTAACCTGAACATTATCAATTTAATTCTAACTAATTTTACCATGACAAAATTCTATCCTTCAGCAGCACCACTGAACATAAGTTACTTGGTGACCAGAAAAGTGGCCCAAGTATAACATAATTTATGGATCCCAAAATAAGATACATATATAGTATATAGTAATATGTAATATTATCCAATACTTTTAAATAATAATCATGTATTAAAAGTATATTGTATCATATTTACCCCCACTAATAACTGGTGATCAAATATCATTAAAACTACGTTCCATAGATCTTCTAACATTTGAGGATAAATAGAGGTCATCAGTCGAGTATTCAGTGTTTCCAAGTTAGTTGATAAATAAAATAATGTTTCATCTATTGACTGAAAAGAATCAGTTTTACTTAAATAAGCAATTATTGAAATATATTGTTTAGCATCAGCACTAGAATGGTCCTATGTTGCAATTTGATATTGCCTCTATCATCCATTTCTACCATCTCTACACACAGGCAGAAGTCACGAGAAGTCTGAATGTCCAGCCTAATATAATGAAACGAGTATTATTGTGTTTAGATACAAAAAGCCAACAAAATCAGATAAAATTTGCAATAGAATTAGTAACGTTTGTTCAAATTCATTTGCTTTCCAGATTAACACGATCAGGATGTGGTCTGAGTGGTCCAAGGGACACAACTCTATATTTGGAACTCTTCATATAAGAAGGTTAAGAAATGAGCGGGAGGTCAAGACGATACGACCGCACGATTTACATGATGTCTATTCTTTTTATTACTATAATAAACTGTTGTCCTTCTTATCACTTCATCTCTGATGTTAAACCCTGAGAACCCACGACACAACATATAGGAATACTGACAACTTGAGTACATACATATAGATATATAATGAAAATGTCATCATATTAAGAAAAACATAAACTTACTGATGGTTTTTCTGGTTGTTTTCTCAAATTCTTCATACTTTGTTCTATATTCACTTTCATTTTATTTCCAATTTCCCGTAATAAATATTTACTTTTTAATGATATATCACATTGTGTTGTAGAAATAAGTCTTTTCAATGTTTTTAAACTTTGCTTTCCTATTAATGGATTTTCATGTTTTAATGATAACGATTCCGCTACTGAATGCCAGTTTAATAATTCTGGTAATTCATGTAGATATTGTCTTACATGTTCTATATTATTTAATGTTATACACAGCTGAAATATAAATATGTTGTTTATGTAAATTGCATTAATAAATAACTTGATATTGTATTTAGATATAGACAACCGATATATACACACCAATTTTGAATTTAAGAAAGAACTAAAAGATATACATTTTGTCTACAGAAATACAAAAATATCAAAACCAGGACTAGAAACATGTGTTGACTCAGTTTAACGCTGTAAGACAGTTAAATGGTATTGAATGATATACACAAGACTAAAAGACTATTTATCAACTGATTATTCGCTATGCTACACATTTCAAATTATCAGCGAACTTTTGACATTTAAATTATAATCAATGTAATATTAAAATTCAATAATGTCCAAAATTTATAGTAATTTATATAAGTTATATGCGTATATCTACTGGGATATGAACCAATTGATGACATTAATATATAAATCAGTCGAATAAGTGACCTTTATAGTTGAGTATCAAATATCAAGGTAACCTACCCTGTCAGTCACATCAAACTGTTCTTGTTGATCATCATAATAACAATTTCTCTCTAATAAACGATGGATTTTATCAGCGTACATTCCAGCTCCTTCACAAATCATCTAGATAATAATTGAAGATTAAATTGGTATTTTTGAATATAAATAAAAAGAATGTAATATAAAAAAGTTTTGGTGCTTAAATAATTGCCACTAAGCACACATTTTTAAACAAACGATTGGAACTTGTTTCAAATGCAGACACAAGAAAAGATACTACTTCAGTAGGAACGCAGGCTCAAAACTTTGAGTAACAACATGTTACTATGTTTCTATATCACTCTACAATTGATGTATTTAACACTTTTTAAACAGTGATGACATCTTGTATATGATATAACATATATATTAACTTACGTCAGTTATCTTTGTGACAGCCATCATAGCTAAATCTGGCATCTGAAAATCTATCTGATTCCATTCCTCTGTTATCTGAAAATGGAATTTTAAATAGGACATTTATATACAGTATTCTTAACATGTAATATATGTAAATACTTCACATGCTAGTATATTTCGAGAACAACATTTTAATCATAACGGAAAAGAAAAACCAATCAACAATAAAACTATGATAATCCAAATAAAGGTTTTTTCTTACCTTAGCAAAACAGGATAATGTGTCAACAGATGAATTTGAAAATTTCACTAATGATGTCACTAGCACAACCTAAAATTGTGAATTTTAATGCATTGTATCTAACATCTTGATTTTGTGTTAAACTTTTGACGTATTATCCAAATAAGAAATAAATTGCTTTAACAATATTAAAAATTCGAATCAGTAGGCTAATCTTATAAAATTCAATTCATATTTATTTAACTTTATCTAGGGCATGGCATAGCCGTGTTACTTGATTACTACTACATTCTGATTCAATATGATCACGAATTAAAAGAAACATTGGTGAATGAAATTGAAAAAGGTTGGGCAATATGTAAATTTAATATGACTATCTAAGATAAACTTGTATCGTCCAATCAATACTTACATCTTTGTCAATTTCTAGTGCTTTCTCCACTCTAGCCATACATTCTGTTTTAAATGTTTGTAACCAAAATATTAAACTATTCTCAAACCATGTTTGATAGTGACTAAATGATATTCGGAATAAATCTCTGAAATAAAAAGAAAACTGAAATTATACAAGGTTCTTGCCAGTTGTAAGTCAGTTGCACTTACACTTATCTGCAAGACATGATATAATATAACAGGCGACAAAAAATGCCTTTAATTTTGCATATGTGCTCATCCAATCATACATATACAGTTTAATACTGATAGAAAGTAATCATGTGTGGAAGAGTTCACAAAATGTTGAGGGGTGTCAAATATATGATTAGCACACTAATTTCAGTCCTGCTTATCTTTAGACAATTGTAATATAAAGGTTTTACATAAAGATGAACAGTGTCACGAGGTAAGCTGCATTGAAATAGACAAAATACAACAATAAGTCAACATTTCACAAATACTAAGAGTGGATATTCAATTGGCAAATTAATTGTTTTCTTACCTTTGTTTCAAATATTCTTTCACAACATCATAATATTTTCTAACAGCGAAATACAACTGTAGTGTAATGCGACTAGAAAAAGTGATATTTTCTGGATAATAATGGTATTTATTTTGATATTTATCCATTTCATACATCTGATGGCGTAATTCCTTCACCAACTGAAACATAACACTGGATATTAGAATCCTTCATAATAATATATTACCATTCAAGTCGCCTTAAATTGAGTTAGCCTAAGTTTAAGAGTAATCATGTAAGGCACTACAGTCTTACATTGACATAAAACAATGCTATTATACTAGTAGAAAGACAAAATGAAAATGGCAGTACAGATCTTTACCATCCCTTTAAATTACTACTTTATACAGTAGAAGTGTAGAATTACAATTCCTATAACATTTTAAAAAATGACTGGCAACTATGTATATTCTCTTATATTCTTTTAAGAAATGAAGGAAACAAAACTCACCAAATTTTCTGTTATCAATATAACTATTCTGTAATATTTGATATTAAATGAGTTATAAAATTTGGTTATAACGCCGAGTTGAGTACAGTGTGATGTAAGATTATTTACAACTTCTGTTAACGTTGTACATTCTGTTATTACAGGATCTTTAATGAACTCATGTTCTGATACTGACGATAGATTAATACTTAACCATTCCTTAATATCGTCCTGAAATTATAACACATTACCAATTAATATACTATACATCTTCGGTTAACAAATACAATTCTAGGAATTTAAGTGGTTCCATGATAAAAAAAATTGTGTTGAGTGCAACAAAAGAAAAAAAAATTGAGGAAGGCGTCTGGGAGCCTCAGAAGAAAACAGTCTTTTCCGTACACATCACGTACACATTTCTTAAACATAAACTATTACCTGTAATTTTCTAGTTAATCTCTCTGTCAATTCTTCCCCTGGACAAATTGTTGAATCCCATAAATCCATTTCTAACAAATCAACAACAATCCTGTAAATAAGAAAATAGATGGTTACTATCCATGGGATTTTCCAGTAATTTTGATAAGCAAAAAAAGGTGAAAGCGAAAGATTTTGTCTTGAATTTTTTAAATGTCTTCCTACGATTTGTCAACAAAGCTACCAAAATGTCCTCTACGCTAATGCAAAAGATAGCTCAACATGTCTAAAGCTGTTATCTCGTTAGATTTTCATTATGGTTATTGGCAGTTACGTTGATTTCGTTTATAATTATATAATTAAATACCCCAATTTTTACATGCTATTTTATGCGATATCCAAGCAATTCCTTTCTTCAAACTAAGTAACAATTTTTGTGTACATTTATATGTTTTAATGTACTTACCCTAATTTTGATTTCAAGATAGCTAGATGTTCTGTTGAAGGTGGGAAGAGACAAGGCAATTTATCTAATCTTTCACTGATAGCTGCTATATAATTTCTAGTTGCCGTTCTATATACACAGATCTATAATGAAATAAAATATCAAATTCATTAAATATCAATGTATTGTAGTAAAATAAAATATGGATGGCGAACAATAACATCTCTGACTATTCTTCAATAGTTTTATTTTAGTGCAAAAGCTTTTATTCGTGTCTTGTACGCCAACTGGTTTGGCTAAAATTCCATTTCCGTTTAATTATCTTCTTGTTCTTACATAACGGTTTTGTAACTTGACTTTCCCAGACAAGAAATCATAAGTCAAAATAGAATACTGTAATATTACTGACAAATTTAGCTCAATGAATAGTGAATATTTACCTCGGCATCGCTTAATGGCATCCTTTCAGCAAAAGCTTCATCACCAACTTGTTTAGCCATCCAGGTCATCTGAACATTGGTCAATGCTTTATGTAAGACACTGTCACTTATCGATTCATAATCACTACCACTGGCTAATTCTAATAAGACAGTAAGGTCCCTAAAATGTATGTAGAATCAATGCAACATTTAAGCTAGTTTGTTAGATTCGTAGTGACTTGGTAAAATACTTATTACTATTATTCGGCTCTATCAGCAAGACGTTATCAATCTTAGTAGAATATTAAACTTCATTATTTATGATAATGTGGTGTAAATTGAACAGGTCGAAATGTCAGTTCAGCAAAATGTGACAATACCATCATTAAGTATAAATCGCCAACTTACATGATAGACTGAGAAAGTGTTGAGATTCTATTAGCACTACCAAATATATCCAATATTTTACGACTTTTCTCTGGTAGACTCACTTCTCTTTTACCTTCCGACTAACAAAATAATATAAAAAAATATATACATAATAATCAACATCTAGAATGTATTTTTCTTCACAAAAATGAACGTTATGTGGCCATTCTGGCCTAGAAGGACATGTTATGTCGCACAAGTCATGTATAGTATACCTAAAGACTGTAAAGAATGAAAATTTTCAAATGATGTACAATCTCTTCTCGAAAAATTGCCCATTAAGGAATCAGCCTTTGATTTACACGTTGAAACTACATTTAATCATAAAAAAAACATGATATGTCAGGTCGTCAAAGGACTAGTTGGACGTGTTGAAGCAAATGAAGTATTGAAGTTTTACATTATGCTTTCTGTCGCTGATTGGGCAAAGAACCAGAGTCAAGAGAATAGAAACTAACCTGAACGTTTTGTAAACAGAATCTATGAAGTTGTGATGAAACTAGATGATAATCTTCAGCTGAGAATAATGACATATATTGACTTCCCTAAAATATAAACAATCGTTGTACACTTTTAATAAAATACATCTTTTTACAACCTACGTTTCTACTTTTCTTGGTGCAAAACATCGCTGTGCACTATAGATGTTAATCTTTCTGAAATGAAATTACCATCGGGCTTTTCTGGATTCATTTTTCTGAAAGGCTGGAGTGCTTGTAATGTTATCAAATGGGAAACTCCTTCTGAATCGACAACCATGGTGACCTATCAGTCCAGCATCTAGCTGTGTCATTGCTTTATTCAAGGTAACAAAAATGTCAAAGCGCACTAGTGTTTAAAAAATAAATTTTGATACACCCAAATTAAAACGCACCTGTACATGTGATAAAGAGAGTTGAAGATGACATTTACCAACTTGTTGTGATTTATCACCACTTACTGGGTAAAAATTAAACCAATCATCAATACCTTGTACAGGGATATCCTATAATAACATGTCAAGAGTCATCAACATAAAAATTGCAAAGCTGATATTATGAGAATAATACGTGACATTGTTTACATCACTATAGGATACACATGAAATGAGATTTTACTTTCTACTTTTACGGCTAAGGAGTGCATTGTGCAGCGAAGCCCATTTTGCCAGGACAGTGGAATTAGCCTTTTCTTTTTTGATTTCCAACTGTTGAGGCATCAAAGGATATAGAATAGTAGAATATATATGTTTTACATTTGAAGGCTAAAATGAAATTACAATAGTATAAATCTAAGTAAAGATCTATGACAACACAATGTGCATCTTTGTTCTTGGCTTCTTATCAAGCAAGACTATTAATACCTCAAAACTCACCCTTATTGGAATTATAACGTGGCCACCATTCACATCTAATATCTTATCTGTATCATTTCGTTTGAATAACCTTCAAATACAAAATAATAACAATTACTACTTGGACTGATATCAAAAACAATTTATCCCTTAAGTTTTTGTGATTAGTGCAATAAAAACTTGGCGATATCTTCATACAGTTCTCTGAAAACAGTGTGTCTAACAGTAAAATGTTATGTATTTTGATATAACACCTTTGCTGAATTTGGTATACAGAGTGGGTAATGGCAATTACATATTTTACAGTGATATTTAGTATATTAGTGTCGTGTTTTCAAAATTACAAATATGAAGGCTCTTTATAACAATTAACATCATCTTACCCTTTCAGTTTTTTGGTCTTTTCAGATTTTTCACTGACTGTTTCCTGTGTAAAAATATAGACTTGTAATTCATCTGTTAGCATTTCTGATATTTTACTGAAAGTAAGAGTTGTGTTATAAATTATAATATTTCATTTACAACGAAAATTATCAATGAAACTGGGTTATTTCCCTTAGGCTTCTGGAAAGGTGCATCTTAAAACGGATTGTACAGAGGTAAATGTGCATCGGGGGACAGTCAGACGTCTATGGTTCCTGCCCTTTAAACTAAACATTTCATAATGTCACTATCGCAAATCTGCTTATATCATACCATTTGCAATAGTGACGTCAAAAAACGTGGAATTGCAGGAACCACAGACGCCTGATTGAAAATTGGAATGGCGCTAATCGATATAATAACAGTGTACCCAATACACATAATCCCTTTAATTACATGTGCCGACATGAACGCCCAAAATCTGAAGTAAAGATTCCTGTGTATCAACTAAAATTGAGTAATTTAATTCTATAGATTCTAAAGACAGGAAGGTATATTGATCTAGTATAATATCTCTTACATGTGAAACTCTTCATTCCAGTACAAGGGTTGATCACTGGATGCTACAGTTTGAGTTTTCATTACTTTATCTCGATCTCTCCATGGTGATGCATTTGATGATCTAACTGGACTTAGTTTACCAAGTGGAATCTTAGGACTTGTTTTAGGTGATGTTTTGGGTGAGGGTTTCGGTGAATTTTTCGGAGATGAACGAGCAGATCTACATAAACTTGAGCTGCTTCTATTGCTCTTTTTTAATGCTGATGTTAGTTGTAGTAAACAATAGGCTTTATAATCTGAAATATGGAAATAAATAAAAATAATTATTAGTTTGTTTCATATTCGACAGTACTTTTTTCAGAAACATTGGCTGGTAAATTATGAAAAGTTATTTCTAAATTTTGTTGAAATTGAGAAACAATGCCAAGCTAGGACAAATGAATGAAGACCTGCAAGTTTGTTGTATAGTTTAAACTCTTTTGTTCTGAAACATTGGAAAAGATCAAAAGTGAATTCAATAATCTTAACAGTGGATATCTTGAATCAATGCGACTATTCAACATGTGGTCCAACGAGAAATACATGATGGTGCTTACCTTTTTGTTGCCTTTGAATTTCCAGATCCTTCGCTTCCACCACTCTAACTCCCAGTAATAGCTGACGTGGCTGAAAACAATTATCAAAGTGTACGAATTCAGAATTTTGTAACTGCAATTTGGTTAGCAATAGCTTATATCAATAGTTAATATCAATAGCTAATATCAATAGATGATATTAATAGCTAATATCAATAGCTTATATTAATAGCTAATATCAATAGCTGATATTAATAGCAGATATTAATAGCTAATATCAATAGCTAATATTAATAGCTAATATCAATAGCTGATATTAATAGCAGATATTAATAGCTAATATCAATAGCTAATATTAAATAGCTAATATTAATAGTTAATATTAATAGCTAATATCAATAGCTGATATTAAATAGCTGATATTAATAGCTAATATCAATAGCTGATATTAATAGCTGATATCAATAGCTAATATCAATAGCTAATATTCATTTAATTTCTAATATACATGGGAAATGCTTTAAATACATTTCAATACCAAATTGAAGAATGATCAAGAGTACTAATTAACTGCTAAAACGTAAAACGATATCTAGATCATATTTACTTTATTTCGGATTTCATCTCGTAAAAATCGTTCATGGTCATCTCGTTCCACTTCAAAAACCTGCAAACAAATACAGGGCAAAGTGTTTATTCATGACGTATATGATTAACTGATAAAGTTGCATAGGTACATCTTTTATGCAAAATCGTTGAACCATTGAGTTATTTTAGTGTAATCAATACATAATAAATGTGATCGATGGGAACACCCTTCGTACCTGGGTAACAAAAAGTTATAGTTTAATGAATTGTTTGCACACCCACATCTACATGCAAAAGATAATCGACAATCCTTGGCAACATCTGTAAAGCTGAATCAGTCAAAGAGCGCCAGAGGAACTTTCAGCATTGCAAAAGACATATGAGTATTTCTATTATTACAGGAACCATAAACATCTTACTATAAATTGGGATAGTGCAAATAAAAACCATAAATGGCGCCCAAACCTAGGGAGGCACTAGCCCCAGAAAAAAATACAAAATTTGACAAAATATACTCTACCAAGGGCAATAATAAATGTACTACAGAATGGAAATCTTCAAATCTTCTATGAACAGACATCTAATTGAATTACAGAGGGGTCTCAGCCTGCAGTAGATTTCCAAACAATTCCCGGGGGGGGCCCCAACCCAGGTAGATTCATGGATTCCCCACACCGAAGATCAAAATGGGAATAAATGGAACTTACCTCTTGTATATGATCAATCAGATCTCCAGGACGAACACCAATATGATGATCTGGTGCTCCTAGTGGGTGTAATAATGTCCTTAATATACCTCGATAAATTTCTTCATGCTGGAAAACAATACAACAACTTATCATTTTGATTTGACATTACAGATATGGATCTATAAACAAGATATTCTCTAGAATGAAGATTTGATCCTCTGGTGGACAAACTTCTCCAATAGAATTTTAATTTCGAAGTATATGCAAATTGAGAACGGATGTAAGTTAAGTTTTCATCTAAAAAAGGATGTATATACTCGATTCCCAACGGAAAGGTCGATACGTAAACTATTACATTAGCAGTACATGTACATTCTTAGTTGACAACCATGATTTACTCGATGCGCTCTAGATGGTATACCCTACGTTGATCTCGAAACAAATCCACAAGCTAACAAGATTAAATCATAACACTCAGTTAAAACCATAACACCATTACACAGAATTACAAAGAAACGAACCACAGTTATTAAAGAATTATCGTTAATAATATCCATGCTCATGAAATCACCTATATCAAATGACATACTAGTATTAATAAGATGTATTTTTTATGTAATAGACTTTATCGTGTTCCTATTTTATAATATCAATATTTACAAAGGGGGTCTAAAAACCCTGTTGAAAAGATGACTTGATAACTTGACATAGCCCATATTTAAAGCGGGCTGTGGGTCAATACTATACATCAGTACGTTAACGTCAAAACTATAACGTCCTTTCAGTATATTTGTCAATTTTTAGATTACTTTTAACCAATAAGATACCATAAATTAGAATCTCAATGTCTATCCATCCCGTCTATCAGGATGCAACAGTAAACTGAGATCCCTCGTGCTACAGACTGTACAAGTAGATAATTCCTCCACCGTTGGGTGCCCCCACAAAGGGATGTCTTTGTCGTGAAAAATGACCATTAGGGAAAATATGTTGAAGATTTATACCTTTAGATATCTGCATGGTAACATAAGTTACAATTCAACATAATTCTTATTTTAAAGTTATGTTTAAAATATAGGCGATGTTTTTATTACATGACATGCTTTGAATTACTATCATAAGGACATTACTTTTAAAGAAAGTATTTTTTCTATTTATAACAAGATAACATACCATAACTATTTACAATCCTATATTTTGAACCAAGGGTCAAGTATCTATTTGTATATAATAACAAAAGACAAAGCATAAGGCTATCATTAACTTATTTCATAGTACCTTTATCATTGTATTATTGAATGTGTGTCATACTATAGCATTATTGAATGTAACATTGAATAAGAACATGAAAACAATAACATAATTGAATGTTACTTTAAGTTATATCATTATTGATTGTTACTTTATATTATAACATTATTGATTGTTACTTTACTTTATAACATTTATATGATACTTCACTTTATAACATTATTGAATGTTCCTTCACATTATAACATTAGTGAATGTTACTTCACATTATAACATTGAATGTTACTTCACATTATAAAATTAGTGAATGTTACTTCACATTATAACATCATTGAATGTTACCTCACATTATAACATTTATATGCTACTTCACTTTATAACATTATTGAATGTTACTTCATAATATAACATTTATATGCTACTTCACTTTATAACATTAGTGAATGTTACTTCACATTATAACATCATTGAATGTTACCTCACATTATAACATTTATATGCTACTTCACTTTATAACATTATTGAATGTTACTTCATAATATAACATTTATATGCTACTTCACTTTATAACATTATTGAATGTTACTTCACATTATAACATCATTGAATGTTACCTCACATTATAACATTTATATGCTACTTCACTTTATAACATTATTGGATGTTACTTCATAATATAACGTCATTGATTGTGACTTCACATTATAACATTATTGAATGTTACTTCATAATATAACGTTATTGATTGTTACTTCACATTATAACATTTTGAATGTTACTTCATAATATAACGTCATTGATTGTTACTTCACATTATAACATTATTGAATGTTACCTCACATTATAACATTACTGATTATTTCACATTATAACATTAGTAATCTTTAAGCGACAATTGTATGGTATAATACTCCAAAGTTGTAATAAATCTAAGGAGTAGTATACAATAAAAATGTGTTCCGTTATTTAATATAACATCATATAATGCTACTTTTCATTATATTTGTATTGAATGCTCCTTGACATCAGCATTGGCGCCTGTTTAATCGCTGAGTAATAACATGTTAATTTCCAAACAACGCTAATATCTAACCATGTCATTATAATCCATATCTTTGAAAGATATAATTCACAATAATGTGTTATCTACTATTATTTACCTGGATTAAAGATCTAATCCTATTCCTTTTCTGAATAAAAACACTAGATGTTAGTTTCTTCCTAAAAGATTTTCTTAATTTTCCAAATATCACCATACCAAGTAATAAGTATATCACTGGAGGCCAAGCGTGAGTAAGAAGTGGTTCTGTATAGAGTTATGAAATTTAGGATGGTCAGTTGTAGCCATATACCACCCTACCCTGTATAAACAAACATACACAGCACGTTCTATATCCATAGTCTGATCTATAAGTGGATTAGACCAATATGTGGCTAACCAATCATTGTTCGATTAAATCCATATCATATCCGGATGGAAATTCTTTGTTCGGGCTTGGGAGGAAACAGGTTCGATATCTTTATAGCAGGTTTGATACTGTTCTCAATATAGAGCAGGTTTTATAGTAATAAATCTAAGGAGTAGTATACAATAAAAATGTGTTCCGTTATTTAATATAACATCATATAATGCTACTTTTCATTATATTTGTATTGAATGCTCCTTGACATCAGCATTGGCGCCTGTTTAATCGCTGAGTAATAACATGTTAATTTCCAAACAACGCTAATATCTAACCATGTCATTATAATCCATATCTTTGAAAGATATAATTCACAATAATGTGTTATCTACTATTATTTACCTGGATTAAAGATCTAATCCTATTCCTTTTCTGAATAAAAACACTAGATGTTAGTTTCTTCCTAAAAGATTTTCTTAATTTTCCAAATATCACCATACCAAGTAATAAGTATATCACTGGAGGCCAAGCGTGAGTAAGAAGTGGTTCTGTATAGAGTTATGAAATTTAGTTGTTGTTAGTTTCTTCCTAAAAGATTTTCTTAATTTTCCAAATTTCTCAATATAGAGCAGGTTTGATACTGTCCTCAGTATAGAGCAGGTTTGATACTGTCCTCAGTATAGAGCAGGTTTGATACTGTCCTCAGTATAGAGCAGGTTTGATATTATTTTCAATATAGAGCAGGTTTGACACTGTTCTCAATATAGAGCAGGTTTGATACTACATGTATTTTTACTGTCCTCAGTATAGAGCAGGTTTGATACTGTCCTCAATATAGAGCAGGTTTGATACTGTTTTCAATATAGAGCAGGTTTGATACTGTTTTCAATATAGAGCAGGTTTGATACTGTTTTCAATATAGAGCAGGTTTGATACTACATGTATTTTCAATATAGAGCAGGTTTGATACTGTTCTTAATATAGAGATGGTTTGATACTGTTCTCAAAATAGAGCAGGTTTGATACTGTTTTCAATACAGTGCAGGTTTGATACTGTTCTTAATATAGAGATGGTTTGATACTGTTCTCAACATAGAGATGGTTTGATACTGTTCTTAGTATAGAGCAGGTTTGATACTGTTCTTAATATAGAGCAGGTTTGATACTGTTCTCAATATAGAGCAGGTTTATTTATTTGACCATAAGGCAAAAAGCCTATAGCTCACTAATATATATACA